GAGATCGCTTGCAGCGATAAGACCGCCTTTGCCTTTTTACAAGCCATTGCTTGTAAAAATCAAACCAACATGAGAGATATTTTGCCATGGGACGTCATAAAAATATAGATTGTTTTTATATTAATCAAACTTATACAAAAATACCCCTACAACTTGTAAGAGACAATTCCAATTTGATTATATTATTTAAGCAAGATGATGTTAATTTAAAACCCGTCTTTGATGAGCTTGTTGGGTCGAACATGTCATCGTCTCAATTCATGAAATGTGCTCAGCTGTTTGGAAAAAGCCCTATAGCTATCTTGACATAAATAAAGACAGTGAAAGAAATAATGGGTGCTACAGATTAAAGTTTGACATAATTATATATCGTAGTGGATTGAAAAAAAGTACATAAATGTTGATAAATTTGTAATTTTTCAGTCTAATTCGTGATTTGTAACAGAACAGAATCCTTAAAATGGAAAAAGATCTTAAAAAACAAATCGCAAAGTCTGCAGCAGCTGTGAAAAGAAAAGTTAAAATGATTAAAAACGCAAATCAATCAAATGATATGGTACTGGTCTAGGTCTTAACAATATTCAAACCCATAGTTGAGCCACTGAACTTATTAACCAATGACTGATACGTGTTTGTAGAGGTCTCCGCAATACCCGAGATACTTAAACATTACAGCTTTAGCCTGATTTGTAAAGCTCTGTCACGCTTTTTAAGATTGAGGGAAAAACACTTGCTCTATTACGTTTGGTCTTAAATTGTGAGCTCGAACGCCTACTCAGAATATGCATTAGTCGCGACGTAAACAGTTAAGTAATATCGTGTTCCTTCAAGGACTTTCTCATTGCTAGTCTCATTTATAAAATGAGGTTAGAGAAGGAAAAGCGTGAGCAATATTGGTATTTCAGGTTATGTTTTATGTGAAAGGATAGAAGTAATCGCCAATGATCGGAGTAGGTAGAGCTATTTGGATTCATTGGCCAAAAACGTTGATACTAATATGGACATTCCCCGGGATTTTATTAAAATATATATAAAGTTATCACAGAGCACGCACCCCCACTAGAGATCGCATTGCAACAATTTTGTTTGAAATCAAATTCGCCAAAGATCTCATTAAACCCACCCGGCATCCGACCAGCACCGCCTGAACTCGTGTGGTTGATATTCTTTGTATGGACCGCGCGCTGCTGTCTGCGTATTGAAAATGCATTTCATCTTCATCAAGCGCGACAGAAATTAGAGCCCATTCACGGTTTGTAAAATTAAACATTGTGAAACAGACGTGTAAACCTAGTGACGACCTTTTTTTTATGTTATAGGGGGCACCGTCGCCCATGGACACTTGCAACACCAGGAGTATCACAAATGCGATGCCGGCCTTTAAGGAAGGAGTACGCTCTTTTTTTGAAGGTTCTTGGGTCGTATTGGTCCGGAAACAGTGCTGAAACACAAAAAAACCTCTAACACACTACTTAATTTTCGCTAACAACGCGGAATCAACTTGCACCAGTCGACCACCTGACGTTTACTGGTTGACGAGGTATCTACTCGTGGCCCACCCGATGTTAGCTAGTTAAAAACGCGGTGTCCACCTGAATCTGCTCGACGACCACGACCAGACGTCAAGCAACGAGGCGGTGCCGGGTGTCTCTAATTAGCTGTGACCTTAACTTACTAAAACAGACTATTAAAACGCGACGCCATCTGTCTATGATCAGTGTGTGCCCATCGCGTCGCGTCGGATATTCCTAATGTGATTCTGATCATACAAAGTAGTATATTTAATCTGACTCAACCATAGAGGTATAAGAATAGAGTGGGGAAAGCATCTCTAAAAGTGTCCGTCTAGTAGAAAGAGAAAGAAGATGAGAGACCGCTAGCTATCTCTCTCTTGTGACGCATGGCATCCAATGGCATCACATCGAAATAGTAAGATGCTTACGGTTGCCAATGCGCATGCGCGATTAGAGAGAAGCTAGCGGTCCCATCTTTTTTCTCTTTCTATTAGAGGGACACTTCCACTTGTAGTAGAGTCTATATCTCCTCTACTCTATTCTTATACCTCTATGAACTCAACACGCGATGCGCGGCGTCGGGTGGCGTCACGTTTCAATAGTCTGTTTCGGCCATAATACGCGTTTTGATTTGACAGAACACGTCAGTGTATCGTCACGGTCGAATAATAAATTTATTGAAACGAAGTATCGCCGTTGGTCGACGCCTGGAAAAGTTTCAAACTCATATTCAGTAATACTACCTGGGCTCTGTGGAAGTATGAGACGGTACAGTACCCCTAGCACGAACCAATATCGAATTCGAATAGATTGCGAGTCCGAAATGCCATTGTCAAATTTTGTATGGAAACTTGAACAGCAGCGCCACAAAGGACGTTAGGAGAACTAAAAATTACACACATTTGATAATGACAGTTCGGACTCGCAAACTTTCGATGCGATGATTCCAATAACATGAAAACATCGCATCGCAAAAGTATTAAGAATTTGATAATGATTCGTGCTAAGGGTACAGTACATTTTTTATGTTAAAAGGATGGCAAAGAGGCATAATCATTCTATGTAAGAGCTGTCAAATTGTGGAACTCTTTACAACGTGCACGGACGAGGGACTCCAGGGTGCTATTAAAATTAAGGATTATTTCCTCAAGCTGGACTCTGACTGATCTTTTTACATGTTCATTACTCTGTATTGTATTTGATAGCTCCCTTATACTTTCTATATTTTATTTTCCTATATTTACGTTTATTTATTTATTTTTACAATGCACAGCCCGCTGTTTCTACAATTCTTATGGTATCGTTTCATTTAGCCAAAGGTTGCCTGGTAGAGATTGCTACCTTAGCAATAAGGCCGCCTTTTGTGTTTGCGTTCCTGTTTTATGTTTATTGTTTTTTTTTGTAATAGTGCAATAAAGAGTATTCATTCATTCATAAAACCGACCTGATGGTAAGCAGCCACCATAGCCTGTAGACGCTTGTGATACCAAAACTATCGCGCCGTTGCCTACCCCGACCACATCCCCAACCCCGTGGAGTCATCATCATCAGCCTATTAATATCCCCACTGCTGGGGCACAGGCCTTCTCTATGGATGGAATAGGGAGATTGGACCATGACCCACCACGCGGGCCCAATGCGGATTGGCGGGTGCTAACCTCTGCAGATGCAGCCGGGACCAACGATCATCAATTGAACAAAAACATACACTGGAAACTTGATGTGCTGTATACTGCCGTACCAAAACTAAAATGGTTTCTTTTCCAACCGATTTTACACAAGTATATATTTTGTAAATTAAGTTCCATATTTTGTTATTTGAACCCCCACAGTACAATACGTGGTCTAAAATTCGACTCGGTTTAAATATCATATTATATATAATAATATCATTAAACATCATATAATGCTTTATCTGTATTATTTTTATCAACGGCTTAACGTGCTTTTCGAAGCACGGGGAACCTGAGATATAAGATTTTTGGTCACCCATCCAATGACCGACCACTGCGAAAGTTGCTAACATCAACGATCGCAGCCGAATGCGTTAACCAACGGCGCCATCGAGCTCCTCTCGCCGTGGAGTCCTGGAACCATACTCGCCAACAGAAACACAACACTGCCAAAAGGTAATGATTTTAACTGTGGTATTCAGTAAGGTGGAGGTTGTTTCCCCAGTACCCCTAGCACGAACCATTATCGAATTCGAATAGTTTGAAAACCGAAATGTCAATGTCAATAACGAAAATCATTATTAGTGAACACAATAAAAAAAAAACAACAAATAAATTATCAAAATATATTATCATACATAGAAAAAACTTCATTGGACAACATTATTTATAATATATACCTAGTGATTCAACTTAGATCTAACTTATCACAGAAGAGTGCTAATGGTGTAAAAAATGCGAAACGTGAAACTTGCAGGCGGCGATAGAAGGAAAAGCTTTATAACATTGGAGCGTCCTCGCAAAAACTACTTAATATATTTGGACCACTGCTTTTGTTCAATAAGGCGCTTTGCAGACGACGGGGCGGGGCGGGCTTTTTGTCCGCGAAGCAATAAAAACCGCGTCTGCCCGTCGATGTCTGCGGCTGCCCTCGCCGCGTACACGAAGCACACGACGGGCAGAGGCAGTCAGTTCAGGACGTTCGTTCTAGTGAATAGTCCATCACTAAAAAGCGCGTGGCGCGGAGTAAGCTAGCCGCCCCGCGCCGCCGTCTGCGTTACTGCATATAAACTGGTTTGTATGATCCACGGCGGGCAGCCGCGGACATGCCGCGCCGCCACTACCCGCCGGGCACCTGCGACGCGGTCTATTTGCCCTCTGTGTGCATTAGTAGTATAGGATTCACTTTGTGCTATCGTTCGCGGCGAAATTGACCGGCCCGCTCCGCCCCGCCGTCTGCAAAGCGCCTAAGGGTGTTAATGAAAATTTGCGTCACCAGTTGGCGCCACAGTGACGGGAGGTTTTATGTATGAAGTTTTTAGCGCGAAACAATCGAACAAGCATTTAAATTGATCCATTAACTATGAAGACATACGGGATTAGACGGATGAGTAGACTTCCTTCTCAGTGCTGCCACCTAGTGCCCGTCGTCCCAGAAAACCCCAATTCCAATAACGCAAATAAATCCGATAATCATAAATATGTAAATTCCAGACAACTTACAGGTACTAATCATTTAGTCACAGAGTTAATCTATATAGCTAAATAACAGATATAATATAAAAATAATATATTCAGAAAACTGTACCATATTTCATATATTGTCTCGAGTGAGCATGGCTTTAACTTTCATCCTAAATGCCCTTTGGTACGATCCATCCCAAATTACATTCTAAGGTATGACAATAGGTACTGTTTTGGCTTAAACGTTGAAAATACGCTTTAAGATTTTAACCTTTACATCACAACACATCGCTCGACAAGCCTAACTATAATCAAATTAGCAAATGATTTGCAACACTCATAATGTAAACATCACTTTACACACCTTCGTTTCTGTTCTTTATCACGATAAATATTATGAACTCAATGACGATACGGTAACGGCTACACTGTTGCGCTATCGCGAAAATTTCCGTTTTCGTGTTATTTATTACAAGATTTTAACAATGTTTTTAAGTGATATAAAATGCTTATCCTTAAACAAACTTTTATAGTTTTACACACAGAGGGCAAATTATAAGTTGGAGTACACTTTGCGGCGCTCATACGCCAAAACTAATGACTTTATGAAAAAAAGGGACATACATAAATTGTAGGCAATTGTCTCTTGTTTCATATTGTACATAACTGTTTTTATCGTTAAATGAGTCGGAAAGGAGATATTGTCAAAAAACTGCTTTTAGACGCCATTTTTCGAATATGGCGGCGCGAGCGGCAAAAATACGAGGTGGCAAAGTCGAAATTCGGAAAGAGCATCTCAAAATCTTTAAAATTACCAATTTTCAAAACTCCCGGACGACTTTCCAGGTAAAACTACCAAATGACAGTACTAATTTCTCAAATATAACTCTTAAGAAGATTCTAATAAAATTCATAATCAATTAAACAAAGATTTACACTGGAAACTTGATGTGCTGTATACTGCTGTACCAAAACTAAAATGGTTTCTTAACCAACTGATTTTACACAAGTATATATTTTGTAAATTAAGTTATTTGAACCCGCACAGCTCAATACGTAGTCTAAAACTCGACTCGGTTTAAATATTATATTATAAATGATAATATCATTAAACATCATATAATGATTTCTCTGTATTATTTTTATCAAGCCAATGTAAAATGTAGTATCATTTTTAAACCAAGCTAAACATTAGTGAATGTTTTGTAATGAGATGGTTTATACGTGATATAAACATAAATATCCAAAAGCATTATTAACAATGTCAGATTTCATCATCAAATCAATAGGGGTGATGACTGATTTTTTTTTCTTCATCTACCAGGTAGATTATCAAAAACTATAGGACACGTACTTTCTTACTTTCACATAATCAATTCAGTACAGAGATATATCGATTTGAAATGTCGCATGACGTCACGCCTTGGTACGTTTTTTCTTGGAAGTGACGTCACATTTTGACGCGCTATATCTGTGCAATTTTTGGTTAATTGACAAAAGAAAAATAAGTGTCCATTATTTTTTGATAATCTAACTGACGGACTTTTTAACGTTTTTTTTTTAAGCATTGAACTGTCAGATGTTTAAATGTAAAGAAAATTTTCAATTTTCAGCAGACGGGACTCTAACCCACACCCATCGCTATCCGGGCGAATGCACTGATCATTATGCTACCGCGGCCCTGATATGAGAATTCCGTTCAATTTACCCCGTCATCATCCCTATTACATAGTTAATAAAATAAACAATCATAGACAACACGGACTAGTCAATTACATACAAAACTAGATCACAATCTTATTGATAAAAAAATATTAACAAAGCAATAAAGATTTATTATTCATAGCTTCATAAGTGGACCTAAAAGCCTCGAATAACATTTACATAAAGGATTATTCAGATTATATGATCCAGGTGAGGTAGTTCTGTAGCGTGCTCCCAGAAATTGCAACAAAATAATATTACCCGCCCTAATAATTTTAGATTAAAAATTACATATTTGTTTCCTAGGTGTTCACGCACACCACTCATTAATTAAAACACGTTAAAACGGGTCAAAATGCGTTTTTGGGACAAAAAATATCCTATGTTCTTTCCTGGGTCCAATCTATCTCTATATCAAATTTCATTCAAATCGGTTCAATGGTTTCAGCGTGAAGAGGTGACAGACAGACAAAATTTTCGCATTTGTAATATTAGTACAGATTTGAATAGTTTTATGTCGCTATCTACTCCCTTCGGTGTATCTCTATGCTTATAATAAGTGTATCCATCATAACAGATATTCAGAACTATCCCCCTAAATGCCTCTGCTGCTCTAATTTCCTACCTGCCGCCTTCTAGTTTCTCGTTTCGCAGTTTAGTTCGCAAGTCGATCTCATCTCCAGTATGAAGGGCCCCTCCTGCGCCGGGTAGAATGTGGACGGAGTCAATATGTACTTACCCGCGGGGAGATTGTATAGCTGGAGTACTACGAAACCAGACCTGGTCGGCAAAGAGATGTTGGAATAAGTACTTGTCGAAATAGGGTATTTGACAGTATTAAAAATAAAGTGCTAATTGTTAGCATCTGTATTTAGAATTAATATTGGCAGAAATTTTTACTATTTTTACAGAAAAAATATTCATAATTTTACAAAAAAAACCCACGATAAAGATAATAGTTTTCTTGTCTATTGTCACGTGACCCAAAACGCTTGGGATTGGTGGAGCTAAAATGACGTCACACGAAAGCAAACTTCCGGTCAAAGTGACATTTGATTGTATGGTTTCACGTTTTAATGACAGTCGTGTGACGTCACACACCAGTAAGACGCCATATTGTCCAGAGACACGTTTTTCACGGCAACTTGAAAATAGAGTTTTTGATTTGGTTTTTTACCGGAATACACAACATAATGATGAATATCCATTTTTATGGACTCTATAAATATTAGTAAATAACGTGATATCGTTTTCCAAAACTTGTCAAATACCCTATTGTGTATTTAAAGGTACTAAATTTTAATTAGAATGATGTTTTTTTTAAAATAAGAATAAATTTTCTAGTAAAAAGAAATCTTTACGTAATGAAATTCATTCACATAATGAATTTTTAAATGTTTTATTTTTTTATTGAAGTTATAATAGGATTTTTTTACAACATCAATTAGCCTATCCCCAAAGTAAGCACTGTAAAGCTTGTGTTAAGGGATACTAGGGTAACGGATAAAATATATATACTGTAACAAATAAGTACATTTATATGGAAATACATATAAAACATCCATGGCTGGAGTTCAAATGCTCGTATTCATCTCACAAACATCTGCCCCCACCGGGATTCGAACCAGGAACCACTCGAGTCGGCGACACAATGAAACCCGGCGTACAAACCACTCGGCCACGGAGGTCGTAAAGGTTAGAGATTTTAATTCTGGTTTTGTTGCAAACCACCCTGTATATCAAATTCTTTATTCATGCACTCATATGTAAGTCTAGCAGTCTCAATTTCCTTTTTAAATTGTGTCCTCATGGGCGATGACGGGGTACAGTAAACGAAATTCTATATTTAGTCCATCAGTTCGATTATCAAAAAATAATGGACACGTATTTTTTCTTTGGGCAATCAACCAAAAAATGATAAAGATATAGCGCATCTAAGTTTGGGAGTAGGGGCTCGTGACGTCACTTTTGAGTGAATTTTCACTTATAAGTGTACTCAAACGTGACGTCATGCGACTTTTCAAATCAATATATCTCTGCAATGTTTATATTATGTGAAAAAAAAAATACGTGTCCAATACTTTTTGATAATCTACCTGATAAAGGAAGAAAAAAAAATAGTCATCATCCCTATTGCAATTGCATTGAAATGATCCTATAAGGGTTCCGTTTTTGCCGATTGAGGTAGGGAACCCTTAAAGAAGCTTTAAGAATTCGCATAATAGGTTTAGATGTTCCCTATATTTTCTCATAAAAATGCCATAGCAAACAAAACCACAGACAAGAAAATATGTAATATAATGAGATGATGATAGATGGATGGATCATTGAAGCATTGAAAAGGAGGTCGATGGCGCAAGTGATTAGCGCGCTCGGCTGCGATCGTCGATGTTAAGCAACTTTCACCAAAAATTTACCATCTCGAGCGCCTCCGTGCTTCGGAAGGCACGTTAAGCCGTTGGTCCCGGCTGCATCTGCAGTCGTCAGCACTCACCAATCCACACTAGGCCCGCGTGGTGGGTCACGGCTCAATCTCCCTATTCCATCCATAGGTAAGGCTGGGGCACAGCCCAGCAGTGAGGTCATTAATAGGCTGATGATGATGATGATGATGATGAGTATTGAAAAATGACCCTTAACCACCTCACCTGTAAGCTCCGGAGGATTCCTTAAAAAAGGGTGCCGTAACACTGGGATCTTCCAACGATTCCACTGTAACATTAAACCCGATTTGGTACTGCTTGGGCCCCTTGAGCTCTATGGTCACGTGGCAAGGCACCCTGGTGTCGGGCACCGTGAACACAAACTTGGGATTGTTCGGGTAAGTTTCTCTATGGTTCTCGCAACCGCCGGCCGTTCGACCCGACCATTCGCCTTTCAACTGTAGGAGAATAATTATGATTATTCCTCTTTTTATCGTACACAAGAATATTCTCCTTTATCATGTCAAAGATTCTGGTTTGGGCGGTTTCTTGTTACAGCGTATGACTTTTTATGATTCCGTACCCAAAGGCTACAAACGAGTCTTTATTACTAAAGCTCGTATTTTAGAAATATTCTCAGTGATTGTTCTAGTCTTGAGCATAGTTAGTGAGGGATATCGCTATGTATATCACATAGCTATATCCCTTTCTAACTGTACTCAAGTAAAGATCAACACTTAGTTGTCATTCTGTAATACAGGCCTTAGATTCCACTGTCCGTCTGTCTGTTTGTCCGTATGTCTGTCTGTCACCAAGCTGTATCTCATGAACCGTGATAGCTAGACAGTTAAAATATTCAAATATATATTTCCGTTGCCGCCATAACATCAAATATTAAAAACAGGGGGGGGGGGGGGTTGGATCTCATAGAACAAACCTTATTTTTCGCCTTTTTTGTTCGATATAATAATATAATGTTATTGAACCCTTCGGGCGAGAGTCCAACTTGGCCGGTTTTTTTATAGATTCATTATACGGAACCTGTTAAAAGATCAACCTAAACCTAAACCTGTATGATGATCAGTCTATTAATGCCAGCAATGCTGGGGCCCAGGCTTTGACCCAACCAAACAGATCATACGGTATAAACATGTAGTATATCATTCTACACTTCGCCAAAAAGCATTAAATACAATAATCTTCCTTATTATGAAGATATAATGCGATTCTAATAAGAATAGTAAAGCCTACACGAAAAGTACCGTTTGCAAAAAAATCTCGGGACACTTTTTTAGCACTCGGCTAAATCTAGAATAAAAACCAATCATTTTTAAACAAACAATATTTGATATTGGTTGGTATTTTTTTCATTTATTGAGCTTTGGCTATGAATGGTTGATAACCTAAATCGTCAACTAAATGGCACTTCATGTTGCGTTCAGAAACTCGATTTAAAACATTCGTTTAGTTAAAGGATGCATGTTCGTTCTGACCTGCATGATTACTCATAACTATTTTACATTACATACAACATATTTTACATTCAATAAAAATCCGCGATATAAATTTGATTTAGTATTACCAGTGCCAAAACTAGAAATGTTCAAAAAAAGTCCTTTATACCGTTCAATTCAAATATATAATAAAAGTCCGATAGAAATTAAAAGAGAAAGCAACATAAATACATTTAAAATGAAACTCAAACAACATCTAATCAAGAAAGCATACTATTCGGTAAATGAATTTATGAATGATAAGTGAAACTGTCACGGAAAGCTCACTAACTTGTTTGAAATTGAAACTGTTTAGTGGTTGTGGTGATATAGTTATTGTACTTGCAACACCCTGACAGGGTCATGTACCATGCCAAAATAATTTTAAGATCCTGTATATACTGTACATGTGCAATTAATTAAATAAATAACTACTCCGGCGCGGTAATGCAGAGATGAGCGGAATTGAAGACCTAGATTCTGATTCATGTTTTTTCTCACACAGACTTAATAAAGAAATATTATAAAAAATGAAATTATAAATTATAAATGAAATGAAATGAAACCTTTATTGGCCATCTTAAGTACATAATAAAAGTACTATAAATATAAACAAAAAAATAAAAGAAGAACTTAACCTAAAAACAAAAAATAACAACATAAAACTAAGACGGCCAATCAGGACCCTGCCTCAGCTTATGCTGACACCGTGGGAGAATACTCTCTCACTGTATCAGCGCTGGTATGAATACTCTCTCACTGTATCAGCGCTGGTATTCTGGCAGGGCCTGTGCGAGGACGTATTAGGCGCTAACAAGTAACAAAACAATACATTTATGCTTAACTAATCATATTTTATTTTATTACGCATACACACATACATACACACACACACACCAAAGCCTTGGTAAAACAAAGTATCATTTTCTTTGATAATTTTTTACGAGTGAAAATAAGTAGGATAATTACAAACAAAGTAGATTGAGTATTTAATATTACTATAAGAAGTGAATGTGAATATGCTTTCCTTATTATGAACGATATTATGACTATTTGATAAAAAAAGGCTAGTTTGAGCAATATTAAAAGTAAATAATAGTTACAGGTCAGTTTGAGTCACGATGATTGAGAACCAAACACACGCACCAAGTCCTCTTCTGTGCATAGCCGGAAAGCGGGCTAGTCCTGGCCCTGGCGAGCGTAGATCCGGCCCTGCTTTGTCCAGCAATAGCGCCAGTTAAGTTTGCGGCATTCCGTGCGAACTTTATTGAAGAGGTCGCGCTCCTCCAGCGTCACACCCAGGCGGGTGGCCAACGTTAGCACCGTATGCATCGTGTTCTCCCCCTTCTCCTCTGGAACCTGGCCGATGTCAATATCGGCCAGCAAAGCATCCTGGTCTCTACCGTTGAGTTCGATTCTCAACGCCGCCACGGTGCGCTCCAGCTCTATTACCCGCCCGCTCCCGTCCTCAGGTTCCCGATTCTCAAACTCCTGCAGCTTCTTCTCCATCCCGTCCAATCTCTGATCCATGACGTCCAGCCGTTCGGTCGTGGCGGTGAAAGTCTCTCGCAGCAACGTCAGCTCACTCCGGAACCCCCTCATCTCAGCCATACACTCGACAAACATCCTGCGGAACTCGAGCATTTCGGCGCCATCTGATGAAGGGCGCGCGGCTGCTACCACTCCTGAGCTGCTGCCGGTCGTCGTAGCTTCTGCTTCCTTTATGGAACTAGGGGATGTGGATTTGGCAGCCGGAGTCTCACAAATCCCTTTAACTGGCGTTTGGCTATTATCGCCCTTCCGTGAACCCAGCTTGCAGGTTGGGCAAGCCCAGTCCTTTGATATTTGAGCTTTTTCCGACATGGCCAAGCAAGCTTTGTGGAATTTCAAAGGACATGAGCTACAAGTAGCGACACCTACCGTCGTCGTCGGCAGGAACTTTCCGCACCCGCCACACTTATTCATGTCTTACGGTTAGAACTTCGCAGCGTGCTTTAAAGTATGCTTATCAATATAAATTGTTTAAGCTGGTTATATTGTTTCGCACCTCTGCCGCCAGATGGCACTATTCTTCGTAACAGTAAAAGCTTTCCTAACGCAAAGGCAGGTTAAGTCGGTTGATTTAATTTTTGTTCACCCTCCACGTCAAAATAAAATTCCCGAAGTCCAGACAAATTCCAGATTGAATCAAAACGAGACCCGGGATGGCCGACTATTTAACACAACACTTGTCCAATCCACCAGTACTTCGAAAAAAAACAACTGAGGAGAGTGATTGTCAAAATATTTTCCTATAGATATTATTCAAAATTTATGTTTGTACTAAAATATTATTGTCACCAACACTGTCACTTAATTATTGCACTTTAAAAATGATTTTTAAACCACTTAACATATATTATTTTAGGTTTAACAATTTTTAAATAAAATATTTGTACGCAGATAATGTTTACTTGATAACGCCCTCTAGCGTCGTTATTAAAAATCGATTGTTTTTTTTTCTCAATCATAGTAAATAAGTTTTATTAAATAGAAACTTTTTTTTGCTCTTAGTTGAATCGCATTATAAGACTTTTGTTTGCTTATCACGAAGGGACAGGTGGCGTAAGCCCTAACAATGTAATATATCGTTTTATACTTCTCGTATTGAGACACGATCTTTATCAACTAAATAATCTTGCTTGCCATAAGAAAACTAACCGTTGTATTGTGAGGATAAGTTACAAATTTGCTCAGCGCGAAGGGGCAGGTGGCATGAGCTCTGTGAGTGTAATATACAGTTCTATACTTCTCGTACTGCGATACGGACTACAGTGTATTTGTCAGTGATGCCTATACCTACTACTAGACTATATAATCTTGCTTGCTATGAGAAAACTTACTGTTTTCTTATGAGGATAAAACTCCAATTTGCTCAGCGCTAAGGGGCAAGTAGACGCTCTAAGCGTGAAGTATATGGTTCTTGACTTCTCGTATTAAGACACGACCAGCAATAAATAGTAGACTACATATTCTTACTTGCTGTAGGAAAACTAGCCGTTTTCTTATGAGGTTAAGGCTCCAATATGTTCAGAGCGAAGGGGCAAGTAACGTAAGCTCTGAGGGTGTTGCATATTGCTCTAGATTTCAATTATTGATTGCCGACCATTGCTATGGGAAAACTTACCATTTTCTTATGAGGATAAGGCTCCAATTTGCTCAGCGCGAAGGGGCAAGTAGCATACGCTCTAAGAGTGTAGTATATCGTTCTATATTTCTCATACTGCGATACGACTAAAGTGTATCTGTCAGTGCTGCTTTCACCCACTATCACTTTGCATAAGTAGTGGGGACTGTTGATCCTGACCCCGTCGATGTATGGGGCTGGCTCGTCTGAAACAATCGTACAATTTAATATTATAGTATAATCATAGCAACACTTGGATGAGTTAATTAAATTAAATGCTTGTCAAAGAAAATGACAACACCAATTTATAAGAAAATTAATTTAAGTAGTTGAATTCATTGTAAAGGCTTAGTTTAGCTTTTTACATCAAAAATAGTATAAATGACGTTAATAAAAGAACGTTTAAGACTTATCTCTGCGGATTGGATTAGCATACAGATATGTCAATTAAATTTAATAATTTCAATCCTAAAATATAGCTAGCTATATTTGTATGAAACATCCAAACAAGAAGTGGTCGAAAATGGTTTACAAATTTTGAAGCTACATATTACATACGAACCGTGCGAATTTAAATAAAAAAATGTAAAAAGGTTTCCAAATCTATAATCGTTTGTTTTTCTAAATAATAACACAGATCCACTCACACGGATAGTAGACCCTCTTGTCGTCGTTCTTATAGACAAGCAGTGTCATACATTCCTTATTATATTTAAAGTCATCGATCAGTCTGATGTTTGTCTAGATTTCTTCCCAACGATATTAAATATCCTAGATACATCAACACGAACAAACTCTCGCCGGAAACCTGACCTAAAGGTACATTGGACGATCCACAGAACTCCGTAAGATGATCGCGTAGTCAAAAATAATATAAAGCATTATTTAAACATTGAAAGTCACCTTTAATGCATACAGTATAAGGTCTTAATAAAAACGCATGCGTCAAAGAGTTATGACAGTTCGAAATGTAAGCTCGTATAATTTTACGATGTATTGCCATATGCGGAAAAATATAGACCTTATTTATTTCACTCTACGCGCAATTCTGAATGCGCTGTTAGTAATATCGCAAGTACAGACCGCGAGGAAAAAAGCTATATTATCCGACCATGCATTTGAATATCACAAATATTTTCTACAAAAATCAGTTTTTAAGTATTAGAACAAAATTTTCTTCAACTGCGTTGAATTAACAAACATTAATTAGATACCTGATGAAAAAATTTAACTTTACACACTATAAGCTTTTTGTTTTCACATTTTTTTCGGAGCTCCACGGCAACTTGCCTTTTAAACGGTCCGCACTAGAATGTGAACCACGAAGTGCTTGAGTGGTCTTCAAGCACTTCTTGACTGGGACACATTTTGAGCGGACGTAGTTTACCTAGGGTATTTCATATCGGTGATTCTTCCTAACAAAAACACAGTTATAATAATCGACTCACAAAAAAGACAAATCTACTTACAAGGATAGTAAACTCTTTTGCCGTCGTTCTTGTAGACCAGCAGTGTGATATATTCCTTGTTGTCCCTGAAGTCATCAATCTGTGTGATATGTCTTGTAAGCAGCAACCATACTGCGCCCTTTCCTTGCACGTGGAGGGAGAACTGCGGGTTCTCGCCAATGTTGTATATGTCTTTAACGGGACCATTGCCCGCGTCCCATTTCCTGTTCAATATAGAAAGAGGGAAATTTACGAAATAGCTCGGGACTCCAGTTCAGGTAGAAGATATCGAAGAACCTCAGTATACTCGCATAATCGATCCAGAACACTCTAAATAAGTATTAGAGACTCCACCCTCAATAACGTCAGAAATAAAGTAAATTACTCACTGATGTATGCAGTAGGTATAGTGAAATAGCTCAGGATTCCAGTTTAGGTAGAACACGTCGAAGAACCGTAGAATACTCGCGTAGTCGATCCAGAACACGCCGTTATCGTATTGAGCCGCACTCTCCGGGTCGTAGTTTAGAAGGGACCGTAAAGAAAGGGTCCAATGATCCGCGTCTAGTTCGGAATAGTTGCCGCGCCAACGGAGATGGGACCAGGGATTCTTTAACTTCAATAGTTTGACACCCTGTAAAATGTAGATATGTATTAATTATACTGTCACAAACGCTTTCGAAACTTAACTGCGAAAGTGCTAGAGATCGAATTTGCCAGATCACCGCGGGTCGATCATAGAGGTCGAGTAATGCGGCTCATTCCAAAATGAGCTTTATGCAGTGCGGCTTAAGGGAGAAAGTGCAACGAGATCTGCACTTGTTTACAAGTTATGCGCGTTACCTGCGTAGGTATAAGTACTCGCTGGTGCTAGCTAATTCTCAATTTAACAGGTACTTTCTAGAATACGTCGATCGGCGTATATAAGCGCGATTGGCGCCGCGCAGAGACGGTTGAGTTTCAACATCGATTTCGGAGCGAATCCAAAGGTGATCAAAGTGCAACAAAAGTGTTCAAGTGCGATTGTTTAGAGACTTGTATAGTGAAATACAGTGTTTAGTGAGTGTTTTGTAATTAACATTCTGTGTTAATTGTGTGAACTGTGTGGTGAATAAAGAACTGTCAAGCGTGAACTGGCATATAATTTCGAACCCCAATCCAACACGTAACAATATCGTCACAAACGCTCTCGCACCAAAACCGCGAAAATACTGGAGACCAATTTTACCAGAACACCATGGATCGCGACGTGAATAATCGCAATAAAGGTGGTGCGATTCATTCTAATATGAGCCTTCATACGCGTTACTTACGTATAAGGTACTACGTACTCGCGGGTGCTAGTTAACACTCAATGAAACTGGACTTTTCTAGAATGCGTCGATTGGCGTATATAAGCGCGATCGACGCCACGCAAAAGTTGAGTTTCAACAGCCATTTCAGAACGAATACAAAGGCGATCATATTGCAAGTAAAGTGTTCAAGTGCGATTGTTTAAAGACATGTATAGTTTTAAAGTGAATGTAGAATTGTGTGTTTAAGATAAAATTATGTGAACTCTGTGGTGAATAAAGAACTGTCTAGCGTGAACTGGTATATAATTTGAAACCCCATCCCGACACGTAACAATATTGTTATTTCAAATATCATTGAGCCGAAATTATACAAATACAAGCGGCCGCGACTGCGTCCGCGTTAATTTTGTATTTTTGAGAATCCCACGACAACCAAAAATTTTCTGGGACAAGATGAATCCTATGTCTCATTTCAGGTCATAAACTATATGCGTACCAAAATAAATAGGGAACATATTGCCCCGCTTATCGAAAAGTGGTAGACACAAACAAAAAATATATCAGTAGATAGATTCAATTATTTACTTTATCCCTGCGCAATTCTTATTTCTGTAACCTATGGGAATGCTGAGAAAATTGAGGTTTTTGTATCAGTGAAGCCTGAGGTCCTTATAGCCAAGGGCGTAACCACGGGTGTGTTTTAGTCAGTAAGTGTCTGATATAACTCCAGCAGCCGGCTTCACATACGCCCTTCATTGCCTAGGAGGTTACCAACGTAATCAAGATCGTTGGCGCAAGTGGTTAGCGCGTTCCGCTGCGATCGTTAAATTTAAGCAACTTTCGCAGTGGTCGGTCCTTGGATGGGTGACCGAAAATTTACTATCTCGAGCTCCTCCGTGCTTCGGAAGGTACGTTAAGCCGTTGGTCCCGGCTGCATCTGCAGTCGTTAGCACCCACCAACCCGCACTGGGCCCGCGTGGTGGGTCATGGTCCAATCTCCCTAATCCATCCATAGGGAAGGCCTGTGCCCCAGCAGTGGGGACATTAATAGGCTGATGATGATGATGATGATGACTGACATTTTAGGGATAATGTCCTGTTTGTATAGATTTATAAGTGACATTGGTTTGCACCAGTTCTTTAGTTACAGTTGATGTTTCCTGTTAATTATTCTAACAAATACACAAACAAATTATAGAAGGGAATTAACTACTATCTTCCATCGAACTATTTTTTTTTCTAAACCACTTACGAGGTAATTCGCTTAAAAATGTCAAAATACTAAATATTCTTCTATAGAGAATGCATAAACTGGACTTAGTACATTAAATAACGTAAAAACTGCATTAATATGGATCAAAGATCCTATACACATATACATATTACATATTATAAATGTACTTCGAGAAATCCCAATAGGGATGACGACGGGGTACAGTAAACGAAATTCTATTTAGTCCGTCAGTTAGATGATCAAAAAATAATGGACACGTATGTTTTCTTTGGCCAATCAACCAAAAAATGACAAAGTTATAGCGCGTCAAAGTTTGGGAGTAGGGGCTCGTGACGTCACTTTTGAGTGAATTTTCACTTATAAGTGTACTCAAACGTGACGTCATGCGACTTTTCAAATCAATATATCTCTGCAATGTTTATATTAAGTGAAAAAAGAAAAAATACGTATCCAATACTTTTTGATAATCTACCTGGTAAACGAGAAAAAAAAATTAGTCATCATCCCTATTCTATGAATAAAACTCCAAGTAATAAAACGTCAGTATTAAGTCGCAAATAAATGCCAATATCGATTGTTGATGTAACATCAATTATGCTAAAATCTTCCTTCGTCAAGCGAATCTCACTGATTGAAATTTCAAGAGGCACAGTCATGTTTTAGCGGCCTTTGCTAGAGAGTAATGCTTCAATATAATTTGATTTATCATTGGGCATAGTATACTTACGTCGGCGAGTCTGACATCCAATACAGCATAAGCGTGTGTAGCGACCAATCCGGTCCTATCCGCTTCGGCGTCGGACAGAGGCCCCGTCGCCACCGTCACTAGTACCTCCCCCCTTTCCAGTCTAGACCTGAGGTATAAAAGAGGTGGGGCATAGAAAGAAAGAAAGATTTTTTTTATTTGTAACAACATGTATAAGTAAGATGTTTTGATTAGAGTGGTACATAACATGTCGTGCCAATACGGGCATACAAATTCATTAGGTTATTCAAATTACAAGTCAAAAATCTCAATAATAAAACATTTCAAATTCATATGATTCTAATTCCATAAGAAAATGTCAAAATTAATAAAAAAATAAAAAAAAAACAATAATAAAAACATAATTACAATTAAAAATTGTCATTTGAAAATTCCGATACATCATAATAACATTTATCAATTAATATATTTTTAATTTTCTTCTTATATAAGAAGTAACTTATACAAGTTACAATTTAATTAATTCTTTTATATATGTCGGGAGTCTGTCATACATTCGAGGAGCCATACAGAATATTTTCTTTCCCATAAGAGCTGTTCTCGGGTTTGGCATGCACAACCTACTATTATCGCGTCTATTGCGATCTATAACACCTGCCATCCAAACGAAAAGGTGCTAGTTCTCTTTTACAAATAGTAAAACCTATTTCTAGCTCAGCACTCACCTTATAGTCTCGTACAATGTGTCGGCATTGAAATCTGCCTCCCCGGTCCTAATGGCGCACCGCTCCGGGATCCAGCCCGTCAGCGCGTGCAGATCTATGTTCTGAAACGGTGCTATTATATCAATAAATGTAGGTCTGAATCTAATAACTCAAAGGTGACTGACTGACTGACTCACATAGTGATCTATCAACGCACAGCCCAAACCTCTGGACGGATTGGGCTGAAATTTGGCATGCAGGTAGATGTTATGACGTAGGCATCCGCTAAGAAAGGATTTTGATCCATTCTACCCCCAAGGGGATAAAATAGGGAATGAAAGTTTGTATGAAACTTTGTCAATTTTAAACCGATCGGGCTGAGACTTTGCATGCAGGTATAAGTAGAATCATAGATGAATGTCATTGTATCACTTCAGCTCGGGTCAGCTCAGCTCGAAGCGAGGGCGGGCCGCTAGTCTTGAATAATTCCTATCAATTATACTCACTGCTATAGGCTATTTGACAAGTTTTTGAAAACGTTCTTACGTCATTTATTACCCCCTTATTAATAAACAAGAAATAAGCTTAGACTTGTTTTTTTTTAACACACACCAATTAGCCTAGCCCATATGTACATAAATAAGTATATTTATATAGAAATACATATTAACCATCCATGACTGGAGTACAAATGCTCGTATTCATCACACAAACATCTGCCCCCACCGGGATTTGAAAAAATCAAACTGCTAAGCCAAAGCAAAAAAGTTACAGCCGTTTATGCCGCAATTTTTCGAAACTCGCACGGGAATCAAAACCTACAGGGTACTTCCCGTGAACTTAGAATCTTGAAATTTGGTACAAAGTAACGTCTTATAGTACAGATGAAGGAAAAATTGCGAAAACCGTAAATTTTAGTTACATCATATAATTTTTTAAATTTGTACGGAACCCTCGGTGCACGAGTCCGACTCGCACTTGGCCGGTTTTTTTATAGGTATATTTTTTATAGGCCTGTGTGAGATTTTTCATTATGAATCATTATTTTTCATAGATTTTCATTTTGTATTTGACACAACTAAAAGCGGACCGTATCTTCTTCTTTTGATTAAATCTAAAATCCCAATTAGTATTGTCCGTTTAAAAATATGAATAAATAATTTACTTACACTATTGGATCCAGGGAAGTCATATCCACCCATTACTTTCATATACGCCTTCTCGAGCATAGACACCCAAAATTCGTTTTTGTTACTTGAATATGAACAAAGTAGTCGACCATGTTTGCTATAAGGTAATCTATCATCTATGATCACCTGAAATATAATAAAATCAAGGTAAAACTAGTTTTACCGGTTTTATGCACGAACTTTATTTATTTATTGAAGTTTCGCAGCCTTTTCCGGTCTGCATCGTCAGAATAATGATTTCGCCGGTTCTTCTCAGAAAGGTCTCCCAATTTTAGAACAGGTGTAGTTTACGGTCAAATAAATAAACTCAAAATTACAAAAAAAAAAAAAAAGTACTTTATTAACTAAATTAACAAATAAATTCATACATAGACAATAAAGTTTTAAAAATCTTCCAATGAAATATCCGAACGCTCAGCTCAATAAAAGACTTTCGAAGGTAGCTCGACAAAGAAAAAAAAACATTATTCTGACAATGCAGACCTGAAAAGGCTGCGAAACGTCAATAAATAAATATGTCAATAAATAATGAGTGACGTGCGTGAAAACCTAAGAAGCAAGAATCAAGGTAACTTTATACTCTATAGATTAACCGACGCAATGGCTCAATTACACTTGATCGTTAGCCCGTATTAAGGTGCACGCAAGACATTACTCGAATTCGAGCACCCGAAGCAATATTTACACTGGAATACGGACTGGAAGATGGTGTCGGATAACCAAAACGGAAACTACCCGAATACGGGCGTATAATGTGATTCAACTAAAAATAGGACCGACTGGGCGCCATATTGTGATGTCATAGCTGTCAATTCAAACCAAATGGGTAGAGTGAGCAAAAAAAGTTTTTATTTAAGAAAACTTATTTACCAAGATTAAATGAGAAAAAGCATCAGATTTTTTTAATAACATTTATTTACTAAGATTGAGAAAAAAAAGACAGAATTTTAATAATATTTATTTATTAACACTGTGAGAAAAAACATTAATCAGAATCTAGCTCTTCTATTCCGCTCATTTCTGCATTACCGCCGGAGTAGTTATGAATAATCATTCACTATTACTAGGTCACATACGAACATGCATCCTTTATGTAAACGAAAGTCTGAAATCGAGTTTCTGGACGCAACTTAAAGTGACATTTGGTTGACGATTTAGGTTATCAACCATTCATGGCCAAAGCTCAATAAGTGAAAAAAAAATATCTACCGATATTAATTATCAATCTTTGTTATTGTTTGTTTACAAATGTTTGGTTTTTATTCTAGAATTAACGGAGTGCTAAAAAAGGGTTCCAAGGTTTATTTTGCAAACCGTACTTTTCAAGCGACATTTGACAGATAGAGGTCATTGGCTTTCCTATTCTTATTTGGATCGCATTATACTCGACTCCGTTTCTTAACACTAATGGCGCAATTACACTTGGCGAATACGAGTGCCAATTGAGTTTTCCATTGGACCAAGTGTAGTCGCGCCATAAATTCAACGCTCCAGATGGTCCGCGGGCGGCACGACGACTCAGTTTCGGTTTCTCAGGTACCACTCTCAGCCAAAGCGCCGTGGGGTTTTAAGTAGTAAGCCTCTGGGGACTCTTCGAACCAAGTTCCGTTAGATATGTCTTCGGAGGAGAGTCCTACATAATAAAGCTCTTATTCCACCTGACTAAATTCAGACGTACTAGTTAGGATCCTAAAAAGAAGGCTAATTAAAAGCTTCTGATTACACTTCACTAATTTAGTTACTGATTCAGTCAGTTACAAGCGCGCGGCGAATTCAGTCGGATTTTTTCGTAATGGCTCCAGTCCTGCCAAAGCAATAAAAAAAAATGTGTTTTCGTAGGCCTGGCCGTTGGCTCAATAAAAATAAAATTAAGTAAAATACGGAAAACTTGGGTGAAAGAGTATTAATATTATTAATGTTATTTTTATCGTTTCTGTTCCAAAGATACGGCATATGTTTATACAATTCGATTATGTTACTCATAACTTCAGACGCCCTCACGCAGTGACACCTGCGGTGCGACTGAAGCATCTAAACGATTTAGTCAGTCAGAAGCAGTGGCGGCGCTAGGCGTCGGTGACGTCGGCCACCGCCGACGGCCTCGCGCCTGAGGGGGCCTCGCAAAAAATGTTTACTAGTTACCTATTTATTTTCGTTTCTCCTGGCCTGGCTTAGGTAGCCGACCCCGAACAATTCGGGGAAAAAGCTAAGCAGATGATAATGACTTTTATTATTTTCGAACACGTGCGTGATGGAAACGAGTAGTACTTTACGGGTATTCAGAATCGTCTGTCTGGCAACACTATTTTTGTAATTAAATTTTTATGTTTGTAATTATTTTTTGTCATCATTTGATTATCAACAATAAAACTCGTTTAATCATACGGTATTTTATAATTTGGCTCACTTAAATTAACGGTTTTTTACTGCGAAGTAAAATAGGCCTCGCGAACTTGATGACGCCGACGTCCACATGTGGTCTAGCACCGCCACTGGTCAGAAGCCAAACTTCTTCCGATTTAGGATGCTAATTAGGATCCTAACTTCCTAAATGCTATTTCACTTGACTGAATTAGTTACTGAATGATTTAGAACGTCTGAATTTAGACAGGTGGAATAAGCGCTTAACCTCGCCGCTCGTCAGGCGGCAGGGTACGCGACATGCATTTTTTTAAACACACACCAATAAGCTAACCCAAAGTAAGCACTGTAGGCTTGTGTTACGGGATGCCAGGGTAGCGGATAGAATACATATACTAGCTGTCCCAGCGAACTTCGTACCGCCATAAAAAAAAAGGGGTTGGTAGAAGTAAAAGGGTGAAAATTTAGGGTTGTATGTATTTGTGTGTGATGTATCATAATAAAATAAAAAAAAACAAAATCCAAAAAAAAAAATTAAGTGTGGAGCACCCTTAACATTTAGGGCGATGAAAAATAGATGTTGTCCGATTCTCAGACCTACTGAATATGCATATAAAATTTCACGAAAATAGGTCGAGCCGTTTCGGAGTAGTTCAATTACGCACACCGTGACACGAGAATTTTATGTATTAGATTTTTATAGTAATAAATATATTTTAAACTTGGAGGACCAATGCTCGTTTTCATCACACAAACATCTACCTCCTCCGGGATTCGAACCCGGGACCTCTCGAGTGGGCGACACCTTGAAACACGGCGTACAAACCACTCGGTCACGGAGGTCGTCAACTTCCCCTCGGTATAAAAAAAGAAAAATAAGACGGTACGCGGGACGCGGGAACGGGATCGGGATCAGTACCCCTAGCACGAACGAAAATCGAATTCGTAACGTTTGCGAGCCCGAAATGTCATTGTCAAATGTGTACTGTTTTTTAGTTCCCGTTACGTCCAAAGTGGCGCTGCTGTTCAAGTTTCCATACAAAATTTGACATTGACATTTCGGTTTGCAAACTATTCGAATTCGATAATGGTTCGTGCTAGGGTTAAAGATCATGAGGGGGCCAATTTACGGCGGTCAAGCTTTAGTGTGTTGATTTTTTTTGTATGGACTGGACGACAGAAATTATTTTAAGCTTTGATATATAAGTGATATCTTTTGTTGATTTTAATGTTATTTGTTTACTAACCTTTCTTCTGACGCCATTGAAATGTAGCTTCACCATGTACTTGCCAAACGGATTGTATACAGGCTGTTTGTTTTTATTTTTGGGGTAAATTATTGATGTGATTATTTTCTTGTCGAACCTTCTCTCGTATAACGCGCTAACTGCGAGCGACGCGACGAATGAGCAGTCGGACACTATCTGAACAAAACATGGTTATTTAATTTTTTATTACAAATCAAGCTCCTGCCTACTGGCCCATCCGGTGATAATTTACTGCCGTAGCCTATAGCACAGCTGCTTAAACCTAGTTTTCTTGTTAAGGTCTCCTCATCATCAGCCTATTAATGTCCTCACTGCTGGGACACAGGCCTTCCCTATAGATGAAATAGGGAGACTGGGAACGAGTGCAGATGCAGCCGGGACCAATGGCTTAACGTGCCTTCCGAAGCACGGAGGAACTCGAGATAGAAGATTTTTGGTCACTCATCCAATGACCGACCACTGCGAAAGTTGCTTAACTTCAACGATCGCAGCCGAACGCGCTAACCACCTGCGCCATCGAGCTCCTACTATTTCGAAAGCAAATGGTTTTTTTTTTGTTATTAATTAGATTAAGTTTAGGGTTGTTTTGTATTCATCCTATGACATCTCATAGTCATCCTACTCATCATTTTTTCTTTACTAGACCTATTGACCACACAACTTGCATGTCACAGAAAATAAGAAATATGTACTACCTGAATCAACTAATGTATACGGCAATCTCAAACTGAACTATGTAATAATAATAATAATAATAACTTTATTGCTTAAAAAACTGTGTACAATTATGCAGTTGGAATTGCAATAATAACATAGTCACAACAGTGTGCCCATAACGGGCATGCAATGGTAAAATTTATAACTTAAAACTATCTTAATTTAAAAAGTACATTTTAGAGCCTAAATTATATTAAGTTTTACAAGTATAATATTCATCAAGATTATAAAAAACATTATTTAATAACCAGCTTTTTAACTTAAATTTAAACAGTGGCAAATCCCAAAATTATTAAAAGAAGGACTGCATGCAATCAAAAATCATATTCTAAAGGTAAATTTAAAACTAATCTTGAAAATTATACATAGTGATTCACGTGGTTCAGATAAACAATTGGCGTTGCTTTTCGACCTTCTCAAGTGCTTGTAACAGCCTTCTAGACTGAATAAATGATTTTTGAATTTTTTGTTGTATTTTTTTTTATTGCTGAATACTTTGCGAACAGCAGCTTTGTCATGTGTTTTTAAAAATAGATACTCCTCATTGAAATTTTAAGTAAATGACTTTTATTATTAATATTTATAGTCCAAATGTAAAGAAAATATAACTAGAAAAAACTTCCACACGGACCAGGCAGCAGACGGGACTCGAACCCGCACCCTTCGCTGTCCGGGCGAATGTACTGACCAATTATGCTACCGCGGCCCTAATGGCCGCGTCGAAATTCTTCTTGCCATTCTTAAGCTGAAAGGCAGGCAGGTGTGAGAGTGAGAGTGAAGGAGACAATCCAGGGGATGGGTTCGAGTCCCGTCTGCTGCCTGGTCTGCGTGGAATTTTTTAGATCAGTTATATTTTCTTTAGATTTAAATATCTAGCAGTTACATGCTTAAAAATAAAAAATATATTTATAGTCCAGTCAAATAAGACTTTGAAGGTTACAAAAATTCCCATAGAGCTAAAAATTGGTATGAATGTTCGGAATACTAGTACGAGAAGGACTTATTTTTGATGAACCAGCTTCTTCTTCTTGGCGCCGTCTTTTTACGGCATCAATACTACTTTTTCGAGTATAATTTTTTCGACACTGCACATGAATTTTTACAGATGTCTGGTCTTGCAGGTACTCCGAAAACTCATCACCTCTTTCAATGCTTGCATCAATTAATGCGTTCATGCCGCGATCAACAGTAACAACTCTACTTTCAGTCAAAGGTTGACTTCAAATAAAGCAGACGTTTTTTTTTGAAAGCAGTAAAATGAATAAACTTTGTTACAAAATATAAGCGATAGCCACGAGTTGTCACTACGAAGGAATGCTTACGACTAACAGTGTTTTGTTGAGTATGAGACCTTTGAAACGGAGCAGATATACGGGCATCGCCACGCTGACAATTAAATGGAAGACAGATGTTACTCAAGGACATGCGACTAAATGAAAATAGGGGTGGAGTTTCTGACGTTCATTTATATTCTAAGAATTTTATAATTTGTGTGTATAAGACATAGCGACTCCTATGTTTACTCGTATTACGGTTCAAAAATGTATATAAAACTACATTAACGTGTATATTACGAATATTTTTTTTTCAATTCTTTCAACCGCTATATCACGGAAATGGCAATACTTATGATAAAAAGTGTGGATACATATTTTGTAGAGAATCGGATAAACTACAATTTTTGTCTGAACTATTTTTGCCGTAAAACTCACCGTTTAGCTGAAAACGCGGAAACCCTATTTTTTCAAACTTTCACCATCAATAAAAAAAATGCACAAGGGGTATTGATGGGAACTTTTCACAATTCATTTATAATAGTATTCTGAACATTCATACCAATTTTTAGCTCTATGGAATTTTTTGTAACCTAACTTCTATTTTAAGGACTAATTTGACTGGACTATTAATAAAAATACATATTCATTACTTACCGTCTGTTTAATACTGAAGCAATCTACATGATCGTGTACAATTAATTTTGGTTCACTGCATATTTCATGTGGCCTGATCCAGCATTGAAACTCTTGTTCTTGTTTAGAGGATAGTTTTAACTCACTAGCTCTGTCTTCAAACGGTAATGCATACTGGAATTTTTCTGACAAATCTACATCCATGAATGGTAGGAAGCAGTTGTTGTTAATATTAGATGTCGTCCTTAATACTTCCTTCTCTTCTTCTGTGTAAGTGTGTTTACCACCACTGACTTTCAAATGTACACTCTGTTCTCGCTGGAATTGTGCTCTGTTCGGTGAGACAGCTGTGTAGAAAATAAATTATTAAATAAACTTAATTAAGTTTTGGAATACAACAAGAGTCAGTTCACACCGAGACGCGACGCGATGCTGCGATACTGGAAGCAAGGATTTTTCGCTGCGCCGCGAAACCCAACACAACTTCGTGAGGTACATCAACCGATATTAAATAAAAAATAGTATTTAATTTTGCTCTGAATAGGTCAATTTGAATAAAGTATACATTCATTTTATTTTATTTCATTCTCCGCGTGCACTTCTGCCTGTTCATCTTCTGCAAGAAGTCCAATTATAACGAGATCCCTCCTCCTCGCTCCGGTTTTCTCAATACTGACCACCTCCTCGCAGAGAAAGTTTGTTGCGGATTACGTGACGCCATCCGTCTCGATCTGCCGCCGAGTATAGAGCATCGTGAACCGTGTCGGGCTTCTTCCACGTGGTCTTTTTCCTTCTACTTTGCCAGTGACCATTAACATTTTTTTTATCAGTGTGTATGCTGTTGGTCGCAGCTAACCCTACAGCGTCACCGGGTTTGGGAACGGCGAGATCCTAAGGGGACCTCAAGCTGAGAATTGGCGAATGCCTCTAGAGGTATTCCAGTCGGATGGCATCTCCCCACGTGGGCAGTCTCCTCTCCATCTGGAGCCTCTAGTCTAGACCACTCGAACCTGAGGGGGGCCATTAACAGCACCACATCTCGAAAGCGATGCTTTCGATTTATACTCGTATATATATACAACATAAAATGTATATATAATATGGTCACAGTCAATTTTCTTCAAGGTTCAAGCCTCCACTCCGTGCAAGAGCATTGAGAACACCAGAGTGCGTCCAAAATTGGATTTGGTTTTCAAAGATATGTTTAAAAAGATCCCAGACTTTTGTTATTTATTTTTACTCAAAGACCTCAACCAAACTGCATTAATTCTACACGAAGTCTGGACGGATATAGTAGAAACAAGTTGGCATAGCGTCCTCAGGCTGCAAGACCGAACCAACGCGTTGCATCGCTCTACGCCACGAGGCATCTCGAGGCACAGCACTGCGTGGCGCAACGTATATTATAGTATTCAGAATTCTCACAATGAAATGTGTATCTTTTCATGTAAGTAGTAAATAAAGTTATGTTTTGAGTCGCTCTTGTGACATTTGCGCGAAGCATCGCGTTTCGTTGTGAGCTGACGCAGTTTCTAGTGCATATAGGTAATACATACACAATATGTACAGTACCAATTGAATTCAAAATGCAATTAATTTTTATGATGGTACCTCACAAGAAAAGTTTTGTTAAAAAGACGCTTGAGCTTGAAGCTTGAAGTTTCAATAGACATTGACAATAATCAAAAAAATACAGAAATATATTACATTATTAGTTATAATTCTTCTTTAAATTTTTTACAACTGTGTTATTTGTGGCAAAGATTGAAGCAAAAGCAATATTGTGGATGCAATGACCATTATGCTGACGCGGCCCTAATTGTCCGTTTTGAATTTTCTCTAGTAAAAGCAATGTTATAACAGAAATATTACAACATTAGTCACATTCACTGTTTTAACAATTAAGTGATTAATTTGTAGCAAATAAAAAACCAATATTGTACTATTAAATAAAACTAGTTTTAACAGGTTAATGCACGAAACTTTATTTACTTATTGACGTTTCACAGCCTTTCCAGGTCTGCATCGTCAGAATAATGACATTCATGATCATCATTCTGACGATGCAAATCAATTGATGTTCCTAAGAAACAAATGTGCATTAACCCGTTAAAACTAGTTTTATTTAATGGGTGATGTGTGTGAAAACCTAAGAAACAAATATAATATTATACTATGTATAGTATATATCACAAATTACTCAGCAACATAGTCAAAAGAAAATATTCACTTACTTGGTCTGTTAGGTTCATTGATGTCCAATGCACCAAGTTTCTTAATGCCTTTGATTTCTTCAGCTCTATCCAAAGCTTGAGCAGCTAATGATTTAATTTTTGTTAAAATTTTTACATCACTTGTTTTCTAAAAACACGCAAAGGAATGTCATTGCCAAGAGTTTCTAAATATCGTATAAAATACAGAACAGAGGCCCATGTTTTGACAGCTCTGCAATTGTATCTTCATCAAATTATTTTTGTTATGGAAGGGGACAATGTGTTCTTATATCCGGTAAGGGCACTGCTTAGTTTTCATAGAAACTTTCATGATGCGATACGATAACAGAGATGACAAAATTTTTTCTTGAGCCTCAGTACACAATGAATTGATTTCCAGAAGCTACTTACTGCACTGACAGCCAGTTCAACAGCTTGTGTATACAACTGTAGTGCCAGATCTTTTAGATCAGCCTCATCGGCATCCAACGCTTGTTGCATCAGGAAATAACATTGTTGCATACACCGCTCACTTTCAGCTTGCTGTGCTTCCTCTGAAAATAATGTGACTTTATTAAGAAACACCCAATTCTCATAATTTTTAGAGTCATTGAGAGTAGTAAAATAAATAAATTATGGTGTCGATTGTGGGGTGATTCTCTAAACTTAAAACTAAATTTAACATCAGTCTCTCCTTTTCACTCTGTATAGAAAATGACAAGGATACACTGTTGTCAAATTTAGGTTTAGATTTAGAGAATCATGCCAGAATCGACACCAATATTTCTAAAACACAACAATCCAGTGAGCCACATGTCACAGGGTGATAGGGTATCAATATAAATTCATTATAATGATGATGGTAACTTGATATAACGCTAAGTTCATAACTTAGCTTAGTAAGAATTTGATACAAGTAAATAAATGTGCATATGTAAACTTACACTTAACAATACCACATTTAGCAATGCTTGTGTGAGTCTAAGCTGTAATATTAAAAGTGACTTGTACCCCATTACCTACCCAGTTATAATAATGTACTGCCTATTGCTATTTATTTTTATTGTTTTAGTGCAGAAATCAACTACATGAACTAGAACAAAAAGAAGGCAAATTTTTCATTCAATAAAATAATCAGCAGATGATGTCATATATTCGTAATATTATTTCTTTATTCACAATTTCATAAAAAAATGTTTCTTATTTATTAATTTTTACATTTACTTGGTGAAATTGATAAGATTGCAGTAATGTGCAAATTTATTGGAATACTAATATTATCTGTTAGTCATTGAAATGAATGTGAGTCATCAAATCATGATCAAAGCTTGGAAACTGTTGTATTTACTATGACACTTAACCTTATATTAAAAAGCATCTACCTTTTTGTTCTTGGAGTGCAGTAGCTCTCGCAAGGTACTCTCGCACTTTATCGCGAATTTCTTGTCTCCGCTCAAAAGGCACGGAATCCCGAACTCTGTCGAGCAAGCGAGCAGCAGTCCTGTAACATTCTACCGCCTTATCGACATCCTTCATTCGATCAAACTGGATAGCAAGGGAAGCAGCTTCGGTAGCATTCTCCATGTCACTCATAATTAATACTCGAAGGATCAAACAATTGCAATAAATTTTTTAAGGTAACAAAACAAATGTAAAAGGTAAACAAATCGGAATTTCGTGTCTTGACATTGACACTGATGACAAATAAATTCACATTGGGTGTATTCCGAAATATACACCGGTACGCTGGCTAGCGGTAATGACGTCATGAATCGACGCCATGCTGTTGATTCGTTCCAAATACACTGATCAGCGCGGTGACGTCATGAACTGGCGCTATATTCAAGCAGTCTCGTGTTTGTGTGAAACGTTCATGCACCAAAAATTATAATAAATTTGAAGTTACAATATTAACTGTGATTATTTAAAAAGAATGGAAGTGATAGCTCTAAAACTTAAATTTAACAACAGTGTATCTTTGTCATTCTCTATACAGACTGAAAAGGACAGACTGATGTTAAATTGAGTTTTAAGTTTAGAAACTCCTGCCAGAATCACCAATATCTCGTTACGTATATGTTACAATTTAATACAAAAAAGAACTTCACTAACTGCAGAGCGTATACACCCGGCTACGTCACAGTATTCTCATCAGCATAATATGGCGGCAGACCCACCAGTGTAATATGGCGTTGAAATCATGACGTCATTACCGCTGGCCAAAGTACTGGTGTATATTTCGAAATATACCCATTATTTCACATCCATCACATATTGTCAATGACTAAAGAAGTAAGAGGACTGGAAATACCTACAAAAAAAATGTGCATACCTAACTCATGGATTTGTAACAAAAAATGGCTGCCATCGCTTAGGGCTGCCACTAACACACTATTCAATATTATTCTTAAAACATTTACCCAGAACAAAACTGACTTATGATAGCTTCAGGCTGTTTCTTGTTTTAAGATAACGATATAAATAAAAAGATTTATATAAAAATATATTTTAATAATATTGTTCTTTTATATCCAATGACACACATAGTCAATTATTATCTTTCCATATGAAACCTCCGATGTTGTTAACGAACAAGACTGTTGTATTGTGACAACTAACTAACCTAACTATACACTAAGATCTGTACTTGTACCACACAGACTCACAATAAAGATTTTTTCTTATTCTCTGACGTCAGTGTGCCTCTCCGGCGGCAGTATTTGAATTACCTGTGAGCGTGGCACCTACAACCATAAGTCCACTAGTCATCTAAATACATTATATTTATAATTAGCTATAACCCTCGACTACGCAAGATAATTAAGATGTTGTATGTTGAAATGAGTGACTGCCCTTCCTGATTTTACGGCTATCTCACTTAATATAGATATCTAATCCAATTAAATCAGATCAACTTTATTAAGATTATATTTATTTTCTTGATAACATTAAAATATGAAACATTTACCAAAGAAACATTATTTAAAAGAACAAAATAATGGAACGATTTTTAATCAGCGACATAGTTCAACTAATACGGTTTTCCCATACCATTTTTTTACCCGTTTAGGGGTTGAATATAAACTCCCGTCTTAGTGAGCGTCTACGTCTTAAAAAGAACCCCTATGCAAAATTTCAGACTCCTAGTGATTGTAGTTTCTGAGAACGACACCATGTCGATTTTTATATTTTCAGATAGGATGGTAAGGGTAAGATGAAAATAAAATGTTATTTTTTACAATCTAGATGTTTTTATTCATTTCTAAACAGTATTAATTTGTTTAAAAATTGTCTATTTGACAGATTTGCACATTTCATTTGACCATGATATTTAAATCTTATTTCAAGAAAGATCTTAATTATGCTCTTTATCTTAAGTAACTTATGGTCGGCACAGTGGTCAGAATTAGTATCAGCAGAAAAATACTTTTTAAAATCATACATTTCACATAACAAAATAGATTTTTAACAATTTTTCTGTTTTTGATTATTTAAACCTGCTTCAGCATTCACATGTTAATACCATTCACACAATGTTCTTGTATGAGGTAAGCAAGTATTATATTTCTGCCTTACATATTTGTAAGCTTTTGGGGATAAAAAATGTTAAGTTAATGCAAATTTTCTTATATCTTCTGAGTATTTATTTAGTAGAGGTAATCCCGTCGTCTTAAAAACTTGTCTTTATAAGAAGTCCCTGGGATGCTGCCAAATCTTCAATCAAAATAGCCTGTTCCATGCTTATTTGACTTTTTTGTCGAAGATCCTCAATAATATCTTTCAAATTGGCAATTTTGTTCTCTTTACGTCTAAGTTTTTCATTCAGGTATTTTATTTTCTTCTGCTACTTTAAACATTTATTATTCAGTCTTAACTTTTTTACATTTAGCGACCTGAAATTACAAATATATTCAATGTTAATAATTAAATTAACTTAACTATTTTATTTATATTAGAATCTACATTAAGCACAAGAAAATTCATTACAGAATTTTATTTTTTGTTATTATTTATCAGTAGGTTGGCAGATTCACTTCCAGTATATTAAATTATTTTGTATATTTTAATTTACTATTATGTATACGTTTCCGCCTACCACTTTTAAGAAAATAAATGAAAAATAATGTTTTACTAAATACCTCTATATTCACTTTTTATGATACACTGGTAATGGGAACAAAAAAGAAGCAGCAGATGTGCTAGCAACAGCAGTCTTAACATTGCTTGTTTTACTTAGTAGAGATGTCTCTTGTATGGCTGATCGCTGAAAAGTAAATACACAAATACAGTACACAAATTATTTTTCACATAGATCCAATTTTCCCGGTTATTTGATGAGTACAACCTCCAGGATTTAGAACGATTTTTAGGCATTAGCAAGCATTTAAGTTCTTAGTATTTTGTTTTGTTGTATTTTAGTTGTGTGTGACTAGGCTGAAATTATAATGGTCATTTATTTTCATATTTTTTATAAATAACACTTACTGGAAATGGAAAAATTGTTGGCAATGAGTTTTCACGAAAACGTATTACATAAAGTGTTTTATTAAAACCGCTTTCCTTAAAATGCAGTGAGCAGAGGTACCTAATTTTTTGCCGTGGATTAATATTTCCTTTGCCGATGGCCTCTAACCATTTTTCCTTCAAAGCTTCATTCTTCGGAAATCTAAAAATAAAATAAACATTAATTACTTACATCATATTGATATGACACAACCCTATTCAGATTAGTAAACATAAGATAAATAAAATAATAGAAATAATGCCTTTATCACATATATATGACCTTATATCAACATTTGTAACATCAATAAAGGATTATGTTATGTTTTTCTTTTCAATCTGAGTGATTTATGAGTTATTTTGCTAAGAAACGGGAGACTAACCTATGAAGCGTCAATTGAGGTTGATTTTTGTTTTTTCTTGCACTACACATCACGACACAACATTTAGGCATCTTTACAACCAGTTTTTCCGCACTACCACGTATTTTAGCACATATTTTCTCTTAATAAAGCAGTATATCTCAATATTTCCAAATTGTAAACAAACTGATGACAGGACAAATACCTCAAAACTCGTAACTTAAAATGGCGGAATTGGCACGTGCCTAAACTTTTGACAGATTTCTATGATATTTTAGCATTGAGTGGAATATGTCTGTCTCCTTCGTCAAACACAATTGTACTGTGGAAAGAAAGAGATAAAGATATATTTTACGCTTTATGTCATAAATGCCTCGTATTTATATAAGTTAAATTTTCTATATGTTGACAAGAGCTTCTCCATAGGCTTTGTTACTCTGAGCATATTGTGGACAAACAATGCACTGTTTTTAGGTTTTCCCATTTCGGGAAGGCAAAGGAAACAATGCTCATACAGCCTAGTCTTCGTTTTGCTTTGTTTAGAATGTGAGTGTGTTGGTGTATTGGTGTGACACATTCTAATGTTGCTTGGAGTGTTTGGCACGAAATGTATCGAGTCCGCTTTCTCAATAAGCTTCTGTGAGGTAGTCAACACTACAATAAAGTTCTCATGTCTACTTGACCTGAATAGCGTATATTTTAAAGATTCCACAATTCTATAATTGTGCAGACGGTTGTAACACAAACTTGACAACAGAGTACCCACAGAATAATAAGTAGAGACTGATGTTAAATTTAGGTTTAGAGAGACATGCCAAAATCGACACCATTGTATCTATACTTATTCAGTACGTAACTTTGTGAAGAAATATCAATTAGACAGCTGTTTAAAGGCTCTCTGCACAAAAGTAAACATTCTTAAGTGCGTTTTATTCAATCTTTTGAATCAGATACTTCTTGCAATATTGATTAGTAAAATTCCAAACTTATCTTGATGAGACCCGCATTTGATTTGATTTTTTTTTCGTTAACAAATTGTCTTTTCGAGTTACTTTTATGACACTCTTATTTCACTATATGTGAAAACGGTTATCGTAGCGTGCCGCAACTTTTACAAGTTTTTTTTAATTAAATAATATCTAGATTTAAAATCTGTAATTTTGAAGTCTTTGCTAATTTTTGGAATCACTTTTCTACTGTGTCTACCCTATTTTTCATCATGATAGCTCATATATAATGGAACGTGAAAGGAACAGAGAAAAAGTTTATTTAGTACAACATGCATGGACTCAACTCAATACAAGGTGTATTGAGATAAGATATATATATATATACATAACTAATAATAAGTTCAATGCAACTTCATACCTACCTACTACTCGGTGCTTAGGGGTTTTAGTTTTAAGGGGTTTTCCTATTTATTTTTGGTTCTGCACTCTCCATTCATTAAACGGAAAAGGCAAAGACGACAAAATGCACCATACAGCCAAGGGAGTTTTCCTTTTTGGAAGCTGGTAGCACTGTAATAGGTTTTGAGCGTTTTGTTCGTTCCGAAGTTAGATGGTAGGTTGGTTGGTAAAAAGTCTGGTAAAAATCGAAAAATAGATATCTGTTTCGTTTTGTTTCGCTTACTGTCAAAAAAAAGCATCTGATATCAGTGGCTGAATCTGAAGAATTCGGTTCTGGCCACTTCTGGCACAATTTGGATAAAGTCGTACACAATCGTAAGCGTTAAACAAAATCTAGGTGCATCATTTTCAATTAAAGTAGTAACAAAATATACAATATCGTTTTATAACTTACAAAAATAACTAAATCAGTTAAGTGAAACAGGAGGAATTCAAGAATGGGTTCTGAAGCGTTATTGACTGCTGAAAATGAAATTCGAGACAACTTGGTATGTAATTTCAATCCGTTCAATCTATTGTACAGTCTTATTAAATAACTAGGTATCCCACTATCAGAAACCTGCTGGTCTTGATTAAGTAAATCAAATCAACTAATTTGCGTTTGACCTTTGCTCTTAAATAAATTCTTTGTTTGTATAGGAATTGGCGAATAAAAGACAAGATATCACTGTTTGCTTATAATGCAATCTGATCAGATTATAATCATCATTATTTTTTATTTATAGGGATATTTGATTGTTCAACTTTAAAATCTGATTATTTTCTTTAATATTCTTAGGTTTGGTTTTAAAGTTGGTACCCATATGTATATAAATGGGAATTATTTTTTTGAGCTGTTATTTAAATATTCGAGATGTTATAATGATCAGTTGAAAAACATATTGAGCTATTATTTAATTAAATGCCGGTTGGTTAATTATTGCAACAGTAAAACATGGACAGTAATAAAAGATCAATTAGTTGGTTGTTTTATCATACAATGTCAATTCTAAAAATAATTGAGCAGTCCAATAACTGAATGAGCGGTTGAAAAATAGTTCAGCAGATCATAGTGAGCGGTAACAACCGAACTCAAATACATTGAAAAGAGAGGAGGAAAGGGTGACCTACTCTTATTATACAATAAGTTTATTTTAGCTGCTACTAAGCAAATTCTATGTCCTTTTAATTACTTAAGTATATTTCAAATTATTAATAAAAGTTCGTATTATTATTATACAATTTGTTGTATTTAATTCCTTCAGTAAAAAAAAAGTAATTTATTTTTTTGTTACTATTTAAGTACTGTTGTTTTATTTTATTTTACCACCTCATTGTTTATAGAATTGCTTAAAATGAGATTTCTTACCAACAAATTCCGATTTATTTATTTATTACCCACATGTAACCGCTCATTCTATATCTTTTACCGCCTTTTATTATTTTTCTGCTCTATTATATATTCACTGATCCATTTCATTATTTTTTATTACTCATTATTGTTTACTTTACTGCTTAGATTTATTTATTTTAAACTTTATTGACCAAAATACAATATAATGGTACAAAAGGCGGACTTAATGCTAATAGCATTCCTTTGGGAAAAAAGAAAAAGACGAACAGATTTAACTGCTGAACTGGTTATTAAACATGCTATTTATAATTTTTAACTTACCAAAACTGCTATTTACAACTGTCTCTTTAAATCAGTGCTTATATATATTTATGGATAGCGATTTACTTTTAAGTTTGATTAAAAATTGTTCTATCACTATATCATATATCTATAGAATAAAGCAACACATATCACACATGAAGCATTATATTTAATTGACTCTGAGCGAAATTGTTAGAAATATTTCTTGATTTAAAACTTTCAACATAATTACTCATCCTAAAATTTGTTTTTCTATAATATGTTATAATATTTTCTATGTAATAACTCTTCACTCAATATCAGGTCATGTGAGGTAACAGCTCCTTATACATATTTAAATTTAAATTAAAAAAGAAATCACATTGTGAAATACTTTTATTATTTACCTACTTAAAATGAAAGCAAAATGTTTTGAATTTGGGGGAAGTGAAAGTTGCAGGTCTCAGATTAGGAATACATTTTTGTCACGGATCAGGTCCGTGATTTTTGTTACCAATTTTAATGAAATAATTTTCTCAATGAAACCATTACTCAGTTTACCATATTATTTGTATATATTATGTTATGATATCAAGAAATTCATCAGGGTTAATCTATCCCTATCATTGTAAATGTATATCTGCATTCTACAGCAACAACTCAGTAAACCGAAATGAGATAATAATATAAAATCAAGAATTTGGAGATGTAAACCTGAGTTGATGTTTGAATTATCAACGAATTGCGTTTTTCTGGATTTTTGCGGTAATTGTACAGCAAAAATCCATAGTAAATCATCATTGGATGATTTACTATGCATATTTACTAATTCTCAGTACCTCTGTATACAGGTGACAACAGCTGTAAAATTTCTGACAAATCCAAGTGTGCAACGATGCACTATGGAGAGCAAAGAACGGTTTCTACGTAACAAAGGCCTCACAGACCCTGAGATACAAAAGGCTGTAGAAAAGTGTGCTGAACTTATTGACATGCCATCAGTTACATCAGAGCTTATGTACTTTCGACATTCAAGAAGTTCCTGGTTCAAGGATAATGTAATGCCGTTAATTATATATGGAGGAATTGCCTATGGATGCTATTGGTTCTATAAGGTGAAATCAATATTTTTCTTTAGAATTTATATACTTATTGACATGCTACACTCAGAAAAACTCATAAAACTAATGTTATAAAATGTATGGTTTTTAGTGCAAAATCTGAGCTGATTAATTAAAATAATTTCTCTATACTAATCCCATATGGTTAAGTCCTCGTGTGATTTATATAGTGTGTCTTTAGAAATTACAAAAGGTCTTGTTTTATTTAGTAAATTCAGATTTTGCACTGTGTAATATGTTACACAACCCTTTAGCACTTTTCTTCTAAACACATTGACGTGCATAAGTAAGTGCTGTATCTGCACTAAAGCTTAGTTAAAAGTCAAGATTTTCCTATAGGTTATTAATCATGAATCATTATGAGACATACAATTAATATACACTTATATCTTATCTCCAAACCACACAAACTTAAAAGTATATTATGTTTGGTGTTTAAGTATACAGAGATTAAAATCTAACACATCAACAACAGTCTAAAATATTCAAGAGGTTCTTGAAATTTTTACTTATTCATAGAGAACAAAAAGTAACAAGTACTTATGAATAGAAACAATGCAATTATAATTACACCCTGTTCACTTTACACATAGTTCAAATGGAAATGGGTTTAAAGGCCACATTATATAATATTAGCTTAAAACATGCTTATAATTTGTGTGTATAAGTTAAATTAGAATAAATATTTCATTCTGGTCTAAAATTATAGAAATGAACCATTTGCCTAACTAGGTTGGTAAATGTTTATTATATGATTTCTTCTGACCTGGACCATACTTTAAAGGGTGGCACCTTTAACTGAGTAAGAAATATGAGAAATAAAGTCGAAGGCAGAAATTTTAAAACAGTTTTTGATAACTATGACCACTAAGAGGCTGTTAAAATGATGCGGTTTACGAAAATTAAATAGAAATTTCTATTGCTTCTAGGGGCCTAAGCACGAATTTTTGTCAGCTCCGTCATAACTATCTGCCATCTTAAAGTCATAGTCAAATTTTGTATGGAAAGTGCCAGTTTGTTCTTACGTCTGATAGGGGGCCGCTGCATTGTTTTCATAGAAACTGACAATGCGATAATGTTACAGAGGCAGTTGTTTTGTGGATTAGGTACCTCGATGGCAATGACACAGGGCAGCCTTTAGAAACACTGAATAGAACTTATATTAACTACATAGTTTAAAGTTGAATTGAATTCCGTAATAAGTCCGCTCCGCTTTTCGTGGAGACCTGGCATTCGGGTGCACACTGCCCGAAACACGATCGAGGATATCTGTAAAGAAGAAACTAATGCCGCCATGTAACATACGATTCTGTGAGGGAGCATGTCCAGTCTAGCCATTATTGTGCACCAAGAAATACTTGTCAATTCTCGATTTGACAGTATCATATTTTTAATATGCTCTATAAAATATGAAAAGAAGACACTTTTGTAAAGTGGACCACCCCACCCGCTGTCTCATCATCATTATCAGCGAAATAATTACCCCACTGCTGGCTTTCCTATGGAGGGAATAGGGAGATAAGGCAGATTGGTGTTTGCTAACGACTACAGATGCAGTCGCAACGTGCCTTCCGGAGCACGTTATAATAAGTTTTTGGTCACCCATCCAATGGCAGACCATTACAAAAGCTGCTTAACTTCCAAGATCGCAGGCTGAACGCGCAAACCATCTGCGCCATCGAGCTGCTCCTGCTATCTGACTGATCCTTAAAGTTAAAGAAACCTGCTAAAATTAGGCCCGTTAGCTAAGTAAATGTTAAGGTGCCTCGCGATGAACGCACGCGCATGTAACGTAGACATGCTCTTTGATTTCTTAAAGTTAGACAACTTAAGAACCCACATAACGCAGCGGACGGCCTCATATGTATATTATTTCCATGCTATAATAATAGCCTAATACTTACATTAACTTTATTTTTTATACAGAACTTTATAAGACACATACTCTTCATTGAACAACCAAAGCGAAAGTCCACATCGGAGTGCATAGACGAACTCCGCAAGTCACTAGACATATTGAACGCGAATGTGACGTCGCTGCGCTCGGAAATGCAAGCAACGACCCAACAGAGCATATTACGGTCGCAACTCGACAACCTCAAGTCTGATATAGCATCTGTAAAAGGAATACTGTTAAATAGGTAAGTGGACAATGTTCTAAAGCTATCCACTAACACTTTTTCATTTTCAGGTTCCGGGTAAATATCATGGAAGATATAAAGTCGGACATATTTTGTATTAGGCCTAAACGATATAATTACCCTAGATACAACATCACCAACAAAATCGTGGCCGAAACCTGTCCAAAAGGTACATTGGACGATCCACGGAGCTCCGTAAGATGATCGCGTAGTCAAAAACAATAAGAGGTCTTATTTAAACATTGCTTTAATGTATACTGTATAATATCTTAATTAAAACGCATGCGTCAGAGTTATGACAGTTCGAAATGCAAGCTCGTAAAATTTTACGACTTATTGTTACATGTGGCAGAATATAGACCTTAGTTCTTTGACACTACGCGCAATTCTGAATGGGCTGTTAGAAATATAGCAGGTACGGACCGCGAGGAAAAGAGACGGCTATATTACCGACTATGCATTTGAATATCATAAAAAATATTTTCTATTAAATCACTTAGTATTAGAATTTAGTAAGTATTAGAACAAAATTGGCTTCGAATGCGTTTAATTAACAAACATTGTTTAGATTCCTGTTGAAGGAACGACACTTTATGTACTATAAGTATTTATTTCGCATTTTTTCACGGAGCTCTAAGGCATCTTGACTTTTCAACGGTACGCGCCTGACTGTGGACCAAGAAGTGCTTGAGTGGTATTCAAGCACTTCTTGATTGGGTCACATTTTGAGCGCACGATGTGTATCTAGGGCCTATGGTATTTAATATCGTTGATTAGGCTTTCTTAGTATCGTCGCTTTACTTCTATTTTCCTACCTACTCATAGTGAAGAAACATGGAAAATCTTCGGAAATTTCGGTTAAACAGTTTAACCTAAAAGCGTAACAGACAGATATTTTCCCATTTATAATATCAATGTGGATGTGCTAAATGCATTATTAATGTTCTCGAACGATAACCCTTACAGAGTTTATTATGTTTGTGTTACGACTTTACGACGATTATGTCTGAGTGTGCCCTACATTAACGAGATTTGAACTTTTATCCGTTTGGCTGGCAGGCTTATTATTTTTGGCAATAGCAACTGGCGACTTCTAAACCTTACTGTCGTAGTTCAGTTGACCTATTCGCTAACGTTTTTGTCTTTTACAGTAGTATGGGAGCCCGAACGGGAATAGGGGAATTGAACCTTGAACCTTGTGAAGTAATTCCATCATACATGAGCAATTTATGTAGGGTCGAACGTCTAGGGCAGCAAAAAATAATTTAACAAACGGTCATAATTTTTGGTTGCATCCCAATAGTCTTTTAAATAGAATATACTGGAGAGCTGTCACCTAGGCTTTTTATGAATGAATGATTGAATTATTTAATCACCAAAATAAGAGTATAGTAGAATCCGTTTATTATGAATCCGCCTATATTGACCAGCCGATTATTATGAGACGTAATTACTACACTAAGAAGTTTGGTTTTCATATAAAATTACTAGCGGCCCGCCCTCGCTTCGCTTTGGTGTACAGCTGAAGTGTACATTACAGTTTTTGTTCTTAGGCTTGTATTATACACAATGACATTGATCTATGATTCTTCTTATACCTGCATGCATGGTCTCAGCCCGATCGGTTTAAAATTGACAAAGTTTCATACAAACTTTCATTCCCTATTTTATCCCCTTGGGTGTAGAATTTATCAAAATCCTTTCTTAGCGGATGCCTACGTCATAACATCTACCTGTATGCCAAATTTCAGCCCGATCCGTCCAGCGGTTTGGGCTGTGCGTTGATAGATCACTATGTCAGTCAATCACCTTTGAGTGTTATATATATATATAGATTTGTAAAAACGTATAATGACTTCCCTTACAGTGGCATGTCGCTTATTATGACCCATTTTTGATAAATTATGACCGGTTATAATGACCCGACATGATTCTTTACACCTTCGATAATGTTCGTTGATTCCTGACGACGTTCGGCACGTGGCTGGTTTTTGTTTTGAATCTCAGTGAGTAATTGACACTTGAAGGTCACGCATTGTTTGTAGTGATATTCTGTGAAAAACATGTCATCTCAAAGCCTCCGCCAACAATAGAGACTGTTATTGCAATAAAATGAAAAAACAAAAGCAGACATAAATTACAGATTACTTACATTAAAAAAACAAAATTATAGTACACTAGTGGCCCGCCCTCGCTTCGCTTCGGGGTAGAATTGATCAAAATCCTTTCTTAGGGGATGCCTACGACATAACATCTACCTGCATCAAATTTCAGCCCGATCCGTCCAGTGGTTTGGGCTGTGCGTTGATAGATCACTATGTCAGTCAGTCACCTTTGAGTTTTATATATATAGATTATATTAGTATGAAGTATACTTCCGACTGAACAACACCTTTTAATCGGATAAAGACAAAATACACATTGTGACGATCTCGTTTACTTTAAAGTTTAAAGTATGCCAACAAGCAACAAGCCAGCCATGAATGATGTTATAATAACACTTCCTTAGCTAAATCTTCATGTCTCGTTCATCTTACTTGTCCAGTAAAAGAAGTGACAGGTGGCCAGTATTGGCATTACTTGCAATAGTTATAAATGCTACGCTTATCTGATGTTGAACTTCCTCTTGCGTTTTTTTGTCTTTAGCCATGCTCCTAAGCTTTTGCATTCACAAAACTGTATATAATTTGTTCTATTGCCCGTATAACGAGTAATAATAAAAATGAGTATATTTGCAAATCAAAGAGGGGACTCTCCTGCCGTCCAAAAAATAGATTAGATTTAAGGCGTTTTTTGCTAAATGTAGTGTTCTTGTACAATGGTTTTTGATTTAAAAAGGGTCACAAGCATAAGCTACGCCTGATGTTGAGCGACCATCATAGACTTTACACGCTTGCGGTACCACTTGCTGTTGCTTATTTTTGTATATAGCCAGGTAAGCAAATGACTCTACCCCACCTGATGTTAAGGTGGTGATAAAGTCCAAACGCGAAGATGGCTGGTACAGCAGCAAGGGCGTCGCCAGCTTATGACTAAGGGGGGGGGGGGGGGGGGCAATGGGGCAATATAATAGGTACGGAAGTCAATTGCTCGCACTTTGGTCGCTTTGCGGCTAGCTACATTTGATCTCTAGGGGGGGGGACTGCCCCCCTGCCCTGCCGTATAATTTTCTTTCAATTTAAACATCTAGCAGTTAAAAATTAAAATATAGAATTCTCTTAACTTAAAACTAAATTTAACATCAGTCTCTCCTTTTCATTATGTATAGAGAATGACAAGGATACACTGTTGTCAAATTTTAGTTTAGATTTAGATAATCATGCTAGAATTGTGCCCAATATCTCTTTAAACATATCTGATCTTTTGTCTCACGTACTGTTGAATATACGATATTCCGCGTGTTACCCAGGAACCAATTCCCCCCGCTCAAGACGCGGTCCGACCCCCCCTCTATCCCCGCGTGGCAGAGGCAATCCGAAGAGGCCACGTCCACGGAACCCGTGGCTGAAGAGAAGAAGAAGCCCCACAGGAGTCGCAGTCAGCGCTCCGAGTCCGGCGGATCCAACTCCAGCGAGGGGGAGCAGGCTACCAAGAACAGTGATAGCAGCTTGGAGATCATGTATGTAACTATAGAATTCTTACAAAATTTGAAATATTAAGCCCTACAGGAGTCGCAGCCAGAAGCCTTACAGAAGTCGCAGCCAGCGCGCCAACTTCTTTACGAGCTTATATTTAACTTGAAAGGCCTACAGGAGTCCAGTAAGGGCGAGCAGGCTACCAAGAACAGTGATAACAGCTTGGAGATCATAATGGATTGGAGGGTGAAAAGGGGATTGCTGAGTGATAGTGGAGATGATGGATGAGGGAGTAGGGTGTATTTGGGAACACTGGAAACACCCCATTGGTACCTGGGCGAGCTATGGCGTCTATTTCCTTTTGCGGCGAAAGGAATCCAGACAGACTGGAACTGTAACGCGTTACGTAACGAAGCGGTTTACCCTCCCATAAGCAGTTATCACTTCAAAATATCCGCCTAGTCCAGGCATCAGACAGGTTTTTGAACCTGCATATTCTGCTATCCGCTCGGAATTGTTTTCTCCCGCCCGACTTCTCACAATTTTTTTTACAATATATTTTACTTGGTATTGATTTTATCAGCTATTGTTAAACAATTTATTTTTGCCGTTCCGAAACCACAGACATAATAGAGAATGGACAGAGCGTTCCTTATAAAACTATAAAATAAACCAAAAATGAGTCTGAGAGAGACAAAGCGTTCGGGCGGCCTATAGTTCTGATAAACATTGACTGTTTTTCTCTCTTTCTAGAGAGTTGTCAATCTCATGCGAGTGTTGCTCCGTCTATCCTCATTATTTGTGGTCGGAAAAATTAAAACTTTTCATCATTAGCTTACTTATCTTAATACTGTCGTCCGTCAGTCTAATAATATCGACCGACCTCCGTGGCCGAGTGGTTTTTACACCAGTGTTCAAGTTGTCGCCTACTCGAGAGGTCCCGGGTTCGAATCCCGGTAGGGGCAAATGTTTGTGTGATGAATACGAGCGTATGTACTCCATTCATGGATGTTTAATATGATTTGTATATAAATATGTATACTTATATATTTATTCTTTCCGTGACCCATAACACAAGCCAACAGTGCTTACTTTGGGGCTAGGCTAATTGGTGTGAGTGTTGGAAATATTTATTTATATTATTTGTGTTTATAACAGGTAATATTCTATAATTCGTTTATCATTTTGTTTACAGAACATGAAGAGTGGTGAGGAGACTTATCTTCCATGGTCCCTGAGTCTTCGATTGGTGTTGCTTGACAGTTACTCTACTTAAATTCTTCTAAACACTAGATTAACAATTATATTTTAAACTGGTATTTTGGTATTCGTGTTGTATGAGAAACTGCTATGTAGTTTCGTTGTAAACTTTTAATCTAGTCTAATTTTTACTCTTAACAAATTACAGCCTTCAGTTTGGCATTTGAAAGTTACATAATTGTAACCTTCATTAGAATTTGAAGTTTATAAATATATTTCAGATTGCAAAGTGAATATAAAAATAAAACAATTACATGAATTATATATTTATTATTACAGTATAATTTCAAAATTTTATATGTTTTAGCGCATCACGATTGACGTCATCATTTATAATTTATTATTATAACATGATAATTATATTTATAGATAATTATATTTTTAATAGTTCTTTCTAGGATGTGTCTCTCATACCTCCTAGTGTGAACATTGTCACTGTAATAATATCGAACTTCATAATAATTTTACTATATTTTATATCTTTTTCTATTATTATCAATTTGAAAATCTTCACTTTAAATTCTTTTTATTTTAATTCATAATAATTTGTTACTTATTTTTATTATGTTAATACGTTTTGAATAACTGTGCGCCTGGAAAATGTGTATGTCAACTTAATTGTCAATTGCAAATTCCATCGCAAGGCAAACTGGTAGGCACAAGTTGTATATTTTTACAAAAATATTTTATCACATCTCTTGCCTGATGCATGGGCGTTCTTAAACTTATTCTCTTAGGAGCGTCCATAAATTACGTGAGATGTTTAAGGGGGGGAGGGGGTCGAGTGAAATCTCATCTAATCTTACGTTGGAGAGAGGGGGGGTCTCGGCAAATATCACGCATTTTTTTTTTAATGAAACAAAGAGAACTATACTATTTTGGTCCATTTAATCTAGATTGTAAACGCTTAATATTTAATCGTAAGCGTTATCGTAATACGATTAAATCATTCACTTATTGGTTCGAAAGGAAAGTAGCCGTAAATAAAAGCACGAAGCATTTTTTTTTTTCTTTTTACAATAACAATCCAACGCGTTTACGTAAAAAACCCACATTTTGAAAAATCTCACGTGAGATTGGGGGATGGGGGAGGGGGTTGAATAAAATCTCACGACATCTCACCAGGGGGGGAGGGAGGGACAGAAAATTCAAAAAAACACCTCACGTAATTTATGGACGCCCCCTTAACAGTTATATTATTTTAAAGGTGGCTCTTACTGCCTTATTACAAAAAGTTTAATTGAACAAGTTACAACGGGTTAGATGCACTGATTTTATTTATTTATTGACGTTTCGCAGCCTTTGCAGGAATGCGTCGCTGGTATAATGACTTTTTATTTACTTTGTCGAGCTATTATCGAAAGACTTTTATTGAGCGTTCGGATATTTCATTGAAAAATTTTTAAAACTTTATTGTCTATGAATGAATTTATTAGCTAATTTAATTAATAAAGTACTTTATTTAATTCTTTTTATAATTAAGAGTTTATTTATTTGACCCTAACTACCGTAAACTACCACCGATTCCAAAATTGGGAGACCTTTCTGAGAAGAACCGGTGAAACAAACTCCAGAGAGGCTTTCTATCTCCTTCTTATATTAAATCATTCAAACAAATAGAACTAATAGTATTTGTTGCATGTATCAGTGCATCTAACCCATTGAAACTTGTTTTATTTAATGAGTGATGTGCGTAAAAACCTAAAACATAAATATACAAAACGTTGACTAAAGTTAAATGTGGTTCAAAATTGATGCTGTAATTTTTATTTCCTATTCAATTCAATTCAATTCAAACTCATTTATTCAGTCTAGGCTGTTACAAGCTCTTGTGAAAATCAAACGCTACGCCATCGGTTCGTAAATCTACGGCGGTAGACCTTATACTGAGAAGAACCGGCAAGAAACTCAGCAAGGGCTATTTTTTTCTCCTTGTTTTGTTTCATACAGGTTGCTTTCCAATTACAGCATTATAGCGCATTATGCGGCATAATGCTTAACGTTGAGTGTTCCAACTACAGCAACGCTTCGCACAATTGAGCACTCTCAAAAGTAATGCTTTCGTGTGATGCGTGCAATCGTACCAACTTAGAGACAGAAAATTAACAAGTGTTTTTTCTTTAAGTTGGCATTATAAATAGTTTTTTTTAAATAATCAAAGTTCATTCAAACTGTTAAAAAATGAATATAAGTATGGATGAAGGTACAAACATTGACTTTTTTTTTCAACACTGAACTTAGCGCACTCTGCTGGTGCATTTGAAAACTAATTCACTTTCCAATTAAGCATCAGCATAATTCAGTATTGTGCGGCACTGAGTCGCATTATGTTCTGTAATTGGAAAGCAACCACAGTGTCGTCAAATGAAAGATGACATCAAAAATTGAATACATGTGTTGATGTCAACTTCAATCACATTAATATTATAATAAAAATAGAAGACCCCACAGCGTTAGACAGCAGATAGACTTTAATTAACGTTTAGTTCGCTGATGTTGCTCTCTTGGCCATAATAATAGTTTTTTTTTTATTAAGAAAATTAATCGATTAAAATCCGCCACGTGCAGACTTTCTTTTAAATTGTTTGTGTTAAAAAAATATCATATTATGTAATATTTTTAAGAGTGTTTGTTTTTGAGTGTTAAATATTATTTAATGTTTAAGAATCTTAGAGTGACTTGCACAATATTTGATACTAAAGGTGATATAAATGATTTGATTTTATTAACGGGTATGGAACGCGATTTATTTTTTACTGACATTATTATTGAGATTCGAACTTTTCACGAAACTGTCTCAGTAAACTTGGCCGAATCATTTTGCTAAATAAAACAAGCTGCTACTAGTGAAATGTGGTTATGTACAGGGTGTTTTAATGTTGTTTTTTTATAGATATAATTTTTGTTTTTTAAGCATGTAACTGCTCGATGTTTAAATCTAAAGAAAATATTACTAGAAAAATTTAGATCTAATTTCCACGCGGACCAAGCAGCAGACGGAACTCGAATCAGACTCGATCAAATACTCGAAACTCTTAAAAAATAAAAATTATAACTATAACTGCTATTTCTTCTTTCAAACGTTTAATGCTTGTAAAGGTCTTCATTTGACATTGTGGGTTGCCAACAATTCGAAGAGATGGCCTTGCAGCTTAAGAAGGGCTAGAAAGAATTCCACACGGCCATCAGGGCCGCGGTAGCATAATTGTTTTTTTTTATGTTAAACGGGTGACAAACAAGTTTATGGCTGCCTTACCCCTACCCCTTGGAGCTCAGGAATCTTACTCAGCGACAGAAACACAATACCACCAAAAGGTGGTGTTATTTTACTGCGATGTTCTGTAAGGTGGAGATTACTTCCCCAGGCGAGCGCTCCAATTCGAGCGGGAAATCCGCTATATCCTACCTCTCTTTAAATGATGTTCAAATATTGCGCGAGTCGCTCTTATCAATAAATAGATCTATTAGGAGGGGAGGCGGGCAATGCTTTTTCCATATAAACGTTCTCGATTGATTCCTCCTTGAGTTTTATCACTAAAGAAATGATTTTCATGTACAAAATACAATTTTACTCATTCTATGCTCCTATGTCTTCCTTTTTCCGATAACTTGTGTCTTGACGACCTCCGTGGCCGAGTGGTTTGAACGGCGGGTTTCATGGTGTCGCCGACACGAGAGGTCCCGGGTTCGAATCCCGGTGGGGGCAGATGTTTGTGTGATGAATACGAGCATTTGTAATCCAGTCATGGATGTTTAACATGTTTTTCTATATAAATATACTTATATATGTACAGTATATGTATTCTATCCGTTACCCTAGTTTCCCATAACACAAGCCTTATAGTGCTTAGTTTGGGGCTAGGCTAATTGGTATGAATGTTGGAAATATTTATTATTATTATTTAAAGAAACAAGAAGTCATCGAAAACGGCCAAAAATAAAAATAAAATATTATCACCACTAAAGACGTCTAGTGTGGTGATTTAATAAGCATTTACAAAAAAAGTAAAACATAGAGGCATAGTATAACTACTTATTATTCTTTGTGTATATTTATCATTTACATATAACTTATTTACGAGGATTATCATGAGAGCACTAAACCTCGAATTTTTCATTTTTATACGCAATTTTCAGCGTTAACTACTGTTGTCCCTATCGCACGGTATTTGCCAATGCATGACAGCAATAGCTCTTTACAAATATGTACCTATTTCTCAAAACTCATCTCGCGTCCGCTCTTAAGAATCAACCAAAGCAACACTAAAGATGTCAATCTGGACCACTCGCGATATATCTTTAGTACCGTACATTATAAGCATTTAGATATTAATACAAGGGTGAGCTTGTTAGACGATATTGTACATATTTTAAGTTAGGTTATTGGGCTGTGTGCACATACATACTTTAATTGCAGTCATCTATCGGTATTGGAAAGATAAATCTTTAAAAAAAACTAGTTAAAATTGTGTATTGATTTATTAGCTTTGTACATAAAAATTACTTGTACCAAATTTGTCAAATCTCGATATAACTAAACTAGATTTAATGTGAAAACGTCAATTCGACATTATTGTATGGGCTAAATCTAGTTTAGGTTAAATCAAAATATTGCATAATTGCTGCATCTATCAGTTTAATGCTTTAAACAACGACATTTAAAACCTTCTCGATACACCACATGCGTTCAAAATGTGTCCCAGTCAAGAAGTGCTTAAACACGACTCGAGCACAGAAGCACTTCTCGGTTCACAGTCACGCGTTGACCGTTGAAAAGTCGACATACCGCAGAGCTCCGAAAAAAAAATCGAAAAAGTACTTAGAGTAGGTAGAGTGTCGTGTTTTCGACAGGTATCTAAGCAATGTTTGTTAATTTAACGCATTTGAAGCAAATTTTGTTCTAATACTTACTATAAACTGATTTAATAGAAAATATTTGTGATATTCAAATGCATGGTCGGTTATATAGCCGCTTCTTTTCCTTGTGCTCCGTACCTGCTATATTGCTGACAGTGCATTCAGAATTACGATATAGAGTCTTAGAAATAAAGTCTATATTCTTCCGCCTATAGCAACAAATCGTTAGATTTTACGAGCTTGCATTTCGAACTGTCATAACTGTTCGACGCATGCGTTTAAAATATTTAAATTAAAGTTCAAATGAAAGCGCAACGTCTCTCCGCTTTTGTGCCGCTCTAGTACGGTTTTACCGTAGTAAGACCTTATTTTATATGCATTCAAGTTGACTTTGAATGTTTAAATAATGTCTTATATTGTTTTTGACTATGCTATCATCTTACGGAGCTCCGTGGATCGTTCAATGTACCTTTTGGCCATCTTTCGACCACTATTTTGTTCGTGATGTTGTATCTAGGTTATTAAATATCGGTGGCTTAAAATAACAATGTAACAAATAAGAGAGATAATTTTGAAAAAGCTGTTTTGAATGAATAGGGTTGTTAGGCGTCCGAATAGGGTTACTAAGACAAGATAGAAAAACTAAGGTCGTGTTGTTTCATCGATAGTAAAATTTGACAATAGTTAATTTGACAGTAGAATGGCCCCCTGGGGACCAATCGCCTAATGGGATTACCATGTCTATTACTTTTGCTTTAGTTTTCATTTTGTTCTTTCTGACCACCGAAAGTTTCAAATGCCTCGTGCTCTTTTTTTTCTTTTGTATTGGTAACAACAATACAAAGGAAAATGAGCGTACGGTATTTGAAAACCTTCGGCGGTTAGAAATAACAAAATAAAATCGTAAGCTACAGCGATAGCCATAGCTATTACGCTAGGCGCTTCAACGCGGCTTAAGTTGTCTATCCTGTCCAACTATTTGTTTACGAAACATGGCAACTCTAATTACGGATATAGCGAATAGCCATATAAATATTTTTTTCTCTATTCTCACGTTTCAATGATTTTCAAATGTATTAATTATCCTACATAATACCTCAGTGTCATTTCTAAACTTATAATTATGGTTTAAAAAAAAGATGTCTACTTAGATTTGTCTAAAGTTAAATTTGGAAGTAGTATTATTAGCTATACAGCAGAAAAGCTTGGTGTAAGAATGAATTGAAATCAAATACGCAAAGCAAAGTTAAGTCTAAATAAGTGTAAGACAGCGCCATTACAAGTTTGTTGTTATTAAAAAATGTATCTTAAAATTGTTGCCTTTATACTCTAGCAGCATGTGGGGCAGTAGTTTCACCAGTTGCTGTAGCCCTATTCGCTAACTGCCTTTGACAGATGAAAGTGATATTCACCGAGCTATTTATTAGTGATGCACTTTAATGCGATTCAACTAAGAATAGGACCGACTAGGCGCCATATTGTGACGTCATAGCTGTCAATTCAAACCAAATAGGTAGAGTTAGCAAAAAAATGATTTTATTTAATAAAACTTGTTTATTAAGATTAAGTGAGAAAAAACATTAGATTTTTTAATAAAATTAATTTACTAAGATTGAGATAAAACACAAACGATTTTTAATAATATTTCTTTAATAAGACTGTGTTAGAAAAAACATTAATCAAAATCTAGCTCTTCAATTCCGCTCATCTCTGCATTACCGCCGGAGTAGTTATAAATATTCATGCAGGTCACATACGAACATGCATCCTTTATGTAAACGAAAGTTTTAAATGGAGTTTCTGAACGCAACATAAAGTGACATTTGGTTGACGATTTAGGTTATCAAACGTTCATAGCCAAAGCTCAATAAAAGAAAAAAAATATCAACGAATATTAATTATCAATATTTGTTATTGTTTGTTTAAAAATGTTTGGTTTTATTCTAGAATTAGCTGTGCTAAAAATGTGTTCCGAGATTTTTTTGCAAACTATACTTTTCAAGCGACATTTGACAGATGGAGGTCATTGGCCTTCCTATTTTTATTTGTATCGCATTATAAGATGACTTGTTCTGAAATGCATCGATGGAACCACTGGTATAGATACTTATTATCTATACCAGTGGCTGCACCATCGATCGCTTTCTCTTTATTTTATCACCTAAAGTCTCTGCGTGCTATTCAAACTTAATGGCGTTTGTGAAGTTAGCAGCGAGTGCAACTATAAGCAGAATACAGTTAGAGTGAATAAAAACACCCCGCTCATCCTAAATTTTCATTTACTGCGCTGCGCCTTACGCTAACTTCACAGTCGATTGACATCGTGCATGCTATACGCCAAATATTTATATTATTATTTAGACGGAGCGCCTTAAAATTCACAAACGTAAATATATAGCTTTATTAAATTTGCCGTGGTCCTTTACTTTAATATTGTTTGCCATTATTTGTATATAAAAATACTTTAAAGACAAAGCAGTTATACAGTAAGTACTGGCAACAGCTCGTCTACTTTACCACTGCAACTGATTTTAATCTTTGATCCCATCCAGTAAGATTCAAAATAGATTGGTGAATTTTGACAGTTGTTTCATCTGAATAGTGGTCGCGTGTACATTGGCATTCGTTGTGAATGAAGAAAGTTAAAACTCAGTAATAATAGGATTAATATTAATTAGGTTTATCAAAACTTCAAAAGACAAATTATTATGTAAACATACGATTTTCCAAAATTATGTGTCTGTATTGTTGTTGACCGTGATAAATAAACCAATGATAATCCTTTTTTTTTAATATTTATTAACAGGATAGCGTGTCCCTGTGCGTAGCGTAAATACTCAGCATGAAATTCCGGTATTACAAGAATGACAAAAAAAGTCTCAATTACTGCCTAAAGGAAAAAAAAATACATATATATACATAGACCCCCTTATTAATAAACGAAGAGTTAGGTTGGATTAGTTACAAGGTTTTCTCTGTTCATTGAGTGACAAACGGCATTTGAGTGCCATGAATAAATCACAGACTAATTTCCTTGGTTATTAATACGGGGGAAAATGTATAGACATAGTTATGTTTTTATTTCTTTAAGCATTTAACTGCTAGATGTTTTAATCTAAAGAAAAGTTTTACTAGAAAAAAAATCCACGTCCCGTCCGCTGCCTGGGCAACGGACGGGACTCGAACCCGCACCCTTCGCAATCCGGGCGAATGCACTGACCAATATTTTTTTTTCTAACTATACTTTTCTTTAGATTTAAACATCTAGCAGTTAAAAAAAATTAAAACAACTATATAATATTTGCTATAATTCTTCTTTCAAATGTTTAATACTTGAAAAAGTATTCATTTGACATTGTGGGCTTGCTACAATGCGAAGAGATGGCACTGCCATGCAGCTTAAGGCTAGGAAAATTTCGACGCGGCCATCAGGACCGTGGTAGCATAATTGGTCAGTGCATTCGCCCGGATTGCGAAGGGTGCTGGTTCGAGTCCCGTTCGCTGTCTGCTCCGCGTGGATTTTTTTCTAGTAAAACTTTTCTTTTGTATAGACATAGTTTTGTTAACATGCTAGGTAGAGGATACGCCCAAGCATTGTTTGGGTTATCTATGTATATGCTTTTATATAAGCTTCTAATGAATTAAGATTATTGAAACTGCACCCTTAGCACGAACCAATATCGACTTCCTTAATCGTTACGTATGCGAGTGCAAATCGTCCAGAAATTTTGTATGGTAACCTTGAACAGCGCCTCAACGGACATAACGAGAACTTAAAATCAGTAGCAGAAAGTCCTTGACATTTTATGCGTATCGAGAATTAACTATTCAATTTCAATAAGTTTGTGCTTAGGGCACTGAACGTCACTGGACACCGTTCACGCGCCAACGCGGAAAAACCTGGCATAATATATATTCCGTGCACAGCAAGAACTAAGCTTAGCGCTCTACGGAACTAAACGAAAGCTCAGTCAGTAAAGCACGAAGGGGGTAGGCGGGCGGGGCTTATCATAGCTCGTGTAGAGCATACTGCCATCCTCAAGCTAAAACGCCGCTAAATGACAATACCAACTTTTAAGATATGGCCAAAAAAATGTCGCGTTAAATTATTCCTATTCTGTAACCATTCATCACATGACGGATTTTTAGACTTATACAATAAAAGATACGAATACTTGTAAGACAGATCGAGAGAGAATTAAAAACTGGATAAGATGCACTGAAATATAGACCACATGTCAATTAGCCGAACTTTAGTTTGAGGACGGCTGCATATACAACTGACTTAGCTTCGCCTATTTAAGTTAACTTACATAGATTAGCTTGTTGTCGCACAGAAGTATGAAAAACCTGCGTCTGCTATGCGAGCTAAGCTAAACTAACTTGGCTCTTGGTCTGCAATCCGCATAAAAAGGAAGGCTTATACCTATTCCCCGCAGTGGGGACATAACGAGGCTGATGATGATGGTGATCAATATCCGAAGTACGAGAATTCTAATAATTAATGTTGCTGTTGACCCGAAAACAAGAATTAATACCACCGCAGAATGAAATGGCCATGCAAATTTTTGCAACGAAATTATGCATAACATAGTAAGCTTCATGTCAATTGTATAAATTACAAAGTAAATAAAATAAAAAAAATGAGTTTGCCTAGTCTAAGCACTAGGCTAACTAATTTTTTTTTGTATGTTTTGTATGTTATAAAATTGATTAAAGGTTCAAAACATGCACAATTTTGTTGCAAAAACTCGCTTCCATACCATACCATCCGCATCCATTAATAACAAAAGCTGTTACATAATTTGAATACAGCCTAGGTAAAGTACTAGGAAAATCCAGAATATCTTTCCAGTTTTCCTTCCTTTTCTTTGTGTACTTATCTCTAAATGAATTAATATGAATAAAAGAGGTATTAGTTATCCTGAACTCTTTAATTTGAGACTAATGATGGATGATGATATCTGAGAATTTATAGTCCAAATAATTAAATCAACATACAAGTTGTCATTACAAATTTTTGCTGTATGTAGGTACTGATACGAAACAACTGCAGGGTACAAAAGAGATAGTCATACTCTATTGAAAATGTTAAAAATACAAACATTCTTCCTGTATAAATAGGCCAAAATTACTCATAACAAAGAATCTTTAAGACTCCTGTGTTATACTACAACAACACTGTCAAATCAAATCAATATTTGTTTTTTTATATATAAAGATTTTACATATGAAGGTCAATATTTTAAAGGTCTCTACAAACATTTTCTCATTTTCAAATAAATAGAACCCCTTTCAAAACATAACTAGTGGAATACTAGTTCATAAATTACCTTTCATGTTATCCTGCAATGATTTTGCAATTTACACAGTATTTTAAAAATTACAAATGAAACCCTACCAATAAATACAAAATTAATTCTTATGAGAAATGTAACTTATAGAGAACTTACGCTTCCACTGACCCTAAAAATTAAACTGTTATTGATAAAGGACTTTTAAGTAAAACTTGATTAAATGAGACCACATTAAGAAAATTTAGAAAAATCACTAAATTCTTGTAAACTTTGGGAATAATAGATTTACTGAAATTTATATACATGTATAAAAATACTCAATTATAGTATGCATCAACACACTGGAGTAGGAAATGATAATTCATGTAAAGTAATAGCAAACAATTGCAGTCCTTATAACATTAGAAAGAAAGTTTATATATGCAAAATTAATCTCCTTATTTTCAAAAAATAATTCTTTGCAAAGGTGTCTTATCCATAAAGCTTTTTTTTGTATCTACAAGAGATAAATAGGTTAACAAAAAATAAGTATGTATTGTCAAATTGTCATCTTAGTCAACATTCAATTAACCAATGAACTCGAAAGATAATATAAAAAAGGGAAAATGAAGTCTTCTGTATATTATGGATGGTATTCAAATTATCAATGTGGACCTCAAGCTGAAGCCAATATAAATATCACAAACAGCTGCTCAAGGAATATCTTTGACTGCACAAGTTCAATGAAAGAGAAATGTTCACTAAAATTCATTCTGTATAAGTACAGATATTTAAGAACAGGTCAAAGGTTTAAAACTTATTTAAAAATACTCGGTCCAAACAATGAGTCACTACAAAACTATAAGGTCTACATATTTTAGTGGATTTATCCTTCAAATTACAACTGTACATCGTTAGCAGCTGGCAACATCAGCCACATGTCCAAATGAATGAATTTTATGACACCGAAAAGGCCTTTTCTGAAAAAGATTTAACATAGGCCTCGTGTAATCTATTCACAAAGTCAGCATCATGTTTGAGAAGGTAGTTGAAAGCTTGCAGAAGCTGATTCCTAGTGAGAGGTTCTGGAGATGGCTGCGTGTCACCACCAGTGCTGGCCGTAAACATTGTTGGTGGCATCAGAGCTGGCTTTTGTGGAGTATTCATAGAGTTCATTAAAGGATATATTGCTACATCATCCATCTTGCTACCATTGAGTGTGCTGACTGAGTGACTCACATCCTGAGATTGGTTCAAATAAGCAGCCAATGGCGATGTTGGCTTTGGTGATGAAATATGCATCAAATTCAAATCTAAATCCAATGGGTTAGGTCCATTATCCATACCATCCAGTGTTTGTCCTTTTTTCATACCTGGTATCCTTTGAGGATTTTGTTTTTCAATTGGTGTTGATTTCATTTGGTAAGTACTAGACTGCCTCATAGCAGAGTCTAAGGTTATGTTACCATTCGAACTCTGAGCCTCTTGGGGTGTAACAGAGCGTTGTTGTTTCTCTATATGTTCCACAGAATGTGCTGGATTACTCATAAGCCTTTGCAGCAACAAAGGAGCTTCTCGAGAATCCGACGGTCTCGGCCCGAATATGCCCGGCGACGGCAGTGATGATACAGCTGGCATTTGTGCAGCAGCTCCACTACCAGCTTTAGCAAAAAAGTCCATTACACTTTGTGACGTCATATCAGGTGCCCTCGATGTTGTCGAGTCGTTCTTGTTAGCCCCGACTCCCTTATTAGAATTGAAATCGTCTTGAGCTTTACTCAACATACTAAAGATGTCGACGGGTGCTGTTGAAGGTGTAGACGCACTGTAAACGGGGGTTTGTGGCATATTTTCTACAGGACCCTGTTTCATAGACTCTTTCACCAACGAATTCAACTTCGTAGCTACCCGAACACACTCGTCTTTATCATAAAACCATATGCCGTAAATACGACACTTGGCGTTGCGATACAATAGAAACGGCTCCTTCAATTGTAACTCTATACCTTTTGACACTGGTTCGATTAAATTAATCGTACTCAACCTGTTCATAATCACAAGACTGTGATATGGTTCTCCATTTCTACTGTACACAAACAAAGCACCTTCGATGTTCGTTTTCTCCCATTCGTTTTCTTCAAATGTATACAGCGCAACATGGGTAGCGCTATCAATTATTTCTCTAGCATATGGATCTGCCCTCTTAAGAGCACCAAAATTCATACGTAAACCGGTGTCAGCCATTTTAAAGCAATAAAATACGAGTTTTTGTGTAACGAGCTAGCATCACAGAAAAATGACAAGAACGAATGAGCTCGCCATATTAGCAAAAAACACGTTCCGTGTTATGCTTAGAACAAATAGATTTAAAATTATAGATGCCAGATAGCTTGCCGAATAAAATCAAATTACTGATTTTTTACACTTAAATAGCTGGTGTAATTGAAAGTTATAAAGTGAAAAAATATCATTAAAACTAGACGAAGAGAATTTCGCTACAATTAATGCCGGCACTTCACCTAGCTCTTATAGCTGTTCTGTGTTTGTTATTTGACAGCTGGTTATCCTTATCATACAGTAAATGCGAGATTTACAGGCCAAGTACCTACAGGCTCAGAAGCCAACCTGCACATTCACTGCGATTCACAGTTTTAGGATCATTAAAATACACAAGACATTTAATTCAAATTATTGAAAACAATACCCTTTGCACTAGGATTGACAACTTGGAATGACTTGGAATGTGCATAAAAAATCGTTTTAACGTATCTGGTTGTTTGATTTATTGTTGAGAATGAAACATAAACAATGAAAGTATAAACCAATAATAACCAAAATATTTCAGCTTAATAATGATTATTGTTATATTAGGTACAAATTAAGAAATGTTGAATTCAAATATCCGTCCACTGGACAGTTATATCTATTAACTTTATTTTATTTGACGACCTCCGTTGCCGAGTGGTTTGTACATCGGGTTTCATAGTTATTAATATGTATTTTCTATATAAATATACTTATAGATGTACAGTTTATGTATTCTTTCCCATAACACAAGCCTTACATTGCTCACTTTGGGGCTAGGCTAGTTGGTATGAGTGTTGTAAATATTTATTTCTGTGGCTCCATTTTTACCAAATAAATTCGTAGACTCTTCAAGCTGATGGAACTCACGTTCGCACTGGTGGTCCCAAACGGATCGAGATATCGTGTCCGTGAGTGTGAGTTGGCATTGTGTGCGTTGCTCGAGCGTACTTTGTTTGTAGATTACCTTCTGTACTATTTTGTGTTGTGTGGCCCACCGTCTGTCACCATTCATTACCATTACCATTAGTGATGTAATTATATCATCTCTAGTCTAGGTATTGAAATCATTGAGTTTGATCTCTGTTACTTGGCCTTTGACATTACTGATAAAAATAAACAACATTGTTTCTTACTAAATTATATCGATAATGGTATCGACTCTCACATGATTCTCTAAATATAAAATTAAATTTGGCATCAGGTTATCCTTGTCATTCTTTACACAGAATGAAAAGGGGAGACTGATGTTAAATTTAGTTTAACGTTTAAAGAATCACGCCGGAATCGACACCATTATTGATCATTTCTTTTCTTTTTTTGCATTTTTTGCAAATATTATCATTTCTGCTAGCTAGGTTGATGAACGTTACGTATTAACACTGTTTTTCTGTTAGAATAGCAAATTTTTTACCTTTTTTCTTTATTTTTCATACTCTCAAATAGCCCATTATTTTAATATCAAACTTGCTGCTAAATTAAGTTTAGAAAAAACAATTAGAACTAAAGGAGTGGTAAATGTTTCCACACCGCCCTCCGTTGATTCCATCATAATTGCCTAATTTCTAAACCTTTTCATTCTTCGTAGAGTATGATGATAAGTGTTACATCAAAAATAATAATACTCCTCTGTCTAACTTAGCGAATGATGCCAGAATCAGGCCCTATAAAAAATATGATGTTTTCACGAATTTACTTTACATTACTTGTTACTATAATTTATAGAGCTATTTCAAAAAATTAATGAAAAAAATATGTTTAATCGATACAGCGCTCCTCACTAAAATAGCATCAAACCGAACAAAACGCGACAGGAACTGTCATTTGTGAGTTTACGCGTGTTGACGTCGGTAGTGGTCGTGAAGTAAATAAAAATAGATATTTATAAACTTTCAATAAATAACCGTAATACCTTTTTTTTAGTGGAGTAAATAGACATATATTTGAATAATATATCTATATGAACTGAAATACTGAAAAAAGAAAAATTTAATTAAAACTCGTTTTTAAAAACAAGGTATTTTTATAAGAAAATGACTGAACACAATGTTCTTGTGATTGGTAGCGGTGGCCGGGAGCACGCTTTGTGTTGGAAGCTAGCAGATTCTCCTTTTGTGAGGCGCATATATTGCGCACCTGGCAGTGTTGGGATCTCTACTACCAACAAAGTTGAAAGTGTTGAAATAAACATTAAAGACTATCCAGTAAGTTTACAAACTATACACTCATGATTTTAGTTCTTGAGTTGAAAATAATAATGGCTTTGATTTTCTAACATAATATATTTATAAAAAGTGACTTCTTTTAGTAATGCACATAGTTTTGTGACTTATAGTGGTATATTAACCTATCGTATATCAACAACCTCCATGGTAAAGTAACCAGTGGTGTAACACCAGTTTTTAATGTATTGCGTACTCTGAGGTCCTACATTAGAATCTCAGTAGAGACAAATGTTTCTAATATGAATACCAGAATTTGTACTGGCTCAGCTTTCCATTATATGTAATTGAGTTGCAAGCTGAAATTTTTGTCACGCAAACTATTAACTATTAAAAACACGTACACGAAATCTTTTTAGGCGGAAACGAATAGAACTCGAGAAAAAAAATTATTGAAAATTAATGTTTTTGTAGGTTAAGAGTCAATTTTGACAGCAATTTTGATCAGTGCTGCCATTTTTTTATGCAAGAATAACATGTTTCTCGTTGTCTATGGTAAATATAAGTTTATTATGTTGGTACTATTGTCAAAATGACAATTTACAGCCATTAATGAGATCTGTCAGTCAGTGTTTGTGTTCGTCGCAATTGAGAGCTTTTTCGTACTCCTGTTGATATTAATATCGTCTGACTACCATGGCATCCTCAAAGCCTTCGGCCTCGAGTTCTGCTGTTCCTTCGCCTGAAGAGTCGAGTGTAGTGCGAGTTTTGGACTCTAATGAGCCGCTTGTGTCGTGATACTTCACACTAGGTTAGGTTAGGTTAGTGTTGTGACCTTAACGCGCGAGCCGAGCGAGCGAAGCGAGCGTGCCGCGGCAGCGGCCGGCGAAGCGCCAGAAAGAAAAATTCGTTAATAGAGACTTTTTCTACAAAAAAATCTAGGCCCTGGAAGTACAGTTAAAACCCCTCTAATTTTTTATAGTTATCATTTCTGTAAAAAAAAGCGCCGGGAGGGGGGGGGTTACCCTTCCCTCTGAGGGGTCTTCCCTTATACCTATCCCCCTGAAATTCCACTACATTTAACAGATTTAATGAATTTTTAGGTTAGGTAAAAAAAAACTGCATTTCCGCCAAAAATCTTTTATGGCGGGGAGGTCGGGGGGAGCCCCCCCTCCCCCTCCCCTACAAATTACCCCGAAATTCGATTACATATAATGGAATTAAGTACCTTCTTTACCTTTAAAAGTCAAATAAATGCTTGATACTAAAAATATAATAATTTGTACCTGAACCTGTGCATTTTTTTTTTTTGAACTTTATTACCAAACTTAATGCCATAGGCATTCTCTACCAGTCAACCGGTATGAGTTTTGGAGACAAATAGTATGACTATAGGACAAATTTGCTAAAAATTAAATAAAATGATAATTAACATAATAACAGCAATTAAATAATAATACTTAAATACAAATTGATGCATATATATAAGTGCATTAACAGTTTCACAAACAAAAATGTCTACTGGGCAAGTTTATTTCACCGTTGTTTTGGTCAAGAAGTATACCGCTACCTGAATCCTTTAACACACATCTTTTAATGCTCAATTTGGGGCTAGGCTAAATAATGTGAGTTTTTCATATAACAATTTCAGAATTTTATTATTATCTTTATGTACAAAAATTATAATTTCTGATGAAAAGTGTGGGGTAACTACATAGTTAATTTACTGTACGTATCTAATTTACAAGTTCAGGTAAATTACACAAAAGTTTTTTTTTATATGTTGTATTAAGTTTGTTTTAATCACAATCATATCACAAATTAAAATGCTTTGTCACTTGCTGATGACTATTTCTTGGCACACAATTAAGCTTCTTACTATTAGGCAGCTTTTAGTAGTTATTTCCTTCAGAAAACTAGCTGCTTAACAATGATAGACTGACAACATTACTGAGTTCACTTTTTTTATTATCGTCATCATTTACATAGCTTTACCAGCTATCTTAACGCATGGACACTACAGTCACTTAACAAAAGGTGGGGCAGAATCATTTTTTTACTCTTTTATATTAAAATAAAATAAATACAAAATCTTTTCCCTTGATACCACTTTTAATAAAGGTACAGGGTTTTAATTTTGGTACAGGTGTCTTACACTTAAAAAAAGAGCCTACCTTTATCTATGTAACCAGATGTACAGTAAAGAAATAAAACAATTTTTTTTTAATAAAATAAAATAAATACAAAATCTTTTCCCTAGATACCACTTTAACTTTCCAAGTACATATTACCCATACTTTATTTTAATACCCTAGGTCCCTAGCCCAGATATTTTAATGTTTCCCCATATTTATATATATCTTTATATATATAATTCTTCTGTGAGTGTGTATGTCACTGAACTTCTCTTAAACGACTGGACCGATTTTGTGAAATTTTTTGTGTGTGTTCAAGGGGATCTGAGAATGGTTTAGATTCACAATTTTGTCTGCTGGACAACCCCTATTTTTTTAGGGCGGTACGAAGTTCGCTGGGTCAGCTAGTTATATATATATTTTTTCTTTAGTCTGTGGCTTATTAGTATTGCATTTTCCATAGAAGTTTAGCCAATGTACTGTAGTTTTCACCCTTATACCACCAACCACCATTTTTATAGCAGTATGAAGTTTACTGGTACAGCTAATAATATATAGAAATTAATAAAACACATAATTAAATGTTATAATAGATTGGAAACAGAAACAGATATGAATTTCAGTGAAGAAAAGATAGAATAAGTATAATAGTCAAATAATGTTGAATTTTGGTAATATTCATAGTTGTCATACTTGGGCCATGACACAAGAACTACAAAATACATTAAGAACCTCTTAGAGAAGCATGGAAAGGCATCTAAAATTCAAGTCACTAATTTCAAAGACATAGTATTGAAAATCCTACATCTAAAATGGTGGTGGGCAGGCCTCATAATAAGAGAAATTAGGGAGAAATGGGCAAGGAAGAACCCAGAATCCACCCCAAGGTTCAATACTAAAAGAAAACACGGAAGACCACTCAAAAGGTGGTCAGATGACATGAGAATGGTAGCAGGAACCCTATGGCTTAGAGTGGCTAGAGACAGATCTGAGTGGAAGAGGCTGGAGGCCTACGTGTCAGCAGGACACTGATGCGGTTAATGATGTAAATTAGCTTTTAAGTATCACCTTCATACAAAAGCAATTTCTCTATTGATCACTAACAAATAGATTTGTATGTTAACTAAACAATTGATAATGCTCCAAACTAGAATTTTATTTTTATAGCTATGTACCGAGTTTTGTTTCATCATATGGGAAATGCTGCTCAATATTATGATTGTTTGAGTTCACATTCTTATTACATTATTAGGACTAACTACAATCTGCATTTTAAAATGAACATGAAAAAACGATGTTCTAATTTTACTTTTAGCTAGTGGCCAGTACATTATCGCCATCATCAGTCAATGGACATCCACTGCAGAACTTAGGATTCTAATTAACACCTCTACATAAACAATCAGGTACATTCTGGATCTACTGGGCCTTTTTGGCCTGCTTGATGGTGTCAGTTCACCTGGTGGCGCGTCTATCGACACTGTTTGCCAGGACAAGGTTGCCATTGAAGCACCTCTATATACCCATACATACAATGGGTTCCTCATTGAGCTATGTCCGTTACTCTTTTTATTTTCTACAAATTTCCTCACTTCTAATTTGATCATGTGGAGAAACATCGAGAATGTCTCTTTTCATTCCTCCTCTTATAGACAATCCTCTTATAGTCTCCTAACTAATCACTTTTCTCCAGGGTGTTGCAAAATGGTGCAAAGAACAAGACATCAGTCTCGTTGTGGTAGGACCAGAAGATCCCCTCGCCGACGGCATCGTGGACGCGCTGACATCACACGGTGTCCGCTGCTTCGGCCCTACCAAGGCTGGTGCGCAAATCGAAGCCAATAAAGACTACGCGAAAAACTTCATGAACAAACACCAGATACCAACGGCCAGACATAAATCCTTCACTGATGCAGAGGCCGCCAAGGAGTACATTAACACGTAAGTTCTCATGCATTGCACTCTCACATATAATTTATCATAATGTCATTTACCTTTTGTCGTTACAATTAGTTTTATGTACGAAATGCATGAAATTACATACCACATGGTGGTTATGTGGGGCTCTCCTCCCCAGAAGGGGGAGGCCTACCCACTAAACCCCAGCGATCGCCGCCATCAGGCATTGTACGGGGCCTCAGGATCGAGTATCGCATATGAGGACCCGCAGCCTTTGCTCCCCTGCTTCCACCAGGGGAGCCCTTCTCGGGGGAGTGTTCGCAACCTCGCCCTACCACTCTCCTACGACGACACCCCTCGGCCATGCGGGGGTGTCGTCCCTCCCAGGTCGCTTCCATGAGCACAAGCTCCGTCGTGCTCACCAGCGACCCGCAGCGGCGCATCAAGCCATTATCTGGCCCGACGCCGCCTCCTTCTGGAGCATCACCGGTTCACAGAAGGAGGCTGACGTTTACCGGTACTAATTAATGGCATTGTATTGTCATAAAAATGCAACTGAGAGTTTTATTAAAACTATATATGAATACTTATTTACTACAAGAACATAATCTGCCTCATGGTATAAGTCGCGGCACGAAACTCTAGCTCTGACCTTTATTGCACAGAAGTAAAAATTAAGATGTGTTGGGGGGAAACGAGGTACGCGGGCGGGCGTGCGTTGCGCCGATTGGCTCTCCACTCGTGCGCGCGCAGCTTCGCGTTTTGTTCAGCGCTAGAGTTTTGTGCCGCGACCTGTATGGTGGTTTTGATCGCGTATCTCCTATCTATTAGACAAGTCCGTCCGTCTGTCTGTGGCGCTGTTTCAGCGGCCAAACCGTAAGAGATAGATAAAGAGAATATTTAAGTTATAAGTTAGGAATAGTCTGATAAGACTACAAACCGGATTTGAGTAACGTAGCACTTCCGGTTTTCGAGAAATCACGAATTTCAAACGAAACCTCACAAAATCTCCGAAGTTCGCAATTAATTAAATACATTTTTTTTTAAATCAGCTTTTGGTGAACATTTGGTTCACTGGATGGCTAGTTGTAGTTAATGCCGCTATGTTGACGCTCGCCAGGGAATCGTTACCTATGAAATATATTTCCGTTGACCTGGTATTATGAAATTTGGCAAGAACCAAGGCCATGTAGCACAACTAAATGAATATACCCGAAATATAATAGCAAAAGTGTATTTAAATCACAAAAATGGCGATTATAAACGTTTTGTTCGTTGGTAAAATAACCGTGAATAACGCGATTCTCGTCATAAAAGGAACTATTTAACTACAGAACCCTGAGTACGCGAGACCGAGTCGTGATTATTAATTTTTATAAAAACAGAAGTCCTTCGCCTCATATTACTGTGACCGGATACCAGTATAAGATGATAAATGACTGGTGATAAATACATGTGATTCAACATTGAATGCGTAAACAATTTTACAAGAAAGTGGATCAATGTCAGTTATTTTTGCAATTTGTTTTTTTATTTATTCAAAAAGCATCCTAGTATAAGTTAGGTGTGTAACCAACATCGTTGTTTAGTGCCTAAAATAAAAACCTTAACAAAACCTTTTCTTTCTTATAAATGCGCAATAAAATCATAAATTTGCGCCACAAGTTGACCAAATAACTAAAGCTAGAAACATATTAACGTGTCGTATCGTGACGTGGCGCATCGGTTTCATAATTTATTATGGGTTAGAGAGAGATAGAGAGGTTAAAGCGTCGACACGACACGATACGTAAATATGTCTCTAACCATAGTAAATCGGGTTTCGATGTGCTTCTGGCGCGCCACGACACGACACGACACGTTAATATGTTTCTGGCTTAAACAGCGACGCACTACTTGGAGGCCTCGGATACACCTAATACGTCGTCGGCCGAACTAAGCTCAGATGTTTGCACCGTCTTTTTACGATCAGATAATCAGTATTTTTTCTCCCTGCTCCGCTGGCTAACTAGAGCCGAGGTCCGAGTCTCAGAGACGCCCCCTAGATGAGACGACCCCCTCAGGTTCGAGTGGTCTAGAGGCTGCAGCCGGAGAGGAGACCCCCCGTGGGGAAATGCCATCCGCCTGGAATACCTCTAGAGGCACTTGCCAATTCTCGGCATGAGGCCCCCTTAGGATCTCGCCGTCCCCAAACCCGATGACGCTGTAAAGGTCATCTGCGTCCAACAGCATACACACGCAAAAAAAAAGTAATTTGTTTTGGAGATCTTTATTTATCAACTTTGTCGTCATCTGAAATCGCCCCTAACCAAACTTCGACCGTGGATTTTCTCTAATACCGACATTTCCGCACACATATTTTTAAATAAGAGTTGAGCAGAGAAGTACGGTAGCTGAGCATCGTAATATCAGTATAAAGTTTTCGTTCCTCATGTTAATTTTATAGTTATTTATGTTATTCACGGGATGCTACCCGGACCTGGACACGTTTTTTGCGAGTCTACGATATTTCAATTATTCTGAAATATTAGAGACTCCCATAAATAAGGTACATGGTAGCAATTGCGCAAATAACCTAAATTAATGTTAATTTCGTCGTGCAGGGCGCCGTTTCCTGCCTTAGTGGTGAAAGCTTCAGGCCTGGCCGCCGGCAAGGGCGTAGTGGTGGCCGCCTCGAAGGAGGAAGCTTGTGAGGCCGTCGACGAAATGCTCACAGACTCCAAATTCGGTGCCGCAGGACAAGTCGTCGTCATCGAAGAGCTGTTGGACGGCGAGGAAGTATCGGTATGTTAAGAGACTACTCCTTTTTATTCGCGATTTATGTCGCGACCTCCATGATTGTCTGATCTGTGGTATGTACTTGGGTTTCAAGGTGTCGTCTACAAATAGGTCCTGGCTTCGAATTCCAGTCAGTAAAGAATGTATTCTGTTAGATTTTGAAGCATCACAACGCGAATTATCTCTAGTCATCTCTACGGCATGTCAGAACTATGTGGCGGCGACATCTATATGCCCCACATATATACAACGGATGGAGAAAATCATTACTCACCATCCTCAAGAGATGGTGTTACCTGCACTGCGATCAATATTAGTGTAGGAAGGCCAAAGGGGAAGATCTTCCTCCGAGCTGGGTGATGCTAGCTCGGGGGCCGCGGCCCGATTGATGTTGGTCGGGCATCGTATTTATGAAGAGTTAGCCTCCGAATTTCATTTGCGCGATGTAGGCTTTCATACTATTATGATCGCAGTGCAGGTAACGCCATCTCTTGAGGATGGTGAGTAATGATATCCTCCATCCGTTGTATATATGTGGGGCATATAGATGTCGCCGCTACAAGTATAGCGATTTCCACAGAACACAGAAAGAGGTGAGAAGGGTCTTGTGATAGTTATGTGTGAGAAAATGTTCATAACTTGACCAAAAGTTGGTTCTGGTTGCGTCGTTGCTCTCGGCTCTCCAGCGCTGATTGGTCCGATTGTTTGATGTCGCGTCGTTTGATTCGCTATTAACAATTAGGTGGAAGTGTAGTGGGGTCGGCTCGGCGACATCTGTTCTCGTACATTCGGTCTGTGATAACCCTTTAACCTCTGTGTTCTGTGGGGTCTAACTAACTAGCTAAGCGTATAGGGTAGTATAGGGCTTAACCTATGACACAATCTGGGGATGTAGTTTTACTCAGCTCTAAATAAGAATCACGAATTTTTTCATTTCTTTTATTAAAACTGAGAGAATAACATAATCGATTTTCTCTCAAATGCACGTTTCTGTGCCTAAATTCTATCTCCTGGAATGTTCGATATGAGACAAAAGTTTCTCATATTCTAATCTTTAAAATAATGACATTAACTTTTTTAATATAACTGCCGGCCGTAGGCATTACATAAACAAAGAGTTTACAGAAGCATCTAGTTCGTCGCGCCTATTGCTTTAGTTATTTTTTACAACACACCAATTAGCCTAGCCCCAAAGTAAGCACTGTAAGGCTTGTATTATGGGATACTAGGGTAACGGATAGAAGACATATGCTGTACTTATATAACTATATTTATATAGAAATACATATTAGACATCCATGACTGGAGTACAAATGCTCGTATTCATCACACAAACATCTGCCCCCACCGGGATTCGATCCCGGGACCTCTCGAGTCGGAGACACCATGAAACCCGGCGTACAAACCACTCGGCCACGGAGGTCGTCAAATAGGTTCGCAGCAGTTGGGTCATATAGGTCCTCAAATAAATATTAATTTCACAGCATTTATACAATTACTAATATCCTAAGCTCTAGGATGTCTACATTCGACACTACAGTGTAGGTGTTCCTGCACCGAGTGGAGTTTTTTCTAGTAAAATTTTATTGACCTTCATAAATGGAGCAGTTCAATGCTCCGAATAAAATATAATAAACTAGTTTTATATAAACTATAACCTTAAGTTTTGTTAATTTCCATAAACATCAGGTCATGTCCATGGTCAAGGAAGTGAAATCACGAGTCTGTTGTCGAGATCGCTGCATGACGCCATTTTCTTCTGTATACAAGTTATATTACGAATGTTGCATCAAAAAATCTATAAGCAACCTATAGTTGTGACGATAACCAAGGGTCACGCGCCTGGTGTACATGCCTCGGTAAATATGAAAATGTTACGTCCGTTGGGGTTCCTGATAAGATAATCTCCGAGACAAATTGTAAATAACAAGTCAATTATTGTTATATTTTATTTAAATATATATTTTTTTTTCGTTCAAGATGTTAACAATAAAATGTTTCGATTGTGTCACGGAAACTTTTCGATGTGTTGTTACGAAGTGTCATTGACAGATAAAATATATTTTTAGCTAGAGAACTTTTTTATTACATAGTCGAAGTACGGTTTCTTTTTCAGGGTGAGGGTGATCTAGCAACAAATGTGTTATAGACAGATAATGTTCATATGTTATTTGAACTATCTTCAGACATTATGAAGATAGTACAAATAACATATGAACATTAACTTAGCCCCTTATCGAGGCATTGTGACAATATTGCAATGAATGCAATTTTTATTTAGAAAGAAAAAAAAATTAAAATAATATTTCCAACACTCACACCTATTAACCTAGCCCCAAAGTAAGCACTATAAGGCTTGTGTAATGGGATACTAGGGTAACGGATAGAATACATATACTGTACATATATAAGTATTTTTAATTAGAAATACATATTAAACATCCATGACTGGAGAACAAAATGCTCGTATTCATCATACAAACATCTGCCCTCACCGGAATTCGAACCCGGGACCTCTCGAGTCGGCGACACCATGAAATCCGGTGTACAAACCACTCGGCCACGGAGGTCGTCAAGGATTCAAATCCACAGGATTTCTTATTTTCGATCTTACTTAAATATATCTTAAATCACTTCTTTGAATCTCGTGTTTGCTTGTTTATTTCAATGTGATATTCTATTTTCTTTGTATTTTTTTTTCAATATTGTCATACAAAGGCACACTTGGCATAGCTTATTTATTTATTTATTCCAGAAACAACTACAATAGCTTGCTACCCCCATTATAATAATTAGATGATAAGTACCTATATGAATCGCAAAAATCCCCTTGTACTTCGGCTTCTTTTCCCCCCAGTATGTATAATATATTTAGCTGCACATTATACCTAATTAATTCTTTAATATTATTTTGCATTCATAGTATCTGCAAACTCAGCAAAGGTGTCGATTCTGGCACGATTCTCTAAACTAAATTTAAATGTGACAACAGTGTATCCCTGCCATCATCCAGAACGAAAAGAACAGACTGATGTTAAGTTTAGAGAATTAACACCAGAGTTTAGGTAAATTTACCTAAGTTGTCCAGAATTAATTTATGTTTTTACGAATAAATAAATCTTGAATCTCATTTCAAACTAGGTGTTAGCCTTCACGGATGGGGAGACGGTGTCAATAATGCCACCGGCACAAGATCACAAGCGCGTAGGGGACGGAGATATAGGCCCCAACACTGGTGGTATGGGAGCCTACTGCCCGTGTCCACTCATCACTCCCGACCAACTCGCCGACGTCAAGGACCAAGTACTCAAGCGGGCTGTTGATGGAATGAAGGCCGAGGGCATCAAATACGTGGGTAAGAGATTTTTAGGTGTGTCAACACCGGTGGTATGGTCGCCTACTGCCTGTGTTCTCTCATTCCGTCAGACCAACTCGCTGACGTCAAGGACCAAGTACTCAAGCGGGCTGTTGATGGAATGAAGGCCGAGGGCATCAAATACGTGGGTAAGAGATTTTTAGGTGTGTCAACACCAACGGTATGGTCACCTACTGCCCGTGTTCTCTCATTCCGTCAGACCAACTCGCTGATGTCAAGGATCAAGTACTGAAGCGGGCTGTTGATGGAATGAAGGCCGAGGGCACCAAATACGTGGGTAAGAGATTTTTAGGTGTGTCAACACCGGCGGTATGGTCGCCTACTGCCCGTGTTCTCTCATTCCGTCAGACCAACTCGCTGATGTCAAGGACCAAGTACTCAAGCGGGCTGTTGACGGAATGAAGGCCGAGGGCATCAAATACGTGGGTAAGAGATGTTTAGGTGTGTCAACACCGGCGGTATGGTCGCCTACTGCCCGTGTTCTCTCATTCCGTCAGACCAACTTGCTGATGTCAAGGACCAAGTTCTGAAGCGGGCTGTTGATGGAATAAAAGCCGAGGTCATCGAATATTTAGTTAAGATGTTTTAACACCGGCGGTATGGCTCATTACACCGGATCAACTTTCCGAGGTGCAGGACCAAGTATTGAGCGGACTTTGCTTAGAATGCAAGACGGTGGCATCAAGCAGGTGCTGTATCGATATCGATCTATATATAGGTTAAAGTTGTTTTATTCAGACAGGCTATATGTGCTTGATAACCACTGTTTTTTTTTATTTGATTTTCTAAATGGCTTCGCACGGCTTGTGCATTTAGCCAATGTCAAGTGTTAAAATGTTTACAAATACACTCGAGGTTAAAGTAATAAATCAAGTCAAAGTAAGTGGAAGTCAAGTCAATCCCCCTTTCCCTGCTATGTTTCAGTAAAAGTGTGGGGATTTACTGGAACCTCCCCGTGGACTTCTTGAGGGAACGTCGAAAGACACTTTCCGCTATTTTGTTTCACTTGCCAACACTTGTACATGTTTCCGAACACTTAGTAGTTAATAATCCACCATTATTAGACACTAACATCCGCCACAACACAATTTTTAAGAAGAAAAACAAAACAGCTAAATTGACGCTTCCCGATCCCGCCAAAAAGTCCATAACCACTGTTTTTCACAAAGTCTTAAAAAAACTGACATTAACGGCGGTTAATGTCAGTTGGAAGACAGAGACAACATAAGGTTTAAACCAAGACTAGCTTTAGCTCGCGGTTTTGAATAAGACGTTCAATCTTTTCCCGAAATGGTTCTAAACAATTCCACTACCTCCATAGTACTTTCGCAGACAGGTCGACGACCTATCCGTTTGAAATTTGCACTATCGAGACAATTACCAAGAACAGAAGCACTTCACATATAAATTATTATCAATGATGAATTTATCTACCGAGTCCCATCGCTGACCCAAACGTCCGTCGCATAAAATTATTACTAATAACGACAATGTTGCACTATTAGCATTATCTTTTGAACCCATAAACTTTCTTATATACCACCAACTATATAAAATGATGACAAACTTATCGGAAATAACTGTCGTTGTTAGGAGATGGAAGTCTTGTAAGGCCGTGGGTTCACTAATGGGCCTTAGCAAGAACCAAAATCGAATTCGAATAGTTTGCGAGTGCGAAATGTCAATGTCACATTTTGTATGGAAACTTGAACAGCAACGCCATAACGGACGTAAAGAGAACTAAAACTCAGTACACATTTGACAATGACATTTCGCATTTGCAAACTATTAGAATTCGATATTGGTCTGTACTGTGCTAAGGCTATATATAGCTCAGTAAGGGATTACGCTGAATTAACAACATTTACCCCCTTATTAATAAACGAAGTGTTCGATAGCATAGCGTCTTATTTATGTGGATTTCTCACTAAAATAGGATATTCAGATTGTAGAATATTATTATATAGTAAAATACAGATCTTATTGAAATTATGTGCGTGCGTTGTCTTTTTTGAATTCGAATTGCAAGAGAGAGAGCGAATGTATATAAAACTAATGAGTGAGGGATGAATGTATGAATGGACGATGATGATGGACCGATTGCAGCTTCTCTCGTCGAAGGATAGATGGCGTTAACATGTGGACTACGCTTAGATTAGTTACTCCATGTTTTGTCTCTCTTTAAATGACATTTGGGTGAAATGAACAAAACACAGCGTACCTAGTCCAAGCTTATTCCTTGTTAATAAGGTACTTAGTGAATTCAACTAAAATTGTAAATGTGAAAGTTTGTTTGTGTTGTTACTCAATCACGTAAAAACTGCTGAATTGATTTGGATCAAGTTATAATTTTAATTTTTTAAGTATATATCTGCTCGATGTTTAAATCTAAAGAAATATTACTAGAAAAAAATCCACGCGGACCAGGCAGCCGACGGGACTCGAACCCGCACCCTTCGCTGTTCGGGCGAACGCACTGACCATTATGCTACCGCGGCTCTGATGGGCGTGTCGAATTCTTTCTAGCCTTTCTTAAGCTGTAAGGCAGCGCCATCTCTTTGCATTGTAGGTAACCGACAATGTCAAATGATTACGTATACAAGTTTATTTATCAAAACATCTTCAATCATGCTGCGATGCGACAAGGTCTATTTCGTAGATGACTTTCTACTGATTGCGGCTTGCACTTTGCTTAGTGACCACGGACACGTGGCGGCACGTGGGCACTATATTTTATTATCTATCCATTTGTTATTAAGGTAATTATTCCCTCGTGTTTAATTTTTCAGTATGCGACACTTTGACATATAGATAAACCTTTAATGTCAACTGTAGTGTAGTCAATTTGTTTGAGGGTTTCATTTTAATTTACTAATACTGTATATATTAAAATTATACTAGACAAAATTCTACGCGGACCAGGCCGCAGACGGGACTCAAACCCGCACCCTTCGCTACCCGGGCGAATGCACTGACCATTATGCAACCGCGGCCCTGATGGAAGTAGCCCGCGTACAATTTTTTCTAGTATAATTTTCTTTAGATTTAAACATCTAGCTGTTAAATGCATAAATAATAAAAATATACCTATGATTGGTATTTCTTCTTACAAATGTTTAATACCTGTAAAGGTATTCATTTGACATTGTGGGTTACCTACAATGCTAAAAGATGGCGCTGCCTTGCAGCTTAAGAAATATTAGAGAAAATTCGACATGGCCACTGTCGATTTTTTTCTTGTGTGGCGGCGACATCTATATGCCCCACAGATATACAACGGATATAACAAATCACTGATTACTCACCATCCTCAAGAGATGGCGTTACCTGCACTGCGATCAATATTAGTATGGAAGCCTACATCGCGCAAATTAAATTCGGCGGCTAACTCTTCATATATACGAAGCCCGACCAATATTAGTCGGGCCGCGGCCCCCGAGCTACCACCACGCAGCTCGGAGGAAGATCTTCCCCTTTGGCCTTCCAACACTTGTATAATTTTCTTTAGATTTAATCATTTAGCAGTTAAATGCATAAATAATTAAAATATAACAGTAAATATTAGTTAATAATAATAATGATCTGTTTATTAACGTTAAATGGATACTATATAGATTTCAATAACAACAAGTAGGTTACTAACGTACTGTGCTTATATAAAACACGTATCTAAATGCTTGTTAATTAATACAAAATGCGATGTTTTGCTTTGAGAATGTTAAACATGGCATTACTGATAAAAATATATTTATATTACATTCCATTGATATCCTCTTTGCCAAACGGAGTTCGCATCTATCTGTTTTCTCATACTAATGTCACAAACGTTTCTCTGTGGTCATCTCGAAAGTTCTACGTTCACTATCAAGCTAGGTCAATGAAAAAATTCCAATCATACTTAAATAATTAAAATTAGAACTATTGATATTTCAAGACTCGCTGTTACCGATCAGCATAAACCAAAATGCTTAATTTTGGCTTTGTTTAAGAACAATGTTTATTTAAAATAACAGTTTGCAAGACACACTAAAAATGTTAAAATTCGACTTTCACAAGTGCTTGTAACAGCCTAGACTAAACGATATTGAATTTTTTCCATGATCGTTCACAGGGCCGTCTTTGACCTATTTAGACGACCTCCGTGGCCGAGTGGTTTGTACGCCGGGTTTCATGGTGTCGCCGACTCGAGAGGTCCTGGGTTCAAATCCCGGTGGGGGCAGATGTTTGTGTGATGAATACGAGCATTTGTACTCCAGTCATGGATGTTTAATATGTATTTTCTATATAAATATACTTATATGTGTACAGTATATGTATTCTATCCGTTACCCTAGTATTCCATAACACAAGCCTTATAGTGCTTACTTTGGGGCTAGGCTAATTGGTGTGAGTGTTGAAAATATTCATTCATTCATTCATTATTGGAACCCCTGGGCATATTAATATAATGGGGCCCCTATGACTTCCATTTGGTGATTTAACAGGAACTAGGACTTTGTATTTGATCTAAGGGGGCCCCCTATCGATCGCGGGACCCTGGGCACTTGCCCAAAGTGCCCACTGGGAAAGACTGGTCCGATCGTACAGTAAAACTAGTAGTGTAGTGTTAGTTACAAACTGCCACGATAAGCGCTAATTTCACGGAAGCATTTATATAAATATATTTCGAGGAGCTCGATGGCCCAAGTGGTTAGCGCGTTCGGCTGCGATCGTTGAAGTTAAGCAACTTTCGCAATGGTCGGTCTTTGGATGGTTGAACCAAAATTTACTATCTCGAGCTCCTCCGTGCTTCGGAAGGCACGTTAAGCCGTTGGTCCCGGCTGCATCTGCAATCGTTAGCACCTACTAATCCGCACTGGGCTGCGTGGTGGGGTCATGGTCCAATCACCCTATTCCATCCATGTCCCAGCAGTGGGGACATTAATAGGCTGGTGATGATGATGATTTTGATGTTATCAAACATCGCATTTTCTGTCTGGATAAGAAGCTTACCTTACAGAAGACTTCAGGTAAATACCATTTATGGTTGTGTTGTATCCTCACAGTAAGATTGTCAGAACTCCATAAGATGGTCCAAGACGGTCCAAGTAAAGGGTCGTTGCAGCTGCAAGTTCTTCTCAAACGCAACGTCTCTGGTCTTTCGAATGTTTTAATTTTGGATCTTGTGTATTCATAAACAAGGTCGAAAATTTAAACTGTTTATCAGAGCATTCGTACTACGACTATCAACCTATTTTCGTTTATATTTATGGTAAAAGTTTTATATGACAGGTGAGGTGAATTATTTTGCTGGTCCCTATTTAAAAAACATCCAACTTTTTTTTAAGCATTAACAGCTAGATGTCTAAATCTAAAAAATGTTTACTCGTTAAAATTCCACGCGGCCAATGCAGCAGACGGAACTCGACCCGCACCCTCTGCTATACGGGCGGATGACCTTACCATTATGCTACCGCGGCCCTAACGGCCGTGTCAAATCTTTTCCAGTATTTCTTAGGCTGCAAGGCAGCACCAACTCTTTCGCCTTGTAGGTAACCAACAATGTCAAACGAATACCTTTTACAAGTATTAAACATTTGAAAGAAGAAATAGCAATTATCGTTATATTTTTATTTGATTGCCAAGTTCGCGGAGATGCGGCTTCCCGACCCGTTTGCTGCCTGGACCGCGTGAATTTTCTTTCTCTTGTAAAATTTTCTTTAGATTTAAATATCTATCAGTTAAAAAAAACTACAATTGCTATTTATTCTTTCAAAAGTCGTGGGCAGCAACTAATTAGTAATTAAATTCAGTTTCCCTGGTGAATCTTATCAGGAGCTGTGTCAACCTTAGCAGTTTTTTACGTCACATATACTACGGGCCCACTATTACGTACGCCCGACGTTGCCCTGTGACCTGTCATTGTTTTCATGCTATTTACACCCGATCACAATTAAGCTAGTCGATAAACACTGATAGTGTAACACAAACACGGCCTGTTCGTACGACTGGTTCGCTGCAAACGAAAATCAACTCAATCTATAACACGTTACGCTTCAAATTTCTCATTCAATAAAAGTGAGGGTTAACCATGTAATCTTTTTCGAAAATTGCGTCTCTCATTAGCTCTCCGATAATAATGATTTGACAAATCGGACTGAAAGGAATTTATCATTTTGTGTACAGTTTGTTATGTTTAAAGTGAAAACTTCTTTAGGTATCTTGGACACTTTTGGGATAGGAAATAAAGCACTGAACTCGCGTAACCGTCATGCTCGAATACTTAAGTACAATTATGTATTGATTTTTATTCTGACGAAGTCCTAACACTGATCTTTCTGTTATACATCTGTCTCGTGAATATTTACCTATAAAATTTTCATCATCATCATCATCCTATTAATGTCCCCACTGCTGGGGCACAGGCCTTCCTTATGGATGGAATAAGGGGATTGGGCCGTGACCCACCACGCGGGCCCAGTGCGGATTGGTAGGTGCTAACGACTGCAGATGCAACCGGGACCAACGGCTTAACGTGTCTTCCGAAGCACGGAGAAGCTCGAGATAGTAAATTTTTGGTTACCCATCCAATGACCGGCCACTGCGAAAGTTGCTTAACTTCAACGATCCCAGCCGAACGCGCTTACCACTTGCGCCATCGAGACTAACTTGACTACAGTCTGTCCTTATCATGCTTTATAAAGAATAAATGAGACAGACTGTAGCGACAGCGTGGACTTTAAATCTAGAACACGCAGAGTTGACGATTTATAGCTGACGGACATAAATATTAGTTAAAAAAATTAGTATATAAGACGTAAATAAGAATAAATATTGCTCTTAGTTGTCAAGCGACACACTGGCTGTTTCATTCCTCATCTCCCGTCACTAGAAGCCAAACAGACGTCTGTCAAGTTCACAAATAGCAAACACGAATAGCCAGTGGAGATGACAAAGGTTTCTTTTTCTAAAAATGCCAAAGTAATCTTCAAAAAAATACTAGAATAACTGTTCTATCCTTTTTTTCTATCTTTAAAAATGACTGAGAAAATTAAGTTTAAGTATGCATTTTCCCACGACATTATTTACAAATCCGGGCGTCCCGCGAAAATTCGATGACGTCACTCGTCGTGTCGCGGCCTCAGGTCTCTAGGTCCATTATATGTCAAAGTTGACATTAGCTTCATACATATTATGTCAAAATTCAAAGCTCAGGGTAAAGAATTGCACTGAAATCATAGGTATTTAACGCACCCCTGGGCACAAGTGACTTAAGCGCAGGGAGCGCGAAATCTCGGAAATTTAAAATAGGGCATAAACTTTTTGCAGTCAATTTCGTGAATACTCTGCATGTATTTACATAGAATAAAAACTAATATAACATAAGCAGTCTATAATTTGATGTTAGGGATATTTAAGTGTAACATTTGACCCTTCTGTGTTATCCATTGAAATGCCGGTATTAGGTATTCTTTTTTCGCAAAGCACTACGGTAAATCCTAACTAATGCTATACTATATTATAAATGTTAATGTGGTCCATTGAACAGATTTTGATCAAATTGCGTACGCATATAGTTTATGACCAGCCCCTCAAGCATGACCATCGAAACGGGATATGATAAAGCGATATATCGAAATTAACTGTCAAATTACTGTCAAACTCCACTGTAGTCTGACAGTTAATGACGATGTATCGCTTTATCATATCCCGTTTCTGTGGTCATGCTAGAGGGGCTGGATTGAGATATAGAATTTGGACTTCGAAGATATAGAAAGTCGAGGGTGGCTTTTTTTTTCTTTTTTTTTTATGTATAGGTCCGACAAATGACTCCACCTCAAGTGACGGTGGAGTCCAGATGGGAAGATAGCTGATACAGCAGTTCTATCTGCCACACCAGCCATCCTCACCCTGACGGCCTGCCAATTGTTTCTTCACGCCTCTTTTGAAGGATCCCAGGTTGTAAGAAGGAGGGATCACGTGAGCAAGCAGAGCATTCCATTTACGGATAGTGCGACAAAGAAATGTGTCACCAAATTTCTTTGTACGCGTTGGCATTTCGGCCACAGTTACAGTTGGCCACGGTGACAACAAAGGCCAGCGCTCGTGGTCCTCAGAAGGAAAGGGGAAGGTGGAATAAGAGAGAATAACTCCTCAGAACACTCGCCGTGGTACAGACGATAGAACACATAAAATGAATCCCCACGTTTGTTGTTAGGTGTCTTGTATGCCGGTCTGATGATCACTAAGGCGGGCCCAATGACGTTGGAGTTCAACTGCCGCTTCGGCGACCCCGAGACGCAAGTACTGATGACCCTTCTGGAATCCGATCTCTACACTGTGATGAACGTAAGTTTATTTATGAAAGTTACATCAGTAAATTTCCATAATCGATTTTCGACTCTATGGCTACATTAATAACGTTCAAAAATTAATTATCTGTTAACTGTTTGGATCAGTGATTCCCAAAGTGGTATATATCGACCCCTAGGGGTCTATGACAACCTGCAAGGTGTCTACGTCAGCGAAAAAAAAATCAATATCAGGTAAGTAGGGGGTCTACCGAACACGGAAAAACATGGCAAGGGCACGACACAAAAAAGTTTGGGAAACTCTGGTTTGGATTAATAGGCATGTCAGTATCCAACTAATATTATGAATATGAAAATTTGTATGTTTGTAATTCAATCACGAAAAAATGGTGAACATCAGAAATTTCATCTAAATCAACTTTGGTAGCAATATAGTTTCTGACCTGGTTTGAGACATAGGAAAACCATTAGAATCCTTCCTGTTTACACGGACGAAGTCGCGGGCAGGAGCTAGTTTAACTATGTAATACTCCGGTTCACATACCAGTCTTCATTATCCATTATCCGGTAAATTAATTCAGTCCAGTTTTTGAACTAAACAACAATGCGAGTTTAGTTATAAAAAGAAGACCGTTATTCTGGTCACTAGGCTGAAAAGCTACTGGGATGATGTGAACCGGGCATAGTACTTAAAGACTCTGTCCAGGATATAATCAAATTAGTAAATGCTTTCAGTTTATTTAAATTAAACACTAAATTGTTAATGTATTAAAAAATCTAATTTATAACTATTATCTTCAAATTAGTGTGAATAGTCAACCTAAGATAAATTATATAAATTTGAACTTTATACTAAAGAGTATGAGGTCCAAATTTCATCGTCACCCGTATTAGTATTATATTTATATTTTTTATACTACAGGCATGCGTCGACGGCACACTGAACAAACTCCAAGTGGCGTGGAATACCAAGCTGTCTGCTGTAGGCGTGGTGATCGCTTCCAAAGGATACCCGGAAACTTCCACCAAAGGCTGTGTTATTAGCGGTATGTTACTAAGTTAATCATATCATTAACTATTATAAAGTGTTAGCAAATTCATCATCAGCCTATTAATGTCGCCACTGCTGTGGCACAGACCTTCCCTATGGATGGAATAGTTGGTTTATTTGTTTACATTTTGGCTCAGAGGATGTTCTGATGATGATGTTGATTTTCCCGGACCAATATAATCTGGACATATTCTAGGCCAGAGTGATCAGGCATATTCTAAGGCAGGCGTGTACCATCCTAGGCCTCATCATTGCTTTCCATCAGGTGAGATTGTGGTAAAACATTGCCTATTTTGCATAAAAAAAAATGTTGAATAGAGTACAGTATCCTGGGGCGGGTGTGTATTACTGGTCTGCGTCTGCGCCGCTATGCGCTTAAAATTTACAACTGTTTGCAAAGGGTTCTCCCTTGCTGCGTTTTATGGACCCGAACGAACTATTATTGGTAGCATTATCGATTCGCTGAAACTTACTTTACCAGTTTAATTTTTATTTTTTAAGCGTGTAACTGCGCGATGTTTAAATCTAAAGAAATATTCTAGAAAAAAATCCACGCGGATCAGGCAGCAGACGGGACTCGTACCATTATGCTACCGCGGCTCTGATGGCCGTGTTGAATTCTATCTAGCCTTTCTTAAGCTGCAACGCAGCGCCATTTCTTCGTATTGGAGGTAACCCACAATGTCAAATGAATACCTTTACAAGTATTCAACATTTAAAAGAAGATATAGCAATTATAGTTATAATTTTTAAGCGAAGGGTGCGGATAGTAGTATAGTCCCGTCTGCTGCCTGGTCCGCGTGGAATTTTTCTATTAATATTTTCTTTAGATTTGCAGTTAACTATACAATTGAAAGTCTATGGTATGGAATTCGGATAAAGATTATTTTTGAGCCTTATGGATGGAATAGGGAGATTGGGCCATGACCCATCCCGCGGGCCTACTGCGGATTGATGGGTGCTAACGATGCAGCCGGCACCAACGGCTTAACGTGCCTTCCGAAGCACGAAGTAGCTCGCGATAGTAAATTTTTGGTCGCCCATCCGATGACCGACACTGCGAAAGTTGCTTAACTTCAACGATCACAGCCGAACGCGCTAATCACTTGCGCCATCGAGCCCTTCGTTAGAACCTAATTAAAGATTATTTTGGGGGAGTTCATATTTAGTTTTTTTTTGTCTCTATTGGATAGGATTATCGCAAGTCCAAGCCACGCCAGGGCTGGTAGTATTCCACAGTGGGGTAGCTCGGGGGGCCAACGGTTCCCTAGTATCTTGGGGCGGGCGGGTATTGTTAATCTGCGCACGCGCCGCTTCGCTTCGAGCCGCCGCCGCCGCCGCTACTGCGGCCGCTGCCTTAGTAGACTTCCCTGGCGCTCATTACAGGAAGGATATAGCTCACCGCGCCTTCTCCAAGTATGTATCACTGGAGATAGGATTATCGGACGCTTATTTGTTTAAACTTAGTATTTATTTTATTTATTTATACTTAATGCACAAGTGTACAAATGTGGACTTAATGCCATAGGCATTCTCTACCAGTCAACCATAGGGTGTTGTGGATAAATAGTGGTAGGGTGCACAACTAACATGGAAATTACAGAAAGACGAACATATATAAATATATAATCACACATATATAAATAATTGCTTACATATAAATAACTATACATATACATATTTGTTTCTTAGGTTTTCACGCACATCACTCATTAAATAAAACTACACGGCGTAACTACTCTAAGATTACTCCTCGTTTAATACGTTAGTCGTCATTATTATGTATTAGTATGTATATTTATAAATGTATGTATGTATATGTATAATAAAACTAGTTTTTACGGGTTAATGCACGAAACTTTATTTATTTATTGACGTTTCGCAGCCTTTTCAGGTCTGCATCGTCAGAATAATCGTCATTATTCTGACGAAACGTCAATAAATAAATAAAGTTTCGTGCATTAACCCGTAAAAACTAGTTTTATTATACATATACATACATACGTATATAAATATACATACTAATACATAATAATGACGACTAACGTATTAAACGAGGAGTAATCTTAGAGTAGTTACGCCGTGTTTTGCACATATCACTCAAATGGCATTTGTCATTTAATGAACAGATACAAAACATGCAGTAACTTAATGTTTACCAGTTTAGTGGGAGAACTCTGCATTGCTACTAAGTAATTTCTTGATGTTTTGATGAATAAGCGCCCGATTATCCGATTGCTGTCAAATAATCGATAGCAATCAATAGTTACATATATAAATTTACGTACACAAATGCATGAACTTTTAGCATAGTTTAATATAATACAGCCCCATTAAGGTTTACAATGCAGCCAAAATGAACTGCTAAACTTGCCTCTGCAGCACGCATGATGAATTTTTGGTCACCCATCTAGCGACCGACCTATGCAAAAAAATAATAATATCATAAATCGCCACGCAATTTGATGTCGTCCCACAAGGGGAAGACCTGTAATATCCATATAAGTACGCCAAGTTTGGTAACAATGTCTTTCGAACAGTTCATTATAGTATTTATACTACCCCAAGTATCAGGGCTAGATTTCAAGCTGGGCTGGTCCACAACAGCGTAGAAAGAACTCGTCGATGGGTCTTCACAGGGGGTGTGGGGGAGGGGGTACATCGTTAGTGGCTGTTAAATACCCTAGATACACCACGTGCGCTCAAAATGTGTCCCAATCAAGAAGTGCTTGAACACCACTTGTACTTTAACACAAAACACTTATAGTACGTTAAATGTCGTTTTTTTGATAGGTATCCAATCAAAGATTATTAATATATATATTTAATGGCCCACCCTCGCTTCGCTTCGGTGTAGAGCTGAAGTGTAGACTACAGTTGACATTCATCTATGATCCTTCTTATACCTACATTCAAAGTCTCAGCCCGATCGGTTTAAAATTGACAAAGTTTCATACAAACCTGCATTCCCTATTTCCCTTTGGGGGTAAAATTGATCAAAATCCTTTCTTAGCGGATGCCAACGTCATAACATCTACCTGCATGCCAAATTCCAGCCCGATCCGTCCAGTGGTTTGGGCTGTGCGTTGATAGTTCACTATGTCAGGAAAACAAGGATTTCCTCCCTATGCCATCACGAATATCTTATTTATTACGATGCCATGTTATCTCGTGATGCGGGACGTGGCGACAAGTCTTGTTATTGCATTTTGTACGAGCTTAATATGTAAGATATAAATAAACTTATTGCCTTAAATAAAAAAATGGTACACAAAAGATAACCTCTGTGCCGCAAAACACCTAAACCAATAGCTTAAAAACAAGCAAATTTAAAGATTTTACTGCTGCATTGAAAATGTTTGTAAAACACAATATTGGACATTGAGACTAATAGGTCTCAATGCCTACCGTCTTGCACTAATGACGTGTTTTACGCGAGAATCGGGTCGCGATTACGAGTTCATTGCTAGAAATGATGCATTCATGTGCGATATTGCTTATTAATAACCTGTATTTTTTAACATGTCTAATGAGGGTAAACAATATTATTCATACAACATAAATCCATCGATTATATAGTCCCAAAATAAAGATGGGCTCGTCCCACCTGTGTAGGGTTGCCAACCCTACTAATATAGTATCCTACTATATTAGGCGATCAAATACTATATTTCTAAAAAAAATATAGTTGGCGAAACTACTTTATTTTGCTTATAGCATATTTTTGACAGTAAAAGCTCTCTTAAAAATTACTATAAATTTATTAGTAAGGCAAAAAAGGCAGCAAAAATACACATACTAATAAACATACTACATTTTATTCCATTTTTTTGCCAGCTACTATATTTTTAGAAGAAACACTTTGAAAATACTATTTTTGATAGAAAAAAAGTTGGTAACCTGTGGTATCTATACCGAATAACGGATATGCATACATAAATGAAGAAGTGTATAACCAACAATGACTGGGGAACAAATATTTGAGCTTGTACAGAATAACATCCTCCTGTGGGGTTTAACCCAGAACCTTTGGACTTGGAGCAGAATGAATTTACGCTGCCATGTCATGATAATTAAATATTGAATTATCGGAGTCTTTGCTAAAAATTGGATGCATGGATATAAAAAAATAATAAAAATAAAATATGTTTATTCTCTTTAACTTAACCTATTATTATCTAATAACATTGTTGGTGCACTTCTTTTAAGTATAGCGATACCTGTAGGAGGAGGATATGCATGGATTCATGTCTGTCTTTCGACCTTTCCTTTCGATAAAACGTACAGTCAGCAATATATCAAATTCCTGCATGTGTCGTATTTGTTCAATCAATTGTAAATCTTATATTAAGGAAAATAAAGCTTAATGCCACTTGGTGAAATTTCACAGTTTTGGATAACTTGATCTGTTGTTCACTGTTTAGTTTGCAGTACTGATTAGTCCGCCAATCTAGGTAACTTCATATAAATAATTCGATTGAGAACATTCTCTTTTTCTATGTCTGTAAAAATATACTACACTTATCACTTACCTACTGGTGTGGAAATATTTTTGTGTATATCATGCATATTGCTTATTTAATTTACTCACAATAGGCTAGTTGACTCATGTCGAATTGTATTAAATAAATGTTTATTTCTTAAAGTATTTGGTCTAAGGAACCTTAATATATCGATTTCACTTCATACAAGCAGAAGATTGCTGTAGAAATTTAATTTAAAAATATATTTTTAGTCTATACTTTTTACACACTAAAAACGCTGTTCACCACGTCCGCCATGATTGTGACGTCTCTTTGGTAGTAAACAACTAAATGTCATTCGCGTGTTACTGTTAATTTGTACTGCATATAATTTTCCATGTCGTTTTCCAACTGAAAGATATGTAACGTAAGAATTTTAATATTTATTTTGCTCATTGATATAGTAAATACAAACTTGCTGCCTGGTCCGCGTGGAATTTTTTCTAGTTATATTTTCTTTAGATTTAAACATCAAGCAGTTACATGCTTTAAAAATAATAAAAATTATAAATACAAACTTGTATTATTTAAACTGATAATAGATGAAGAGACTTAAAATATTATTCAATGAATACTTACATCAAAATGATCTTCGCAAAAATAAATTTTACTATGAGTCGATAACAGGATCCCTTTTAGCAAGTTCTAACCAGGTATTGCGTACGTTAATTTCTTTCGGCACTTTAATCCACAACTTTCCTGGAGTCTTCAAGGATGTGTTTTTACATTCTCGTACAATACAATAATCATAATTACTATATTTTTCGTGGTATTTATTGGAAATCATGTTTTTTTTTTATTATAAACTGGTTTATTTTCTACGTGCTTACGAGTTTTTGTTTACTACAGGTTGACGTCATAGCATAATAGACTAAAATGGCCGACAGCGTTTTTGTATGTCCATGAAAAATCTATTTTAAAATTAAAGATTTGTAGCTTTCTAGGTCTCAAAAAATACAATACATTTTTTTTCAGTCTAATAGAGCATTTATTCACCATTTAAAACCTTTGTCCAGAAAGGGTCAACTAGCCTATTATATTTGGAAAGTGGTGTATTTATGACAATTTCTTTTATTTGATCTTTATTGTCTCGATTTCATTATGTTATTATCGTATTACTGTCTATATCATCTCATTATTATAATACTCTAAAGGCAATATCAACAAAAAGTACAACAATTACAAATTAATATTTCATTGAGTAAGCCTGTGCGGGGCATGGCCCCCAAAAGACTGACAGTGTTGCCTCGCTGTATCGCCAAACTAATCCGTTGAGCAAAAAAGCTACCAGATCTCTAAAGGCAATTAATTTTCTTCCATTATACCATCTTGGTTGTAGAAATTTTATACTATTAGAATCCACAGTCGTGCTCTCTTCAATTACTTGTCTTTCATTTATATTATAGCTTGACGTGTTTGTTTCAGCTTGTAATCCTGGGAACCCATATATTATTATTCTCATGAATCTCATACATTCCTTTATAACATGTAAAGTTAGATAGTGATTCCAAATAGTTCTTTGTAATAAATCATGTTTGTTTTTTTTACCATAGCTTTACACTTGCGATGTATAAGGAAGTGATGAGGGTAAGAGGAGATTGGTTGTTAAACGTAGTAGCTTCTACTGCCATCTCATTTTGCGTTTTGTTAAAAAATAATGAAATAAAAGCTTTTTTTTTTCATTTTGTATTTCATTTACTTTGCCCGTTCAAATTCATTGGTAGTTCGCATGTATGTTGTTGCATTCATAAAACAAGTTAATTGTGGTTTATGTTAACACACTGTTATTTTATTGTTAGTGTTATTTCGTTTTAGTGTTTTTGACTTCGATCAACAATTCTATTGTAACGGGTTGCGTACAAAATCAAAGCTAAAAAGTGTCCGCGTAAATTTAACTTTACGCAGCTACATTCGATTCCCAATGAACAAAGATAAATGTTTTAAAACAGTTTAAGTTGAACCTAATAACAACTATCTCACAAAGGAATAAGGTTACAAATAAGAAAATATTATTTCGCACATACGAACTTCTATCTTGTAAAACGAACTTTTGTTCCTTTTATAAATTTTATCTGATACTTGGAAAAAAACGATAAAGGTGAAAAAAGAAAAATGTGAATTCAAGTTATGACCCACAAAATAAAATATTTTTACCAGTCATTGGCCAGCGAGCAACTTCGATCTGTATTAACCGAACTTATTTAAAATAAGATGTCAAGCCTCAAGTAAGGCTTTATTTACCGAGACGGTTTTTACGCGCTGACTAGTAATCTATAGAATTGTTGATCCAAATTTTTTTGATTAAATTTTAATATAGATTTGCTTGTATTCCATCCTGTACTTTAATTTTAGGAGTACTTTTAGGAGTGCCACTTATCCTGTTGTCAAATAATTATATCTTCTTTGGGGTCATCCATAAATTACGTCACACGAATTTCATGATGTTTTGCCCCCCAGTCCTTGTCACAGCTGGATAAACCCCCCCCCCCCCCCCCCCCCCCCTTCCTAGTATGACTTCACATATTGTGCAAATTTACATTTAAAAATTATTGAATGAAAACAGCGGTTCTGAAATCAGTTTTATTTCCATTTAAAACAAAACAAAAAATATTAATAGCATTATAATTAAATTAAAGATATAATAATATATAAATAATCTTGAGTCCATGGACATTGAACCCACTCCATTAAATTATTTGTAACTGGTATAGCACCACTTTGTTCTCGTTTGGGTTGTTAATGTTTTCTTAAAGTAAAAGTTTCAACACTTAGATTATATTAGATTTTGAAATGTGACGTCACGAAATTTAGGACCCCTCCAACCTCCTTGTCACACTACGTCGACCCCCTCCCTCCCCCTTAACGTGTGACGTAATTTATGGATGGCCCCTTTATCTCTGGTAAATATTTTTTTTTCTAGAAATTCTGTGTGTAATAAATAAAATATTAGTTATTTTCAATTATTAAGATTAAAAAACTTATTTATGAAAACAACTATTACCAATTAGTAAATGTAAGCTAAAAGTAAAGTTTATCACTGAAATCGCTCGCTTTGAGCAGATCAAAGCTTTATAAAATATGACGTTTCTGAATTTTTACTCTGATAGTGATTATATAAAGCTTCTTATTCCCACATGCATGCCTTTGATTTACTTTAATTTTTTGATCGTGCATGTTGAATTTTCTGTGTTTGTATTAGTTTTGATCGTTCAATGACAGGTAAGAATTCAGATTTCCTTACTATTGTCCGACTCTCATTGCTTGAATACAAAAGTGACGTTGAAAGTGCTAAATCGTAACCGCACATAGTTATATTCACACGGTGTCGAATTAAGGAACCATTAAAAATACAAAAAACCCTATTTTTGCCAACTCTTACATCCCCAACTGTAGGAAACTGTCTTATACTTCATGGTCCTTCGAGCCGGATATGAACCGCCAAATATCTAATAAAAGAACTACACACATCAAAAGTGTCTAGGGATCAACATATATTTTTGCAATAACTTTTCTCCTGATTGATATTAATTAAAATTTTCTTTAAGGATTCATCAAATAAAGTGTTTTCGTTTGTCACAGTAACGATAAACCAAGTCACCTTTGCATTAATAAAGAAATTTGCCATTTTCCTAATAAAGGGATTTTTGAAATTTGAACCACTAACACAAAAGTTCGAAAAAAAGACTGAAATAACAGTTTTCTCTAAAATTTTATTGGGTAACTTAAACAATTAATAATCCGTATTTCTACCGCGAACACTAACAACACAAAAACATCGGTTTGGCATACTCAAAATGAGTTCATCCAAATCACGCTGTGGAATGGCCGCCCATGTTCGTTGCAACAACAAAAAAAGGTCTTCTTGCGACTGGATACCCTCCATATTCGGCAGAGCTCTTCTCTGTAGCATATCCCATGCATGCTCAATCGGGTTCAAGTCTGGCGACTGAGCAGGCCAGGGCAGGACATTGATGTTAGCTGCGGCGAGAGTCTGTCTTACAACTCTTGCGGTGTGCGGTCGTGCATTATCATGCATTAACTGAAATAAGGGACCGATTTGCACTTGTAGAGGAACGATGACGTCTGATACAATCGTCTCAGCATAAATTTGAGCGTTGAGGTTGCCTCTGATCCAAATCAACTCAGTTCTTCCGCCGATCCAAATACCCGCCCATACCATGATGGTTCCACCACTATAAGGATGGATTTCCTGGCAGGATTTTAATCGCTGTTGGCGTCCAGGGGTTCTCCAGTGTCGTATACGTCTTGTATCCGGTCTCATACCAAAACGAGACTCATCAGAAAAGCACACGAAACGCCATTGTTCTTCTGCCCAATTTCTGTGTTCAAGAGCCCATTGATATCGAATCCTACGATTGTGCATTGCTATAGGTGGTACCCGTAGCGGTCTTCGGGAATGAAGGTTCACTTCATGCAAGCGGTTTCTGACTGTTTGGTCGCTAATTAAGTTCCCTGAAGAGTGATGAAGCCTCACGGCTAACATCATGGCGGTTATTGTTGGAGCTCTTCGAGTTAAGATTTGAATGTATCGGTCTTGTCTCCGTGTGGTGCAGCGATACCGTCCTCCATGGCGCTCAGCCACGGTACCAGTGCTTCGGTATCGTGTCCAAAGTCGACTGATAACACTCTGACTTGTATTCAGAGCTAAAGCCACAGTACGTTGCCGGGAACCAGCTTCTATCATTCCCACGGCTCTGAGCATTTCTTCCCTGCTTAAATGACGTCGCCGCTCCATAATAACGTTGGTTTTAATCAGTAGTAGGGAAACAGTAGCACTAATAATGTCTTCAATGCGTTGTATGTTTTTATAGGGAAAATATTGACAGCTGATTTTCATCTTTTACTCGAATTTGATTCACAGTTCCTGATTCAAATTATGAAATGCACCAAAAAGGATCCATATAAATTTATAAAATCATAAATTTATTACAAAGCCACATCTCAACCTCAAGAAATCCGCATAAAAATGCTTGATCCCTAGACACTTTTGATGTGTGTATTTACATAGTTTCGGTATGCAAATTCAAAAGATGAAGTTTGAACCAATAACATAATAAAACTTCTAACAGACCCATTCACACCAATCAGCCTTGGACTAAAATTGCCAATGGACCTACCGGCCGTATTGCAAGACTTTAAATAAAACGAATACCATTGAAAGTCTCATGTTGGATTACTCTATTGTTATCGCAAAGAAAGTTACAGCACCAACTTAATTCAATCAAATTTAAAAGAAGCATCGGCCGTATATTGTTAATGTATTTTGTGTATCCCGGGGAACTAGGCTCAACGGTCTATCGTACCTGCAAAGCGGCGTAGACATAGACGCGGCTGCAACGCTAGTTCGTCAGATCGAGCCGCTGGCTACAGCGACCCACAGGCGCGGTGTACTGGGCCGTCTGGGCTGCTACAGCGGCCTGTTCCAGCTGTCTGCCATGGATCCTACGCTGAAGGATCCGGTGCTAGTGCAAGGAACAGACGGAGTCGGCACTAAGCTTAAGGTAATGACCCTGGTTCGTCAGATCGAGCCGCTGGCTACAGCGACCCACAGGCGCGGTGTCCTGGGCCGTCTGGGCTGCTACAGCGGCCTGTTCCAGCTGTCTGCCATGGATCCTACGCTGAAGGATCCGGTGCTAGTGCAAGGAACAAATGGAGTCGGCACTAAGCTTAAGGTAATGACCCTGGTTCGTCAGATCGAGCCGCTGGCTACAGTGACCCACAGGCGAGGCGTATTGGGTCGTTGGGGCTGCTACAGCGGCCTGTTCCAGCTGTCTACCATGGATCCTACGCTGAAGGATCCGGTGTTAGTGCAAGGAACAGATGGTGTCGGCACCAAGCTTAAGGTAATGACCCTGGTTCGTCAGATCGAACCTCTGGCTACAGAGGCGACTCACAGGTGTGGCGTGCTGGGCCGTCTGGGAAGCTGTTCTAGCTGTCTGCCATGGATCCTACGCTGAATGACCCGGTCCTAGTGCAAGGAACAGACGGAGTTTGCACCAAACTTGAGGAAAGCGTAACTCTGGTATGTAAGGGGTGGATTGCTCAACTGCTTAAACGGCCTGTTCCAGCTGTCCGCTATGGAACCCACACTGAAAGACCTCATACTGGTCAAAGGCACCGATGGAGTCGGCACCAAGCTTAAGGTAAACGTGATTCTGGTGGGTACGGTGACAGTTAATTTTTTTCACCGTTTATGAAAGTTTATATTATGATTGATGCCATTATCCCAAAGTAACTAAATCACTGACCCGTCATCTCCATTCCAGCTCGCCGAAATAATGAACAAGTACGACACGATCGGCCAGGACCTCGTAGCGATGTGCGTAAACGACATCCTGTGCGCGGGCGCCGAGCCGTTCGCGTTCCTCGACTACATGGCTTGCGGACGACTTCAGGTTGAAGTGGCCGCCACCATCGTGAAGGGCATCGCGGATGCTTGCATACTGTCCGGCTGCGCTCTGATGGGTAAGTATCTGATTTTTTTTTTAAATAAGTCTAAATCTTTAGTAATCGGTAGTTAGGTCGCTGATATGTCACCAATAATTGTTTGCCAATCAATTTATTTTTGATTTTTGTGTGATAGTGCTATTTTACTGTGATCTTCTGTAAGATGAAGGTTACTCCCCCAGATGGGCGCTCCTAAGTGAATGAAAACCTCTTTAAAGCGAGAAAGAGATACCTATACGAACTTTTCTCACAATCGCTTCATCTGTCTCACATTTATCTAGTCAGATTAACTTGACAGCTGAACAGGGAACGCTCAGATCATTCTCGTGTCTATCTATTGCTAAAAATTACTCCTTATCTCTTTCTCAGTTGGCAGTTCATTCTTTTTCAATCCATGATTAAAATTTATACTACACCTGCTGGGAAAGTGTTTTATTCTTGTTTTAAAATGTAGCAGAAAAGACCTCATTACTGTTGTACTACTAAGCAGGCTAGAAAAGTGTTTGGAAATCCATTTTTAACGCGCTGAGCGGATAGAAAAGTCTGTAAAAATAAAAACTATCTACCGACAAACTATTGTAATAGTTTGACAGATATTTCATTTATAATCAATGTATGTATTTAGAAAAAAAAAAACATTGTGAACGTGCTATTTTTCAATATATCTTTTTTTTTTATTTATGTTCCGAAAGTGGTCATTATAATTTTGCAGACTTGCAATCTATTTTTTCAACATTATACTGTTTGCTTTCTGAATAAATTTTGAAAAAAGAACAAAAATTAAAAAGCGCTCTGATTATTTTATTTTAACTGCGTTTTTAATTCATTTTCTTAACTACTCGAGACGGCGTATATTGAATTGATAATGAAGATTTATTGACACCGCCAGTATTAAAACAAACGACCTAAGCAGTCATTGAGAACCTTTACCCGGGAAATCAAGAAACCAATATAAAGCTGCCATTCAAAAATTTTGTAACTTTAAAATAAATTTCAACTAGCTGTGCCCCGCGGTGCTACCCGTGGACTATTAAGGGTATTTTCTCGCAGTAAAACGTAGCCTATGTTTTAATTCAGGGTGTCAGCTAACTCCATACCAAATTTTATTAAAATCGCTCCAGCCGTTTAGACGCGAGGAAGTAACAGACATACACACTCCCAAACTTTTGCCTTTATAATATTAATGTGATTAACGAATTTGTCTTTTATTTCTTCGCAAGTATAGTATAATGCAATATGTATCCCTTAATAGAAAGTGCTATTCCCAACTTGGGTGTATTAAGGCCCTTAAACTACACCCTCGTTGGTAATCGGCTACTTTCCCCTCTCGGTGAACAATGTACTATTTCTCTCTTAGGCGGTGAGACAGCGGAAATGCCTTCCATGTACGAAGTGGGCAAATACGACTTGGCCGGTTTTGCCGTGGGTGTTGTGGACAATTTGAAGCAGTTACCTCGTGTAAAAGAGATCAGAGCCGGAGACGTGGTGATGGCACTGCCATCTACCGGCGTGCATAGTAACGGATACAGTCTGGTGCAGAAGATCATGGCTGAGACTGGGCATAGGTAGAGCATATTATCAGTTTCTTTATTGGTTCACCTCTCAGATTATAGCCGGAGACGAGGTGAGGGTACTGCCATCTACCGGCGTGCATAGTAACTGATACAGTCTGGTGCAGAAGATCATGGCTGAGACTGGGCATAGGTAGAGCATATTATCACTTTCTTTATTTATACACCTCTCAGATTATAGCCGGAGACGTGGTGATGGCACTGCCATTTACCGGCGTGCTAAGTAACGGATACAGTCTGGTGCAGAAGATCATGGCTGAGACTGGGCATAGGTAGAGAATATTATCATTTTCTTTATTTATACACCTCTCAGATTATAGCCGGAGACGAGGTGATGGTACTGCCATCTACCGGCGTGCATAGTAACGGATACAGTCTGGTGCAGAAGATCATGGCTGAGACTGGGCATAGGTAGAGCATATTATCACTTTCTTTATTTATACACCTCTCAGATTATAGCCGGAGACGTGGTGATGGCACTGCCATTTACCGGCGTGCATAGTAACGGATATAGTCTGGTGCAGAAGATCATGGCTGAGACTGGGCATAGGTAGAGCATATTATCACTTTCTTTATTTATACACCTCTTAGATTATAGCCGGAGACGTGGTGATGGCACTGCCATTTACCGGCGTGCATCGTAACGGATACAGTCTGGTGCAGAAGATCATGGCTGAGACTGGGCATAGGCAGAGCATATTATCACTTTCTTTATTTATACACCTCTCAGATTATAGCCGGAGACGTGGTGATGGCACTGCCATTTACCGGCGTGCTAAGTAACGGATACAGTCTGGTGCAGAAGATCATGGCTGAGACTGGGCATAGGTAGAGAATATTATCATTTTCTTTATTTATACACCTCTCAGATTATAGCGGGAGACGAGGTGATAGCACTGCCATCTACCGGCGTGCATAGTAACGGATACAGTCTGGTGCAGAAGATCATGGCTGAGACTGGGCATAGGTAGGGCATATTAACATAATCTTTATTTATACACCGCTCAGATTATAGCCGGAGACGTACTGATGGTACTGCCATCTACCGGCGAAGAACTAAATCAGCCTTATTTCAAAATGTTGACTTAAGTTAAACCTGGCTTAAAACAGATGCTGTCATTGATTGTTAAAAAGAAGACAGATACGACATTAGGTTTAAACCATGACTAACATTAGACCGCGTTTTTAAATAAGGCAGAACAGGTCTAATGACTTCTAATTACTGAGAGTATTTGTTTAAATCTAAAGAAAATATAACTAGAAAATACCTTGGGTGGGTTACCTACAATCCGAAGAGATGGCGCTGCCTTGCAGCTTAAGATAAGCTAGAAAGATTTCGACACAGCCATCAGGGCTGCGGTAGCATAATGTTCTGTGCATTCGCTCGTATAGCGAAGGGTGCTGGTTCGAGTCCCGTCTGCTGTCTGGTCCGAGTGGAATTTTTTCTTTAGATTTAAACATCAAGCAGTACTTTGCTTAAAAAATAAAAATGATGAGTATAATTCAACGTATCTTTCTAGATACACCGATAAGGCTGCGTTCAGCGCTTCGGGCCGTTGCTACGGCGAAGAGTTCCTAGAACCCACGGGCATCTACGTGCGACAAGTACTGCCTGCCTTACGTCGCAGCCTAGTGAAGGGATTGGCCCATATTACTGGTGGTGGATTGCTGGACAACGTGCCCAGAATCCTGCCGCCCGGGGTTCGAGTCCGGCTCGACGCTAACAAGTTCCAGATAAAGCCGATATTCGGATGGCTGCAGGCGAAAGGTAACTCGATTACGCAGATGGTTAGCGCGTTCGGTAACGATCGTTGAAGTTAAGCAACTTTCGCAGTGGTCATTGGATGGGTGACCGAAAATCTTATATCTCGAGTTCCTCCGTGCTTCGGAAGGCACGTTAAGCCGTTGGCCCCGGCTGCAACTGCAGTCGTTAGCACCCGCCAATCCGCACTGGGCCCGCGTGGTGGGTCATGATCCAATCTCCCTGTTCCATCCATAGGGAAGGCCTTTGCCCCAGCAGTGGGGACATTAATAGGCTGATGATGATGATGAAAGGTAATGAGAAATAAACAACAAAATCTTTATTACGTGTTTGGAGTTTGGATAGCATAAAAGTTGTTCAATTTTTTTTATTAGGGGTGCCATTAAATTCGATCGAGTATGGTATTTTAAGTATTCAGTAAGTCAGCTCTCTCGATAGACTTCATTGTGGCATTAGTTGTAGTCAGCGCTACAGTGAAATCTCAATTTTAATTGAAAAATTTTGTTTTCTTTCACTAATTACTCACTTTCGCAATCTTTTATACCACAAAATAGCATCAATTTTATATCACAGTTTTCACTATGAATGAAAATTAGAGAATAATATAATAGATCACGCTCGGTGAAAATCAAGAAAACTGTACAAATTTTTGGTGGGGATTTAATTTTCTATAGAAATCAGAAATCAATATATCTCTATTCAAATTGGATGTATAGTACAACTCTTTTGAATCGTCCAAACTTTTTTTTCCTTACCACTCGATACTGGACATATTTTTTAGCTGCGGAGAAAAACGAGCGAAAAAGCTCTACAACATTAAAAGTATAATTAAACAACATTTACAAATCATTAATTTGTTACAACGTCAATACAATAATGATTTATTAAATATAGAAAACCTGTTGGAATGATTGGAACAGTTCTAACCCAAGCATTTTTGTCTGTAATATAATCACACACTTTGTAATAAGCTTTTTTAATAAGTGCTTTTTATACTATCTTTGAATTTATTTATGGTGATACATACTGATGTACCAGTGTTATCCGTAGGAATGGTATCAGACTTCGAAATGCTCCGGACATTCAACTGCGGCGTTGGCTTAGTGGTAATCGCGGACCCAGATTGCGTAAAGGAGTTGCTTGAATGCATCGAAGATTTACGCGTCATTGGCACAGTGGAGAACATCGGCACAGAAGGTGAGAATAACTTTATTTTTGGAACGAAGTTCCTTACGGCAGGCTTGGAGGGGATAGGGATTTTGCTGCGCGACCGAACTGAAAAAAATGTGATAGTAAAACCGTAAGAAAAAATTCGTGGAAAAAAGTGCGTGGAATAAAACCGTTAAATGAGACGTGCGCAGGCGCGACAGTCGCATACACAAGCGAGTAGTGTATAATACCTTTCTCTTTCTCCCTCTTTCTTTTCGTTCTCTCATCCCTTCTCTTTCTATTACCACTTCACCCCGCCAATGCATAGTATATACTCATGAATTCATGGACAAGCACGTGGCGAATACTCACATTATGGCAGGCTTGGAGGGGATAGGGATTTTGCTGCGCGACCGAACTGAAAAAATTGTGATACTAAAACCGTAAGGAAAAATCCGTGGAAAAAAGTGCGTGGAATAAAACCGTTAAATGCGCATTAGCCGAAGGAACTTCGTTCCTACCTGGTGTCCCACGACACCACATCATTTTTTTATATTTGTTTGTTAGGTTTTCACGCACACCACGCATTAAATAAAACAAATTTCAACGGCATAGATGCATTGATTTATTTATTTATTACGTTTCGCATGCTTTTTAGACTGCGTCGTCAGAATTAAAATTTTGCAATTTTGAATTTCACATAAAAATACCGGCCAAGTGCGAATCTGACTCGCGCAGCGAGGGTTACTATAGACCAGTACGTCTACGTATCGAGCAGAACTGAAACGAAATGAAATTATACACTGTTCAAATTGACTTATTGAAAGCTGTTTTGGATTATCCTTAATTTTTTCCTACCTTTCGTCGTCAGCTCATATCCTGAATGGGTATTCAGGATATGAGCTGATGAAAATAATGGACGTAAGAAATTCATCAGCATTTAACAGACGTAAACATTTACATAAAGTCATGTCTCCGCCGATACAACATCCACTCAAATTTTGTTCGATATATCATACAGTATAAATACAAATAGTGTTACATATTTATATTAGGTATAATTCGATAATATTTCGTTAGTAAATAATATCGACTCATCTCCCCTGACAGCAAATGTTATCGACCAAATTAAGAGTGTACACGAGCTGAAAGACATTGGAGAAATAGGTTTCAAAATAACTATTGCTGTAACGCATTGGCAAATACCGTGTGATAAGGACAACAGTAGTTAACGTTGAAAATTGCGAATAAAAATTCAAGGTTTGGCTCTCGATGAGTTTCTCCTCGGAAAATAAGATAATATGTAAATGAAATTTTATACAAAGAATATTAAGTAGTTATACTATGCCACTATTTTTTTGTTTTTTTTTTTTGTAAATGCTTATTATCATTAATCTCCACACTAGACGTCTTTAGTGGTGATAAAAAAATGATTATTTTTGACCTATTTCGATGGCTTTTAGTATCTTTGAAACACAAATTATCGAAAAAAGTAAGACATAGGAGCATAGAATGTGTAAAATTGTATTTTATATAAGAAAATTATTTCTTTAGTTTTTTTTATTTTTTTATTTATGCCAAACAGGCAATGCGTTTGTCCACAATCTCACCTGATGGAAAGCGATGATGAGGCCTAGGATGGTACACGCCTGCCTAGAAGATGCCTGTTAACATTATCAGAGGAAAATCAGAGGAATGAGTAAGGAGGAAATAAGTCGAAAACGTTTGTATGGAATAATCGTTAAAAGGGGAGGCGTTCCCTCTTAACCTGCCATCGCTTAGCTCAATAATATTTTAACGATCAGGTGGTTTTGTATTCGGATTCTAGATATTTTTTTACATTTATAAAGGATAATGCCTTTACGGGATGTATATGAAAAAATATTGCAGGCGGCCACCAAGTGATAGTGGAAAACTTCAGGGAAGCCATGGGTCCGTTGAGCTCTCCATACACAACGGTCGGGCAGAAGGCGGCGCAGAAGTCCCTCTCATACAAGGACAGCGGCGTTGATATCGAGGCCGGAGACTCCCTCGTGTCTCTCATCAAGCCGTTAGCCAGGTTAGTGATCCTAAATATTTATTATAAATATGAAAGTTTTTATGTTTGTTTGTTTTTATGTTCGTGAGTTTGTTACTCAATCGCGCAAAAACTACTGAACGGATTTGGGTGAAATTTCGTACGCATATATATATTTTATGACATGGACTAAGGATACTTTTTATCCCGAAAAAATGTTAGGATCCTGTGGGACTCCCTTAAACCAAAGTTAACGCGGATGAAGTAGCGGGCAGCTGCTAGTAATATAATAATCATTAAGTGACAGTGAAACACTTTGAGGACATAAGTCTCTCTGGTACAAGGACAGACAGTAACTTATCACAGCAGCGCTGGTATTCTGGCAGGGCCTGTTATGCCGGCACTTCACACGGCAAACCCGCAAACTCGACAACTACCGTCGAGTTTGCCCTTCCTCTCACTGCTCGTAGGAGAGCTTGATATGGATACACATAATACTAATCTATCAAATAGCAAACACGACTAGCCTAATGACGCGCCGTGCTAGTTAACTCTCAATAGGGTATTTGACAGTATTAAAAATAAAGTGGCAATTGTTAGCATCTGTATTTAGAATGAATATTGGCAGGAGTTTTTACTATTTTTACAGAAAAAATATTCATAATTTTACTACAAACCCACGATAAAGATAATAGTTTTCTTGTCTATTTTCACGTGACCGAAAACGCTTGGGATTGGTGGGGCCTAAAATGACGTCACACGCAAGTAAACTTCCGGTTCAAGTGACATTAGATTGTATGGTTTGACGTTTTCATGATAGTCGTGCGACGTCACACACCAGTGAGACGCCATATTGTCCAGAGATACGTTTTTCGCGGCAACTTGAAAATAGAGATTTGATTTAGTTTTTTTTACCGAAATACATACAACATAATGATGAATATCCATTTTTAAGGACTCTATAAACATTAGTAAATAACGTGATATCTTTTTCTAAATCTTATCAAATACCCTATTGCAAAAACGAATTAAGATCTGCCCCTCTAGCATGACCACCGAAACGGGATATGATAAAGCGATATATCGGCATTAACTGTCAGACTACAGTGGAGTTTGACAGTTGAGAATCGATAAAAAGCTTTATCATATCCCGTTTCGGTGGTCATGCTAGAGGGGCAGAAGTGACATCGTTAGATTACTTATCTGCCCTTCTTTTTTCTATAAATGTATATATTTTTTCAGGTCAACATCTCGATCAGGAGTGCTTGGCGGTCTCGGAGGTTTCGGAGGATGCTTTCAGCTTAAAGCAATCGAACAGGATTACAAGGTAATGATTAAATTTACCATTGTTCGAGTATATCAATTCACGTGGCTCTGATTGTACTGAGTGAAATATTTTTAATGGAATCACGTCCATAACGAAATCTAAAGCCGGGTTTTGAGTGCATTGCCCTACAAAATAAAAAAAAACATATCAACATTCAACAAATCGTCTACACAAAACTATGTTTTACACGAGTAAAACTTGTTACTCTGACGTTTAAATTTTGTAACACAATTTACGAAACTTTTGTCAAATTTGACATTTGTTGCACCTGGATCGTAGTTTTTGAGCCCTGTGTATTTTGTGTACGACAGCCACGTGAGCATTACACGGCGTCAGAAACAAAGTTTAATGTATATGTTTTTTGTTGAATATTTTAAAAAACTTTTGCTAGAAACCCGACTTCAGATGTAGTCGGGAGCAACAGCTTTACAATTTAATATCATCAAGTGATTAAGTGCCCTCCGAACGCGGAGAAGCCGAAAAAATACTGCAAAATACCTTCTACGAAAAAAGATATGAATTTTTGAAACCTCGCTGACAGAAATCTTTAAAATACACAAAAAAAATATAACTCGAAAACTAAGAAAAATCGCGGAACATACATCGGGTATTTTCGGATACCCCCAGGTGCAAGAAATCTAAAAAAAATTGTTGACGTCACTAATTGGACCATCCTGTATATTTTATCAATTAGATCTAGCTATAAGTACATTGCATTTTGCTCAAATAAAAATATAAGTTTTTGCATCTGCTAATTTATTAATTCTACATCCTTTACCTCCAGGATCCAGTTCTAGTCTTGGCAGCGGATGGAGTGGGCACCAAACTGCAGATAGCCCAGAAGATCAACCATCATTCCACCATTGGAGTAGACTTGGTAGCAATGTGTATCAACGATATCCTTTGCAATGGTGCTGCCCCTCTAACTTTCCTTGATTACTTCGCCTGTGGATCTTTGGATGTCACCGTCGCGAGGAATGTGGTTGCAGGCGTGGCTGAAGGATGCAAACTGGCAACTGCCGCCCTTATAGGTAACGTATTAAAGACCGATTTAGCATGTATCTCTTTATCCCTAAATCTTTCTAGAATACTTCGCCTTCGAAAGATCCACTTTTTGGATGTGACCGTCGCAAGGAATGTGGTTTCTGGCGTGACTGCAGGATGTAGACAAGCAACTGTCGCCCTTATAGGTAACGTATTAAAGACCGATTTAGCATGTATCTCTTTATTCCCAAATCTTTCTATAATACTCCGCCTATGGATATTTGGACGTGAACGTTGCTAGGAACGTGGTTTCTGGCGTGACTACAGGATATAGACAAGCAACTGTCGATTTTATAGGTAACGTATTAAAGACTGATTTAGCATGTATCTCTTTATCCCCAAATCTTTCTAGAATACTTCGTCAAAAAAACGTTTTCGCGGCAACTTGACAATTGATTGTTTTTTTTTTTACTGAAATACACAACAGAATTATGAATAGGTATTTAGTTTTTATGGACTCCATAAACATTAGTAAATAACGTGAGATCGGCTTCGAAAACTTGTACCCTATTATGAATTAATATTATCCAACTAATATTATAAATGTGAAAATTTATATGTTATTCAATCACGCAGAAACTGCTGAACGGATGTAGATAAAATTTGGTACGGATATATTTATGACCTGGACTGAGACGTAGGGTACTTTTTATCCCGGAAAACGGATTCTGTAGGATTCTCAAAATACTAAACTCAACGCGGGTAAAGTCGCGTGCCGCTGCTGTTAAAATTAGAAATGAAACCTTTAATGAAATAAATAAACGTATATATAGGTGGTGAAACTGCAGAAATGCCTGGTATGTACGAGCCAGGCACGTACGATATCGCCGGGTTCGCGCTCGGCGTCGTCGAGAGAACTAACGTGCTGCCCAGGATTAATGACATCACTGTAAGTCATACCCATACAAATAATATACAGTCGAAACCGGATATAACGACATTGAAGGACCATATCACTTCGGAGCTTGCCAATTGGTTGTAATAAACGATGTCGTTATATTGGGTTTTGACTGTGCGATAATTAAATAAAAAACAGTCAGATGCAGTCTTCCGACCAAGGAGCCGTTAATTTAAAAGATCCTCGAAGAAACGAATATTTAAAAAATAAAAAAAAATGAGGATTATGTATACAGGGTGTGACAAAAGTCCGAAATAAAACTTTAGGGTATGGTTGTGTTCCTTGTATAGAATTACCTACGAAAGTTTGACGCCTTTCAGACCAGTTTTATTTTCTAATTAAATTAATAAAAATATCGTTTTACACCTGCCTATGACAACCCTATAAATGCGTACGATTACTACTACCTAAACAGACCCCCCTCTCTCCCCCAGGCGCCCCTGCGCCCCGCTCAGATACCTACAAATTTTTATTTCGGAATACATACCTACAAATTTTATTTCGGAATTCTGTAACACCCTGTATAAACCGGTATATTTTTTTTTGGAGTGAAATTAATTTTTGGGCAGGGTGAAAATAGAAACATCCTTTGGAAAAGATGAAATGGAAATGCGTCATGACCATCACACGGCTATATATGTATACATATATGTGTGTGTGTGTGTGTGAAAGAGAGATGCGTGCGCAGCTTTTCCCGCAGGCATGGGTAACTCGGCGAAGGCTGAAATGCTACGAGCATCACACGCGTCTATTTTTTTTATTTATTTATTTATATACATATATATGGGTGATGCGTGTGCTGCTCCATTCCCCTATGCCTTTTGCCTCGCCTAATGTTAGGTTATTTAAAAAAAGAAGTTTCACTTCAGACTTTCCGTATTAATAGTGCGATATTTATACGAAAGCATGCTATTGCTGATGGCGCAGGTGGTTAGCGCGTTCGGCTGCGATCGTTGAAGTTAAGCTACTTTCGTAGTGGTCGGTCATTGGATGGGTGACCAAAAATTTTCTATTCTATCTCGAGTTCCTCCGTGCTTCGGGAGGCACGTTAAGCCGTTGGTCTCGGCTACATCTTGTATCATCTGTAGTCGTTAGCACTCGCCAATCCGCACTAGGCTCGCGTGGTGGGTCCTGGCCCAATCTCGCTATTCCATCCATGGGGCAGGCCATGATGCCGTTGTCAAAAACAAAATCTTAAAACCTTTTTTGAAATGAAATATATTATCGCTTCCATTTTGCATTGCAGGTGGGCGATATAATTATTGGACTGCCTTCGAACGGTGTGCACAGCAACGGTTTCAGTTTGATTCACAAGCTGATGAAGAAGCTTGGTCTCCACCTCCTGGATAAGGCGCCATTCAGCAAGGAAGGACTCACTTTGGGTATGTTACTGAAAAAAATAAGAAATTTTGTAAACAATGTTTATTACCTATAATATTAATGGCCACTCATCTATGATAATATCCTTGATCTTCTTGTTATCTCGTTCGAGGCGGGTGAAAACCGATGGTGGAGCTCAAAAAAGGTTTTTTCATAAGTTGCTAGTGCTTTTAGCTATATCCTTCTTGTGTTATCTCTAACCATTCGACCTACCATATCACCAGGCGACTCGAGGACATCCCTATTATATAGCATGGCAACCGTGCAACTTCCACGATATTACAGGGTGTATTCCGTAATATATACCAGTGTACTGGCCTGTGCTAATGACGTCATGAATTGACGCTATACTGGTGAATTGTTCCGAAATATACTCGCCAGTGCACTGACGTCATAAACCGATGAAATATTAAAAATAATGCGAATATAGAAGATTTTTTATTCAATTCATCAATTAGAGAGAGAGAGAGAGAGATTTTTTATTAACCATTTGTTACGAGTATTACAAGAACAATGAAAAAACACACAAACATTATCATAAAAAACAAAATTAAAAACTAACTTAAAACTATAAAAGTAAATTAATGGTTAATCAGGACCCTGCCTCAGCATGATGCTGTTGCCACACGTTACTATGCGAGTGACAACAGCGCTGGTATTCAGGCAGGGCCTGTAAGGTGCGCTATATATATAACACGCTGCACAGTTCTCCAATCTCAAACCGAAACCTACTCGTAATATCAGTCACTCCTTTTCATTCTGTAAAGAGACTGACAAGGATACATTTTATGCCCTCGAACATCTTTGATATAAATCAATAATTAAAAATTCATATTCAACACAATTGTGTCTAAAACGCTGGTGTTAAATTTCTCTACGTGTGTATGTGCGTCACTCGTTTCCAAACAATTAAAAGGAATTCTTTTTGTTCTAATGCCATTATAGTTCTTGAAATAAAAAAGAAACAAAATTCGAATGCATCTCACGAAAACTCTGTCATACGTCATATTCGTTTTTCCCGGTAAAAATATGGTAGCATACCAGTACAATATGGCGTTGGATTCGTGACGTCATTACCACTGGCCAGTATACTGATATATATTACGGAATACAGCCACAATCTAAACGTAAGTAAGTTACTTTGAAGGGATTTTTTTTTGAAGTGAAAACTTCTTTAGCGGCATTGTACACTTTTTGTAATGGGTAAAAAATGTTGAACTCGGGTCAGGACACGTGACCTGATCAAAAATTCGTAAGACGAAAACTTCCTAAGCGGCGTTGTACACTTCTTTTGTAATTGGTAAAAAATGTCAAACTCGCGTCAGGACACTTGACCTGATCGAAAATTCGTTAGTCGAAAGCGTCTTTAGCGGCGTTATACACTTTTTTTTATAATGGGTAAAAATGTTAAACTCGCATCAGAACACCACCTGATCGAAAATTCGTAAGACGAAAACTTATTTACCGGCGTTGTACACTTTTTGTAATGGGTAAAAAATGTTAAACTCGCGTCATGACACGTGATCTGATCGAAAATTCGTAAGACGGATGGAGAGTAGACAGCCGGCGCGGCGTAGGAGAGGAAGTATCCCCCTCTCTTTCTACGGCGCGGCGAAAATGTATGCCTGCGCCTGCTGTTTCGTTAGACGGCGCAGGGCGCTTGCGTGAATGTTCGTATGTGTTTATGTTACAGCGTGCCACGCGCATCCATGGATGGTGACAGCTGATGGCTCGACCGTCTGTGTAGTGGCCACACTGCTGTGTATTCGTAAAATTCGTATATATAAAGTGTCAATGATAATTAAAGCAATTCGTTCAAAATTATTCCCTAACCATTCCAAAATATCAAAAATGCACAACGGTAATATTTAAGTTTTCACTTCTGCCGGCACTCCCGGAGTGCAACCCGTCGTTTTTTTATATAGCCAGATAGGCAAATCGCTCTACTTCACCTAATATTAAGTGGTGATAATCCAAACGCGAAGATAGCTGGTACAGCAGTTATAAACTGCCACACATCCTCACCTTACTGGCCTGCAAAAATGCTTTTTGACGCCTCTCTTAAAGGACCCCAGATTGTAGGAAGGAGGGAATACGTGCGCGGGTAAAGAATTCCACTTACGAATAGTACGACAAAGAAATGAGTCACAGTTGTTTATGGTGTGGTCGTTACACGTCCTAACTATAATTAACCAATTGACGACCTCAGTGGCCGAGTGGTATGAACGCCGGATTTCAGTCATGGATTTTTAAAATGTATTTCTATATAAATATGCTTATACACCGTGTTCCTGAGGTTATACACTAACTTTGGCATGTTATTCAGACTATTAAATTGATCATTTTTTACTATGGACACTTTTATGAATTCCATTTTTTTTATCATTTTTTATTTTCATACAAACTAAATGCTTAGATGTAATTTATGTAATATGAATTACTCTTTACCTGAGCTGGCAACGTCGCATTTGAAACCTTGGTTCACATGTCCACATAAACTTTTGAAACTTTTCTTGACGTCAACAATGTTTTCTTTTGAAACTATGACTTAATGACCATTGACAAAGACTTGATAGTTTGATATTTTTGGTTGCACAAAGTGGCAACATCTCACAGTAAAAGACTCATTCTCACTGAACAACACAATTAAGTTGGTTAAAATTAAATTACCAATATCTTAAAAACTATGCTATTTAAACTACTACTTTCTTTGTACGATATGTTCAACAAGAGCTATAGAAGTATTATTCAAAGTTTATGTATATCCTCAGGAACACGGTGTATGTGTTTCAGTATATGTATTCTATTCGTTACCCTAGTATTCCATAACACAAGCCTTACGGTGCTTACTTAGCTTAGCAAGTCATTATTTACCTTTATAGCTATTAACGGGATTGTTACCATGTACCTTGTCAATGTCATGGTACATGGTAAGAATCCCGTTAATAGCTATAATGTTAGCGACCATGAAAGTTTAAAACAATATATCATTATTTACCTTATCAAAAGATGGCACTTCTAGCGCAGCAGGCATAGATGGCCATATGATATGGAAAGATAATATGCCACGCCTGAGGAGAAGAATTAACAAAATATTCCGTTTCTCATCGTTTAAGTACGTGATCCTAAAAGTACCAAACAGTATTTATAGTGCGATATTTAAACGAAAGCATGCCATTGCCAAAAACAACATCTTAAACCGCTTTCCTCATTCTGTCTGTGGTGACTAGTGCCGTCTTTGACCTATTGGAGGCCCTGGGCATATTAGGATAATGGGGCCCCTATGACTTTCGTCTGGTGATTTAACATGAACTAGGGACTTTGTATTTGACCTGAGGGCCTGAGGGGGCCCCCTATCGATTGCGTTGACCTGGGCCCACTGGGAAAGATGGATCTGGTGATGACTTCTACTGCTAACAACACGGATTATTAAAAATGCGATCGTCATCGCGCTGTGAATTAATCACGATTGGACGGCTATAATCTAATATATAAAATTCTCGTGTCGCGGTGTTTGTGGTTAAACTCCTCCGAAACGGCTTTCCCGATTCTCATGAAATTTTGTGTGCATATTGGGTAGGTCTGAGAATCGGACAACATCTATTTTTCATCCCCCTAAATGTAAAGGGTAATCCACCCCTAATTTTTTTTTTCAATTTTAGATATTTTTTTTTATTTTTTTTATGATACATCATACAAAAATACATACATCCCTAAATTTTCAACTTTCTACCACCAACTCCTATTTTTTTATGGCGGTACGAAGTTCGCTGGGTCAGCTAGTGTCCTCTAAAATTGGTTCTTTCCGTCCCTCCAGGAGAGGAGCTGATAAAACCGACCCGCATCTACGTCCGCGCCGTCTTACCCGCCATCCAATGCGGGCGAGTAAAGGGCATCGCTCACATCACGGGGGGAGGGCTCGTGGACAATATCCCCCGAGTCATCCCCCCCTCCGTGCGCGCCAGGCTCGACGCACACTGCTGGAACATACATCCGGTATGTATTGTTACGAGTTGGGATGGGGTTCCAATTTTTTATTGGAACGAAGTTCCTAAGGGGATAGGAATTTTGCTGCGCGATCGAACTGAAAAAAATGTGATAGTAAAACCGTAAGAAAAAATCCGTGGAAAAAAGTGCGTGGAATAAAACCGTTAAATGAGACGTGCGCAGGCGCGACAGTCGCATACACAAGCGAGTTTGCAATTTGTGTCGATTCGACATTAGCCGAAGGAATTTCGTTCCTACCTGGTGTCCCACGACACCACATTTCTTTTTTTTTTCTTTATAGTTAGGTCCGAGAAATGAACCTGATGTTAAGTGACGGTGGAGTCCAGACGCGAAGATAGCTGATACAACAGGGGGCCATTCGGCTAACGGAAATGCTTTGGAAAACGCTAACGCTTACGGTTTCATTTTGTTATTTCTAGCCGCCTGATGTTTTCCAATGCCTCGCGTTCTTTTTTTTCTTTTGCATTGGTAATAACAATATTAAAAAAAATAGCGTGAGGTATTTGACAGTTATACTGTCACGAACGCGATATTACAATAAAGTAAATATTGAAAAAAAAATGAGGGGCTCAACGACTAATTATCGGAATGAAAACAATCGATAATTTACAGCTAATAGATTGAACTATTTATTGAAAAACCTTATTAGTTCTAAAATTTATTCATATAGCATCATCATTATTTTATTTATTAACTCACTCACCAGATCTGCTTTTGTGCGTGATTTTGATACTTATTATTTTATTCTCAACGTTAACACGTCAAAGGATTCCAGCCTTTATATATACGGTTTTAACGCAGGTATTCGGTTGGATCGCGGACGCGGGCTCCGTCTCGGACGACGACATGCTGCGCACATTCAACTGCGGCCTCGGCATGGTGCTCATCGTGTCACCCGAAGATCAGGCGGAGGTAACAATGATTTCTGTTTCACAAGATTTCAAATATTTTCTTTTATTTTCTCCGTATAGTGGTAGTGTCTATATTTCTGACGAGTATTCTGTACCCCTAGCACTAACCATTATCGAATTCGAATAGTTTGCAAACCGAAATGTCAATGTCAAATTTTGTATGGAAACTTGAACAGCAGCGGCACAAAGTACGTAACGAGAACTTAAATTCAGTATACATTTGACAATAACATTTCGGACTCGCAAACGATACGAATTCGATATTAGTTCGTGCTAGGGGTAATGATTAAAAAATATTGGTAATTGACGGTATTTTTTGTTAATGTCAATATTTTTATTTAGTCAAGTTTTGCTCGTTGTTACACACATAATTTTACTTATAGATTTAAATAAGTTTAATGATTTTTACTAAGCATTTTAATTTTTCATCTGTTATATTGGTCATGAAATTATGAAATGCGTTATCTCATAGGACTTCGGACCAACAAAGAATTTATATGATTCGACAGTCGAAAAGGAAAATATCTTAAACGCAACTTTATTTCATTTTTATTTAGTGTTAATTTTTAAGCAGCACCAAAGTGGCGTATAAGTAATTTTGCTTTTCAACTGTCGATATGTAAGCGTTTCAACATCATCGTCAGTATATAAATAACGGGATTTAGTACTCGAATACAAGCGAAAAAAAGATTTTTGTGAGTACTACTTTGTGATCCCTTGCAACACCTCATTAAACTTCTCAAGCATAACTATAAACAATGAAGCTTACGCGGTAGTAATTTGACATACAGAAACGTGTACTGGGCAAGATTATTATCATGTCTTTTTATTAACCTATAGTAATCCTGCTAAATAATATGTTTTTTGATATACCGACACACAACAATTTGTGTAGCCCCAAAGTAAGCACTATAGGCCTGTGTTATGGGATACTGGGGTAACGGATAGAATACATATATAACTATATTTATCTAAAAAAACCTTTTTAACCTTCATAACTAGAGTACAAATGTTCGGATTCGAACCTTTCGAGTTGGCCATACCATGAAACCCGGCGTACATACCACTCGGCCACGGAGGTCGTGAAAAACTTCAAATATTAGTAATCATGCAAGTTAAAGCGCGTTCGGTTGCGATCGTTGAAGTTAAGCAACTTTCGCAGTGGTCGGTCATTGGATGGGTTCTGAGGACCATAAATTTACTATCCCCAGCTCCTCCGTGCTTCGGAAGGGACGTTTAGCCGTTCGTCCCGGCTGCATCTACAGTCATTAGCACCTACCAATCCGCACTGGGCCCGCGTGGTGGGTCATGGCCCAATCACCCTATTCCATCCATAAGGAAGGCCTGTGCCCCACCGGTAGGGACATTAATAGGCTGGTGATGATGTGCTGCAGTTAAAAGATAGCAGTTTAGCGCGAGTCTTTATGACGGACTCTGTATCGTCAGGTTATGAACATCACTCGGTCGTGGGGCGCTATGGTAGTGGGCAGCATACAAGCGCGGCCGCCCGGCGGCGCTCGCGTCGTCGTCGACAACTTCCCCTCCGCGCTCGACTTCACGCGACGCATGCCGCTGCTGCCCAGGAAGAAGGTAACACACACACACACATACACCCTCACGCACACACACACTCACAGTCACTTTTTTGCTTTGTAATTGATTGCAGTGTCCTACAGATAAATGACTTTAATTTTAAGTAAATATGTTGTGGTTGATATAGGTGGTTATGGGTAGTCATGCTCTCTTAAAAGTCTCTTCGGTGGTGTCGTGTGAGACGGGTCGTCACGTTCCCCTAAAATATGGTTGAGCGAAGCGATGGCTGGTTCATGCGTCATGAAAAAAAAAATTGCCCGCCTCCCGGCCGGGTCTCCAACAAAACTTTTTTGAAAACGGTTAAACAAAAACACATACATAAAACTTTGTTTCTGAAACAATTATTTATTTCACATGTACATTATTTATTATAAGGTCTTACAATGTTAATAGTGAATGGCCCATGAGCCCGTTAGGGTGTTGCAACAAACTTGGTCATAACGTTAATTTTGCGGTGTAAAAATGTTGTAGGTTAATTCAAATTAAATTAAATCAAGTCAAATTATATCATATCATCATAGTCAAATCATAATTTAAATAAAATTAAAATTACATTAAAACACGTTTCTCTTCACACGCCGTCTACTGCTCACGCGGCTATCGTAAACAAAATACACAGAGCTAGCAGATGCAACAAATTTTAACAAAAACAAAATTCAAACGTCAGAGTAGAAAGTTGCACTCGGAGCATAGGTTTGGAACGCAGCTCCCGCTAGCAAGTGGTTAAAAAAATGGCCGATGAAACGATACCCTGCCTCGACTCGGGCGGGTTACTTTCGTAAACGTGTTTTCTATTGGACTCGGAAACCAAAAACTTTATTGATGCAAACAAATATGTGTAGTGAAACAAAGTTTTGTGTAGAAGGATTTGTTGAATGTTGATTGTGTAGAGCAAAAGACGCGCTTCAAACTCGACTTTACTATTTACATTGTTCAAGTGTACACTAAGCTCTCGTTTCTTTTGTTAACAAATATGAAGGTATAATTTTAATTTTTTAAGCATGTAACTGCTAGATGTTTAAATCTAAAGAAAATATGACTAGAAAAATTTGCACGTGGACCAAGCAGCAGGCGGGACTCGAACCCGCACCCTTCGCTATCCGGGCGAATGCACAGACCATTATGCTACCGCGGCCCTGATGGCCGTGTCGAATTCTTTCTAGCCTTCCTTAAACTTCAAGGCAGCGCTATCTAATCGCATTGTAGATAAAATATTAAGGTATTTCACTAGTAACACCAGCGTGACAAGTACTATATTCCAAACTTTTTTCAGATTCCAGATTCAATAAGATAAAATCCCTGATTAAAATAAAACTAGTTTTAACGGTAACGTTTAAAACGTCAATAAATAAATAAAGTTTGTGCATTAACCCGTTAAAACTAGTTTTATTTTAAAATCCCTGATTCAACTAGAGTCTAGTTTTATTTGTCTAGTTACTAGACAAATAAAACGAAATATTAATATTATAAAAGAAGTAGTTAATATATGAGAATTTAAGGATTCTTGTTCGTTTTTAGAAAGTTCTAGGTCACATTCTTTTTTCAAATTTTATAACATTCCACTGGCTCGCAGGACCAAAAGCTGCATTATTGATGGTCAACTCTACTTTGATCCCCTTGTAGGTGGCAGTTTTGGTATCGGGCAACGGCAGCAACTTCCAAGCCCTGTTGGACACGTGCAATGACCCATCGCAGTGCATGTGCGCAGAAGTGGCGCTGTGTGTCAGCAACAAGAAGGACGCGTTCGCACTCGCTAGGGCCGAACAAGCTAAGATACCCACTGTGGTAAGTATAGTATCCACTGCCGGATTTAGGGGAGGGCAACCGGGGCGAAATCCCCGGGTGCATCCACAAACGGGGGGCCCCCACAATAGAGACTTCGGAAAAAAAATCATTCAAATTCCAACTAGTAATCACTAGTAAACATCTTTTCCTTAGATATTTTTTATTGCTCTTTTACCTTTACCTACAGCCAGGGCCTAATTTAAGGCAGGGCAGGTGGGGCTGTGGCCCAGGGGCCTGCACAACAGCTTTAGAAATAACAACATTTCAATTTAATAACAACATTACAACATCACAAGCATGCAAATCCTATGTGGCCCGCGGTCTCCACAACAGGATAAAAGATAACAAAATTTCGATGGGTTAACAAGCATACAAATCCTAAGTGGCCCGGGGCCTCCACAATCCTAAATCCGGCCCTGATAGTATCCATTAGAGATGGGCCGACTATAGTATTTACCGACTAACCGACTATTTTTTTTTGAGTGTGTATGCTGTTGGTCGCAGATGATCTTTACAGCGTCACCGGGTTTGGGGACGGCGAGATCCTAAGGGGACCTCAAGCCGAGAATTGGAGAGTGCCTCTGGAGGTATTCCAGTCGGATGGCGTCTCCCCACGGGGGGAGTCTCCTCCCCGTCTGGAGCCTCCAGACCACTCGAACCTGAGGGGGTCGGCTCAACTAGAGGGCGTCTCTGAGACTCGGACCTCGGCTCTAGTTAGCCGTTGTCGTGGGCCTAACCGACTAATCGGTTCTCGAATTACCGACTAGTCGGTCGACTATTCTGCAATGCCGATCATTCTAATACCTATCATAGGAAGGTGTTCGGAATATTTCGTCACTACTCGGCTTGCTCACGCACGACACGAGTCTCCCAAATCAAGCCGAAATATACACGATGCAATATCACAATTTGCCTCTAAGAAAAAAAATACCTGTGGACGTCTTTAAGACTCGCTAGCACTTAAGATTTTACTCAATTAATACATCTTCTTCTTCTTCAACCTTTATCCACCCACTGCTGGGTATAGGTCTCCTCCATGGTGCGCCAATTTGCTCGGTGTTGTGCGATCTGGATCCAATTTCGTCCTGCTACTCTTGTGATGTCATCGGACCATCTGGCGGGCTGCCTACCAACGTTTCTGCGTCCTGTTCTAGGCCGCCACTCCACAATAGCTCGACTCCACCTGTCATCCGTTCTGCGAGCCACGTGACCTGCCCACCTCCACTTCTTCCCTGCGAGTTCGCGAGCAATGTCGGGTAGCTTTGTTCGTTTCCGTATGTCCTCATTGCGTACACGATCTCTCAGGGATATACAGAGCATGGCACGCTCCATTTTTCTCTGAGCGACTTGCATGGTGTGGACATGTTGCCTTGTCATAGTCCAGGTTTCGGCTCCATAAGTCAGAACAGGAAGAACACATTGGGTGAATGCGCGACGTTTGAGGAAATGTGGTATCTTACTTTTGAAGATGTCGGATAATTTGCCGAACGCTGCCCAACCCAGTCTAATACGACGGTCGATTTCTCTAGCCTGTCCGCTTTTGTCGAGTGTAATGAGCTGCCCCAAATACAAATAGTCTTCCACCCGTTCGATACGATTTTCTGCTACTACTATGTTTTCTATACTTGGGTCTTGGCACATTATTTTTGTTTTTGAGGTGTTCATGCGGAGGCCAACCGCTATCGAGACGTCATATAGTTCCTGCAACATACATTGCAGGTCCGCTGTGGTCTCAGCAAAGACTATTATGTCATCAGCGAATCGCAAGTGAGTTAAGCGCTCTCCGTTTATGTTGATACCCCTATTCGACCAGTCGAGGAGCTTAAATATATCTTCCAGGCATGCCGTGAACAGTTTGGGTGAGATGGTATCCCCCTGTCGTACGCCTCTCTTTACAGGGATGTGTTCCGATAGATCATGGAGCTTGAGTTGAAGTGTGGCTGCATTGTAAATCTCTTTAAGTACATCGATATACCTCGTATCTACCTGACTCCTTTTAAGTGCATTTATGACGGCCCAATGTTCCACAGTGTCAAAAGCTTTTTCGTAGTCGACAAAACCAAGGACAACTGGCAGATTATATTCGTTGCACTTTTCTATAGCCTGTCTTACTGTAAATACGTGGTCAATTGTTGAGAAGCCACATCTAAAGCCCGCCTGTTCTCTAGGTTGGTAAGCGTCAAGTCTAGCAGTAAGACGCAGAGTGATTATTTTGGTAAAAAGCTTGTATATGTGACTGAGTAACGAAATTGGCCTGTAATTTGCTAAATTGGTGACATCACCTTTTTTGTGGAGCAAAATAACGACCGCATTCTTCCACGTCGTTGGAGTCATTCCTTCGAACAATGCTTTGTTGAAAAGGAGCTGCAGTTGCTTCATCACATCAATTAATACATACTTACTTCCTGTTGGTCTTTTGTTATGTGCGATATTCATTGTGTTAAGTCATCTGAATTAGTGATAGATTCCTAAATTCGTAATTCTTACTTTGTTACCTCATTTTTTTTAATACTTTAAGACTGTAGGTAACTGCGAAAATTGCACCTTTTGCAATTATAGATAAGTGCGAACGAATGACTTCATCTAACCTGATGTTAAGTGATGGATTCCAGATCCAGACAGTGCAGTTTTACCTGCCCCACCAACCATCCTGACCTTGCTTGCAAGTTGCTTCTTCACGTCTCTTTTAAAGGACCCCTGTGTTGTAGGAGGGCGGGAACACGTGAGCGGGCAATGCATTCCATTGGCTGATAATCTGAGACAAATAAATAAACTTACAATAGGCATGATAACTATTTTTTTTTCTTCGTTTATCAGGTAGATTATCAAAAAGTATTGGACACGTATTTTTTCTTTTTTCACATAATATAAACATTGCAGAGATATATTGATTTGAAAAGTCGCATGACGTCTCGTTTGAGTACACTTATAAGTGAAAATTCACTCAAAAGTGACGTCACGAGCCCCTACTCCCAAGCTTTGACGCGCTATAACTTTGTCATTTTTTGGTTGATTGCCCAAAGAAAAAATACGTGTCCATTTTTTTTGATCATCTCACTGATGGACTAAATAGAATTTCGTTTACTGTACCCCGTCATCACCCCTATTGACAATGACAGAAAAAAAAATTAACAGACGTTTTAAATTTCTCGCATAATCATATTTGCGTGCCAATGGAGCTCATCACGGCTGTGCAATTAACTATTTTAACACCTATGTAACTTGTACGTCACAAATAAAGTTTTAATATGATCTGTCCATGATTCTTTGTTCAGGTATTCAACCACAAGGAGTATGAGAGCCGCGAAGAGTTCGACCGAGCGGTTTCTGCAGCACTCGAATCGCATAAAATAGACCTAGTCTGCCTCGCCGGATACATGAGGATCCTCTCTGCGGAGTTTGTGAAGAAGTAAGCTTTATTCTTAACATAATAGAGTTGCAAATTCCGTGAAATTTTGAACCACCAAGTGTCATTGAAGCTTGTATAATATACCTAGTCTGCCTCGCCGAATACATGAGGTTCCTCTCCGCGGAGTTTGTGAAGAAGTAAGCTTTATTCATAGTACAATAGAGTTGCTAATTCCGTGAAATTTTGAACCGCCAAGTGTCATTGAAGCTTGTATAATATACCTAGTCTGCCTCGCCAGATCCATGAGGATCCTCTCATCCTCTCGGTAGAGTTTGTAAAGAAGTAAGCTTTATTCATAGGAAAATAGAGTTTGTAACGTTCTTTTAATAAGGAAACCAAAGTCCTTTTGGTTAAAAGAGTTTTACTTTCACAAGTTTTACTAGTTAACACTATAAAATGGAGAGCGTAACAATCGTCAATACGTAGTGGCTACGTTCGGCTAACTGACTACTAAAAATAGTGGCATCGCGAGAGTGGGATGCGCGGAGCGCCGTCCGACTCCGGCGCATCGGCGGGAAGCGCTCTGATTGGTTGAGGGACGCGCGGAACACGGTCAGATGCGTGCGTTTCTGCGGGAAGCGCTCCGATTGGTTGTGGCCATGTCAGTGCAGGCAACACAATGGACGCGCATCGCGGACGTTCAGCCAACATCGCGTAGGAAAACTAGAGATGCGCGCTACAAGTTGCTAATTCCGTGAAATATTGAACCGCCAAGTATCATTGAATCTTGTATATATACCTAGTCTGCCTCGCCGGATATATGACCTCTCTGCGGAGTTCGTGCAAAAGTAAGCTTTATTTATTGGCCGAAGGAGTTGCTAATCCCGTGATAGGATCAACCGCCAAGTGTTATCGAACAAATATCTACACAAAGTGAAGATCAATGTACAAGATATTCTCAAACGATTTTGAACTTTATCTCTGTTCTGTAATTATTGTATTATTTGTCTTTCAGTTTTTAAAGGAACGCCCTTTAAAAACTGAAAGACAAATAATAAAACTTCCGAATCTATATGCGATTCATTCTTACCTCTCATTTACACCAAGAAACAAGTCATATACTAGTTTTACAACAAGAATTGTTGTGATTGTTTGAAACATTATTTCGATTACAATGCATAGACAACTAGTACCTATTTGTTTACATATTCTGTTTACCCAACAAGTTTGGTGCAAGTATTGTATACTACATGTATTTATGTGAACAAAAAATTAAGACGTTGTATAATATAAGTTGTGTACAGGGGGTCCTACGGGTTTGTCACACCGAGGGAAAGTATATTTAATATTGAAGATAGGATATTTTACTGAAAAAAGACATAATTTTATTTTCAATAATAACTAGAACTGCATTCACGGATATTTTTAAAATCGCATTTTAAGACTGGGTATCAAAATCGTGAAATTTGAAAAAAAAACACTACTTATTTTATGATAACCAACGAAAGGGTTAATCATATGGATTATTTTTTCCTGAATAACAGCATTTTATATGAAAAAACGGTTATCATAAAGTACATGTGTTTTTTGTTTCACATTTCACGAGTTTGATTCCTGGTTTTGGCAGGCGATTTTTTAAAAACTGTGGATGCAGTTCTACTAATTATTAAAAACAATATGATGTCTTCTTTCAGTAAAATATCCTATCTTCAATATTTAATATACTTTCCCTCCGTGTGACAAACCCGTGGGACACCCTGTATATACCTTGGTGTAAACGAGGGGTTATAAAATAAAATGTATGTCGAAGGAACTATAGGTAAAATCGTTTCGTCTACAGATGGAAGGGTCGCCTCATCAACATCCACCCGTCGCTGTTGCCTCGACACCCGGGACTCAACGCGCAGAAACAATGTCTCCAATCAGGCGATCGGGAATCGGGCTGCACCGTGCATTTCGTTGATGTAAGGCTCAATCTTCATTATAGTAATCTCTTATCTATTAGACAAGTCCGTCCGTCTGTGGTGCTGTTTCAGCGGCCAAACCGTAAGAGAAAGATAAAGAGAATGTTTAAGTTATAAGTTAAGAATACTCTGATAAGACTACACACCGGATTTGAGTAACGTAGCACTTCCGGTTTTCGAGAAATCACGAATTTCAAACGAAACCACACAAAATCTCCGAAGTTCTCAATTAATTAAATACATTTTTTTTTTAAATCAGGTTTTGGTGAACATTTGGATCACTGGTTTGCTAGTATATGTTATTAACGGGATGGTTCCATGTACCTTGTTTTTAGCGAGTTTCCGATATTTCGGCACTGTTGCAAGCGCCATGATCACGGAGTAACTGAAGTAATTGCGGGTAGGCTGTTATTGGCAGTCATATATCGGTCTACCCTCCGACGAAGTTTTTTATTGCGTTCGATACCCGTAAATAACATACATTACTATAATGTTAGTGACCATGAAAGTTTAAAACAATCTTCATTAGACCGACGAATTAGAAATGATATGGAAACATTACTCTAAGGTCTCTCGTTCGTTCTCGTTTTTTTTATGCAAAATAGGCAATGCGTTTGACCACAATCTCACCTGATGGAAAGCGATGATGAGGCCTAGGATGGTACACGCCTGCCTAGAAGATGCCTGTTCACTCTGGCCTTGAAGATGTAAAACGATTTTGCTAAATCTCAATATTTATTTATTAGAAGACCAACAGCTATTAATAAAGAGGATAAAAACTTAAATAAACACATTACAACATAATTAAGCACACTAACATAATAATTAAAAAAAAGAGCATTGTAAAATTTGCCTATTTGTCAAAAAATATACTGCACAAATATAATACCCGCCTCAGTGATGGAACGCTAGTATAAAATTCAACAAATCAATGTCAGTTTTCTCAGATATAACATTAAAACTATTCCCTGCTTAAATAACTAAAACGGATAATAGCCCATAAAAACCATCAATGTCATTTTCTATGGGATATATCGAGTTTGCAAGTGGCCCTAACAAAGGCCGCTATACCATGGTTCCAAACTTATGCAGCTAAATTAAAAAACTAACACAGACACTCGAACAGGCAACAAACTAATGCAAATAAATTCGGCTATCCGTTCATTCCGTAAGATAATGTTAAACGGGAATCCCAACCAATCCCGTGATCGGCGTGTTGATCGCAGTTTTTTCGCCCCGCCCACTTGATCGCAGTTTGAGTGGAACCACTTTTTAACGCTGTTCGTATTCCATATTATTTCTAATTCGTTTTATTAGTATTAATAATGTCACTACTGCTAGGTCAAAGGCGTTTTCTATGGATGGAATAGGAAATATTGACCATTTCTCACCACACTGTTAAGCGAATTGGTAGGTATTAAGGACTGTATAAATTCGAAACGCAACTGTTTGAAAATTACGCACAGTAGGTACGTAATTTTGCTTCTGCGTAATCTTACTGAGTACGATTGTGAGTCTACTTGTTTTTATACGTTGATGGGTATCGCCTATAGAGTTCCTGGGTTCGAATCCTGGTTGGGCAAATATTTGTATGATGAATACGAGCATTTGTACCGAAACCATGACTGTATATTTCTAGAAAATGTGTATGTTGATCTATCCTTCAGCTTGTTATTTATTTATTTATTCTTTATTACCAAAATACAGTAAATGGCGAACTTTATGCCATAGGCATTCTCTACCAGTCAACCAGTATGGGTGTATGAGACGGATATTTGATGTTTTGGCGATAGAGTGCGAGCCCACACACACACAATATTTACAGTTCTTATTTTAAGTAAAAATATTTATTGAAGTATGACTTTTATTATGTCGCCGCAGTTTTTTTCGTTTGTCTTTAGCATGTCGCATTACATACGTGACGATTCTGTTAAAATTCTCTAAACCTAAGCTTAGATTAGAAAACAGTGTATCCTTGCCAACCTCCATACAGAATGAATAGGACAGACTGATGTAAAATTTAGTTTTAAATTTCGATTATCAAACCAGAATCGACACCATTTTCAATTGTTATTAAACAATTCTGACCTTGTTAACACACATCGGTGACTCAGTTGTACAAAAACTCGCCACCTAGGCGGGCGGCCCGGGTTCGAATCCCAGCCGAGGAAGGACTTTTTGAAGTGATAACTTCTTACGGGAGGGAAAACCGCGTTATGCCGTCTGTCTGTCTGGCTTCCCGTCCTCTCACGCATACGGCAGCAGTAGGCAGGCTCCACCTCTCTCACTGTGACTCGCAGCGCCGCATCACTTCTGACGTTCTTCATTTTTTGAAGTGAAACTTCTTTACGCACGCTTGACTTGGGGGGTAAGCTGGCGAATGCGTTATGCGTTACGAAAACTGTGTTCGGGCGAGGCGAATCAGTGCGCGCGCGCATTTTTTCCCCCTCTTTCTCTTATAGCTAGTAAATAAAATATGTATATGTACATACATGTATATGTTGTACACACACACACACATATAAATACATACAGATGGAGCTAAAGAAGTCTCACTTCAGTCGTGTGGTCAAAAGCACACTATTTTTTTATTTAATGGTACTTGTACACACACTTGTTTTTTTTTACTTAATGGTACTTTTACACCAGGAGGGCGTCGACACCGGCCCGATCATCACTCAAGAACGGGTCCCTGTATTGAAGGACGACAACGTAGAATCTCTCACTAAACGCATCCATCAGGCCGAACATCGGGCTTACCCGCGAGCTTTGAGAATGTTGGCCGCTGGCCGGGTGAGACTGGCGCCCAACGGACATGTTGTATGGCAATCCTAGAATAAAAGCACTCTAATATCAACAAGATAGCTCGATAGCTCACTCGCAAGAAAATTTGCTAAATCCCGATTCAACTAAAACTTGTTAAAACCTATAGGAAAATGACAAAACGCCAATGTAAATTTGACATTGTTGTATGAGCTCTGGTTTTAGTTAAATTATGATTTAGCGAAATTGCTGCAAGTGGACCTTAGGATTTCCGCTAAGAATCTAGTATAGTTAGTTGACTTTAGTCGCGAGCTATATCAAACACCTCCATCCCCGGTCCATGATGAATCTAGTAACTTTTCCTTCTCATCAAATCTGTTTATAAATTTCTCAAATCTAATTAGAATCTATTGAGACTTTTTTCTCTGTCAACAAAAATCTCTTACAATAATCTCAAATCCATGATAATAGGCATTTTGATAAGTTTTTGAAAACGTTCATTATGTTATTTATTTGTTAAAGTGACCCTACAAAAGTGAACTTTTTTTTAATTCTGTTGTGTATAACAGTTAAAAAATGTGTTATATAAGTTTGGTTACATTTGAACAGTATCTATAGGGAGACCGGCCGGGCACCTGTAATTTTGACAAGAATGTGCCAGCCGCCATTTTCATCCAGTTCATCACGTTATGCACATATACTCAAAATACATTTAAAAAAAATGTAGAAATTATTATTTCTTACGTCATTAGATCCAGTGGTAATTGAAATCTCATGATAAAATTTTAATACATCAAGACTTTTCATGTAAGGGCGTAAATACAAAATACATATAGTACAAACTACATTGGCAATATTTTTGTAATATTAATTATTAATGAAAATATACCAAAACATTTTACTTGTTTAACAATGAATTGGGACTTTTATAGGTTTGAAGATTTTATTCACATAGTTGCATTCCAATCATAAACTGTTTTAATGTGAATATTGCGTAATATTATTATACAAGTAGTTGTGACATATGTATAGTATATTAATCTGTCTTCCTTCACTGCCATGCTTACTTGTAAAATGTATATTTTTTTATGTTTTTAGCAGCTATTGATAGTCTAAACTTTGACGAAAATAAAATTATATTGGTTTAACAGCAAGGTTGCATGAAACGTCATTAATATCTTCAGAAAAAAATAATGAATTGAACATATTCAAGAGGTTTCATACAAATATCGCTATTTTAGACCCCATTATTTTACAGAAATGATCACTGAATTTTCTACTTCTTTAAAAAAAAGTTTTTGTTTATGTAAAATTTTCAACATTGTTACTGTACTCTTTTTTATACAGCAATAGTGTAATGTGGTTATTAATAAGTATTTTTTAAATTGATTATACCATTCCAATTTGTGCCTTATTGCATATTATTCCAGTAAAGGTATAATGAACATCTGATATAATATTAAAATTGTGATACATGTAAGTGTAGATGTTTTTATTGGTTTTTCCATTATTTTCTCGAATTAATATAGATTTGATAGTTCTAAGATAGTTATTATTGTTTTATTATAAACAACAGTCATTTATCTTTTTTTTTAGATTTTGTCAAATAATAATAATGAAAGATATGATTTATTGTTAATTGTTTGAGTGAGGAAATAAAAATATTTGCAGTTTACAATTTTGTTTTATTGACTAATATTACTAACTATATCACAGGTTTGGTTTTATTTACATTTTATATACAAACACAATCACACAAATTGTGATAATTTTTTGGCAAACATTTTATAATTTATAATTAATATAGGTTTTAATATTTAGCACTCAATCTGTCCACAATTTTTTGGGTTTTGTTTTTTTTAACACAGAGATTAAAGAAAGAAATTTCAAGTTTGTTTATCTTCCTTTTTGATATTTTTCTTGTGTTTATTAGGATTAAATACATCTTCAAAAGCTCTGAAGAATGTACCTAATAAATCTTCTCCACTTGTAAAATAGTTTGGTGTTTCTGTCTTATTCTCTTCTTTTACAGATTCTTTTTGTACAGAATGTTCACCATTCTTCAAGACATCACCTAATATCTTCTCTATTTCTACATAAAACTTTTGTTTGTTAAGCAAAGGCACTATTAGATTGTATTTATTAATTTTGCTATTAATTGTTTTAGAGAAATCTTTGTAGTTTCCACAAATTTCCTCCCATTTCATTTCATCATTTTTACTTAAAGGATATGGGCCTAAGTACTTTCTATCATTATTTATATCCCTCTTTAGAAATTCTATGTCTTGGTCAATCTCTTTGCTTAGTGTGATCCATTCTGGTGTAAAGCCATTGTTAATGAGCACCTGTAAAATGTGTGTTTATGAATTGAAGATAATTTTATATAAAAGGACGATAACTGTTTTAATTTATTTCAACACCTCAAATGTATTTTTTATTTTATTAGATAAAATCATAACACATGGATTAAGATGTATTAGAATCCAATGGATTCAAAAGGTAAAATTGTAAAGCTTAACTAAGAAATGTTTAATACTAATATAATTAACCAACCTCATTCAATTTGTGTGTGGTGAAATCTACATAAGGATTTTGATTTTGGTTCTTCAAGGGCTTCCCTTTCCCGCTTAAATTTTCAAATTCACCTTTTGACATTGATTCTTGTATCAAATCCTCAACTAGTCTGTCAAAACCGTATTTGGTCTTAATGTCATGTTTTTTTCCATGCTGTCCTTTCTTCATCAGAGTGTTTTCTGAGGCGACAGCTTTGGCCATTCTGTGTTCCAAAACATTTGTAGCAGCGTTTTGGGCTTTTATATGTGCCCATTGCTTTTGTCGCTGAAATGGGGTTCCATAACCCATACCTTCAAAACTTAAGTACTGTCTATGTTGTGGTGCTGTATGCTGCAAAGTTAAATTAATCAGAATAATAAACACAGTAAAAAAACAAACATCAAAATATGAGACATACAATGAGTTTATTTTGAGTAAATTGACTTGGGACTTGATTTTTTAATTGAGAAAGATGGCCATAAAATTTTCCCAGGAGGACACCATATTCACTTAAGATAAGAAACCTCAAAAACAACAACTGTTTTCAAAACCATCAAACTTTAAGGCCCACTTACACCCAGTTTTTATATCAAATTTCAAAGATAATCACTCATTCTATCTCTATTAGATTTCAAACATTGACAAACCTCATTTAATGAGATCAAGCCTTAATTTGATCTAGTAAGGTTGGTGCAAACTGCTCAGATAAGAACACCCAAAAGATTTCCCACACAACAGTGTGGAGATTGAACTAATCCAAATACAGTACACTAAATATTCCCAGTGTATGCATATGATATTATATTCAAAGCACAAGTGTAAATGTTCTGATCATTATTTTTTTTATTTCATTAGGTCAATTTTAAAAATACAATAAATCTACAAAATACATTACCATACCCTTATGTCATACACAATTGTTTCAATATCCTCATTGTTAACAGTTCCAGTATTATGCTTGGTTAAGATTCTAAAGGCACTTTCAATAGCAACAAACTTGTTTATGTCTGCTTCAGGAGACCCAGAGTCAGGGTGATACTTTTTAGCAAGTTCCAAGAAAGCATTGCGAACTGCATCTTGCTTTGAATTCAATGGTAGATTCAGTAACATATAACATTCCTGTAAATTTTACAATATATGTAACAGTTTCTCATAAGCCAGTTTTTTTGGATTTGGCAGAAAAGGTAAGAATTTTCAATTGTTCATCTACTTTTTATATAATTTGGCCGGAAGTGCAGTTTGGTTTAGCTTTAGCATAAATAATGAAGTTTATTAATTTAGAATTTCATGTAAGGAGAATTCAAGTAATTATTATGGTGTCGATTCAGCGTGATTCTATAAACTTGAAACTAATTTTAAAATCAGTCTCTTCTTTTTCATCCTGTATACAGAATAATAAGGATTCATTGTTGTCAGATTTAAGTTTAGGTATATAGAATCATATCAGAATCGACACCATTATGTTATTAAAAAGTATACAAAGAATTTTGTGTGTTTAAGACTTACTTGAATATTTTTACTGTTCGATTTTGAAGCAAATGTTCTTTGTGACATTGTTTTTAAATTAAAGTCATACACACTTGCCCATCTCATATAATTCCTGGGATAGGCTAAGGGATTTAACTTCATAACGGACATATTTCCTTCTTCCTGCTTATGGTTAATAAATAACTTCCTACTGTTCAATAATAAATTGAAAGGATTTTTTTATTTGTAGAGTAGATAAGTCTGTCTGACCTAGAGTTCTAAGTTTGAGATGATCACAAATAAGATAAAAATAACTAATTAACTCATAAATAAATTTATCCTATCTTTAGTTCGACGTACGTACGAGATTTTGGTAATGCGACGAGTGTTTATATTGGTTTTTTGGTCAAAAAACCAATTTTAACACAAATGCTCATCACAAATTGTAGCAAATTCGAAAACAGATTGCAGAGAATATGTTTTAAATACAGATTAAATATAAGTATGTTTTAAGAAATATAACTATGTAACCATGGGGTTAGAGCACAAGTAATTTTGGCGATGACCCCACGCGAATTGAAACGACTTCTTCTTTTTTATATCTTACATAAAGTTTGCTGTATTTTTAGGTATTCATTGCATTTATTTAATATAGTGCTTCTTTGATAAACCAAAATTCCACGATCTGACAAAATTGACAACTAAATAGTGACAGTGACACTTACGTTCCATTATACTAAATGTGTGAAACAGATTGCTTTCTGACGCGTCACAGCACAACACATGAGATAAATGTAATTCTGCCATAAAAATAAAAGCTAACACACAGGTTATATTTATAAGATTTTTCCAAGTATTCTGAGTCATAGTTCTGACTTTATCCCGTCCCTACAGGGCATGCATGGACGTAATGTAATATACCTGAGTACTATATACTCCACGAGGGCCCCCCCTCATTGAGTAAAAAACAATTTTAATTAAGGAAAAATTGCCCAACAAAATTGGTAAAACAGTCAAATTCATGAAAAATAAATGGGGTTGTATTCTTTGCCTTAATAAAATTAGAAAATTTTACTAAAATAAATTGTCAATTTGACATGCCAACCGCTGCGGTCCGAACTGCGCGATTTTGTACAATTTGCACCGTTGTTTGTTAGCGCGCATGCAACTGGTCCGATAAGGACGTATTCGTGCCAACGAAATCCATGTAACATCATCAAGCCGTGCAAATGCTGCTCATGAAAATAAGGTAGTGCAGTGTGTGCGCAAATGTCAAACGCAAATTTTTACGTTTGAAGTTTTGTGTTGTTAACATAATCTGAATACTTTACTTACTTTCAGTAGGTTATATTCTCTTTGCTTACTTACTCTTTAAAATGTAAGGTTTTTGAAGTTATACTTCTTTAGCCGCGTTATGAAAAAATTATGAGAGTGAAATTTTAAGATGCGCGCGCATTACTGTAACACAAAAGTAACATAATGAAGTTAGCCGCGGGCGCGTTATGAAAAAATGATGAGAGTGAAATTTTAAGATGCGCGCGCATCACTGTAACACAATAGTAACACTATGAAGTTGGCCGCGGGCGCGTTATGAAAAAATGATGAGAGTGAAATTTTAAGATGCGCGCGCATCACTGTAACACAATAGTAACACCATGAAGTTGGCCGCGGGCGCGTTATGAATGTTAGTGTCTAATAATGGTGGATTATTAACCACTTAGTGGTTAATAATCCACCATTATTAGACATCTGTTCGAAAGGTACTTTGAACGATCCACGGAGCTCCATAAGATGATCGCGTTGTCAAAAACAATGTTGGCACGCTCGTCGCCTCTGATCACTGTTTTCATATTTATAATATTTATCCACATGTTTCTAGTTTCTATATAGACACAACGTGTTTTAGTTACTTACAAGTGCTAATTACATATGGACTAATAACTTAATTTCAGTAGTGATTATAATTGAATATTTTGAATATTTATTTAATTTTTCAAATTAAAACTGAACTTAATTGACTGTGTTAACTATCCTTTTCCAGTCCTTTTATTATTTTATTGTAATTATTAATTATTTGCATGCAATTAAAAAATATTTTTAATGATGCTAAAGAAGTATAACTTCTCACGCACGTACATAAGTTACACGCATCCATTTTTTATTGTTTTAAATTGTATAATGTAATTTTACAAAAAGTTATTTCTCTCCCATTATTTCATTTAACTATTTGTCCTACGACAAATAAAAAAAAATATGGGTGCGTGTACTTAAGTACGCGCGTGAGAAGTTATACTTCTTTTTGGAATTATTAAAAAATAGTTTTTAATTGCATGCATATAATTAATTACAATAAGATAATAAAAGGATTGGAAAAGGATAGTCAACGCAGTCAATAAAGTTCAGTTTTAATTTGAAAAATTTAATAAATAATCAAAATATTCAATTTAAGTCACTACTGAATAAAATTTATTAGCACATATAAATTTCGCATTTGTATAACATTATAACACGTGTTAAAAATATTGAAACTAGAAACATGTGGATAAATATTATAAATATGAAAACAGTGATCAGAGGCGACGAGCGTCCCAACATGTGCGACTAAGAGATCCTATTACTATTTTGTTGGAAGCTTTTTTTCGAGACTTACGAGTAATGTGCGGTTTAGCGGCCGACTTCATGGTGTTATTTTTCTGTTACAGTGTTGCGCGCGCATCTTAAAATTTCACTCTCATCATTTTTTCATAACGCGCCCGCGGCTAACTTCATTATGTTACTTTTGTGTTAAAGTAATGCGCGCGTATCTTAAAATTTCACTCTCATAATTTTTTCATAACGCGGCTAAAGAAGTATAACTTCAAAAAATGAGAAGTACTGTATGACGCTTCTGAATTTTTTTTGTATTCTCTTGGCCTATAATCAAGTAATAATAAAAGTGCGGTCCTAATTGATTGCGTGCAAACAGTGCACATCGCACCGTATTCAATTTAATTCGGACCTATCATATGTACTGTTCGTAACGTTGGCAGTGTTTTCGCAATTCGGACCGCAAGGAACAATGACATTTTTAAGTTTGACAATTTGCTTAGGCTACGGCAAACGGCAAGGCTACGGCTTTCTTGTAGTTTACCTGATTACAGAGGATAGTGGAAATAATTGTAATTACAGTTCATTTGCGAATATTGTCTACTTTAAGTGCATTAGTAATTATTAATCTCTTATATAGAAGTGCTATGTTTAGAAGAAACAACTAGGTGTTTTTTGTAAACTTTACATATCGACGCTATGGCTATCACGGCAGAAGAAGTCGCCCAACGTTATCCAGTTCACTGGCTCGTTTGGAATAATCAGCACGAAGAACTGAAGAGTTCAATTGAGAACAAAAAAGTAAGTTTAATATTTAATTGAAAACTTAAAACCTCAAGGCCTCATTGATGCTACCTAGTTGGTGATCTTATCTGATAAGATTGTTATTAGAAGGATAATATAAAACATCTAGGGTCAAAATGTCTTGACTCTGAAATGACGTAATTAAATTAGTAATGATTAGTTCTGTGCACAAGATTTAAAAATACAGAGCTCTAAACAAAAAACTTCAAAATGGTTCTTGAAAGTTTGCCCCATTAATATCAATTAGTTGTTAGCATTAGATGTTATGGGAGAAACAGAAACACCCCTCATGAACATTTTGACTTTCCACCTACTTTTTTTGTGATACTGACAAACGGAAAGACAACAACACATAAGATTAGGGTTTTGAGTTAAGCCTTTGGGTGCTGAATCCTTATAAAAAAATAGACTGTGTGCCAAAAGAGAACTTTGCCTTCCATTAGCTATGCTCTGCTATTACTTCAGAGCCATAGCTATAGTTGTAGTAAGATTGGGCAGCAGTAATTACAGGTAGGGCATAAGCAGGCAATGGTATTTTAAGGTAGAGCGACATGGAAGGGAGAAGCCATAGCTGCATAATACCATTCAAATCTTTTTGCCATTTTTGGCAGGGAGAATATGGACACAAAAACATATTAACATACATGCGAAAATACAAAACTGTAATTACGACACTCACACATAAATGATGACGCAACACATTGCCAGATCCTGCACACATGTATTGTTTGTATGCCCAATGCGACAGAGGGGAAAGCCTGGTGTTAGATCCCCCCTGGCAATGGCCTTGTATACCTTATTATGATTGAAAAAATTTAGACACAATAGCATGTTTGCTATATGTAGAGATGTACAATTTTTCTTAATTTTGCATATTCTTATTTGCATGTTGCTCATATTACAATTAAAATACTTTTTTCTGTTATAGTCTCTTTTCTTATAATAAGGTATTGGATTCTAGTAGTCCTATTGAAAATTGTTTGCAGGTGTTAATTGTTTTTTCTTAGATCTTGACATACATTCTACCATTGCAAGAATCAAATTGTACATAAGTACCAGTATATGTTGTATACCTTATCAGCTTATAAAATTGATATTTTGGTGAGAACAACTCTGTTAATTAAATATAAACATCACCCTGGAAAGTGGCCTAATTATGATCTATTAATGCCAATAATTGCTTATTTAGCTGTGACTCATAACTACCATATGCATGACTGAAATTTTATTTACATTTATGAACAAAGAAGCTTCATACTTATACCAATCCTATGGTCTATAAGTGGTAGTTGAGAAACTTACTGTATTCAATATTAGACCAAAAACATTTTAACATTTCGTTGTTGTCACACCAATATCTGCTATGTGCAAATATAAAACTTTGGCATAGCAGTTATATATATACACTATACTAGTTCATGCATATAGCATTTTTAACAACATCTGTTCACCGTTATAATGTTAAAGATTAACATAGCTGTTTTTGTATTCCAAAATTGGTTAGTATACTAGAGTATTCAATCTATCAAAAAAGTGCACATAGCGAATATTGATTTGAAAATGACGATTTATAACATTGATCTCCTCAAAGAAATAGCATTAGAGTGTGTGTGACTTTTTCAAAGTGGTCATGAAGCCAAACAATCAATGTACATTTATAACAAGTAAAAATAATCTCATTATAGTGGGAAGCCATAATCTCTACAGCTAAGTTTGACTGGATTGTGTTCCTCACCAAAAGTCTAATGAATTGGATAATTTTTATGTACTTACTTGTTGATTGCTATGTTATTGTTTTTTGCTGTCCTTCTTATATGCACCTTATTACATTGCAGTAATGCAAAGTATTTACCCTTTGATTGATATATTGCCAGGAAAATATATTTTATAGATAATACTCACACAAAGATTTTAAAATAAACATATTTGGTTTTCTTATTTTATGTTTATAGTAGTATTGGCATATGTTTCTGCATCCAACTGCCTGATTTAATGATTGAACTATGAACATTAATGTACAACAAATAATACTAAGGGGTTACTTTTGCTACTTTTTCTGAGGTGTAAACATGAATTTTAGTACTTAATTCAAAATAATAATATACTTAATTGGAGCACATCACATAGGATACAAAAGAAAAAAAACATGATGGACAGAACATACACATATAGGCGGCCTTATTGCTAGGCAGCAATCTCTTCCAGACAACCCATTAATTTTATTTATTACTTAATAATGTTTTAGTTTTCTGCTGAAGAACTGGAGTTAAAGGATCCCAGGGGTCGAACACCGCTGCTGTTAGCTGTGACTATGGGTTACATTGAAGCTGTTCGGGTGCTTCTTGATGCTGGTGCAGATGTCAACTGTGAAAAGGATGGCTGGACTGGTAATAAACAGTAAAGATATAAAGGCTAGAATTTGTATTTGTGAGTCACAATATAAATACATTGTGAGATTTATGTTATGATACGATGTTGTATGGTACGAAAAATCAGTATTTATAGGATCCCTAATCCTATTAATCATTATTTTAAATGCTCATTATAGATATAACACTTTTTTATTTCCCTCCGATTCCGTCGGCCTAGGCACGTCTTAGACTAACCCGACGACGAAATCACCCGCGCCGACGTGCCTCCGATTCCTCCCACACAGGCCACAAACACCAACACTACACAGCTAGCAAACATGCACACTAGCTTAGCATTAGGCAGACACCGCACCCGTAGGATAAGAGTGCGAAGACCCGGTCTACACACGATACGCTATGCCAGGTACAGGTACGTACCTGGGCGTTTTTCCCCGCCCCCCACGACAACGGCTAACTAGAGCCGAGGTCCGAGTCTCAGTGACGCCCTCTAGTTGAGCCGACCCCCTCAGGTTCGAGTGGTCTGGAGGCTCCAGACGGAGAGGAGACTCCCCCCGTGGGGAGACGCCATCCGCCTGGAATACCTCCAGAGGCACTCGCCAATTCACGGCTTGAGGTCCCCTTAGGATCTCGCCGTCCCCAAACCCGGTGACGCTGTAAAGGTCATCTGCGACCAACAGCATACAAACACAAAAAAAAAACGTTTTTATTGTCTAGCAAATGCCTGATTAACTTGTTATAGCTGTGCAAGAAGCAACTGCCACTGGTGATCAAGAACTGCTGTCGTTAGTTTTGTCCCGCCGAGACTACCAACGGCATTTGTTGCGCGCTGGTGGTATACCTGACCTCCTGAGGAGGTTGAGCCTCGCACCAGACTTCTATGTGGAGATGAAGTGGGAGTTTACTAGTTGGGGTAAGATTGAGGAGTGGAGTGGAGTTTTTGTTAGTAATAGTGTATATTTACGAAAGTCGTTTTGTAACTTACATTTCGCATCTTTTCTTTGATAACTGATAAAGCAAGAAGGTTTATGCACCATTCGAAAATCTTTGAAGCAATTGCTGGTGGTAATTTTTTGTACTTTATTCCTAAACAACTGAACTGATTATGCTGTATTTCAGTATATAGATATAATTCGTAGAGATGGGCCGAATGTGGTTTGAACCGAATCCGAATTTCGGCAAAATGAAATGCATTCGGTGCAAATTGAATTGGGCCGAATTTCGGTTCAAGTTAGGTTCGATTTCGCGCGCTTTTTCGAGAGTGACAAGTCGTGATTTGTTTACGCATTTACTTCATTTATTACTAGATGTACCCCGCCCGCATACCGCGCTCCCACCGCGTGGCCGGGAGCCGGCCGGTTATTTGCAAATAAGTTATCGGCCTGTTAGTCCAGTCAATGAAGGTTTTCACCACCGATTTCGTTGAATCTCCATCGATTTTCATGAAAATTGGTGACTAGGTATTTTTTTCATGTATTTTTATCACGAAAATTACCAATCTTTGATCTTTAATAACTCAGAAAGTATCGATTTATTCTAAAAACTTTATATAACAAAATTTATCTATCGATAAACTATCGATTCCTGGAGTTGTTTTTATTAAAATAATTTTCACCCCCGAAAAGGGGTGGCATCTACCCCCAGGGCAAAAGCGCAAGTTGGCAATATGTCACTTTTGTTTCTCAAGGTATCTCCCACCTACTCACCAATTTTCATGAAAATCAATGGAGGTTCAACGAAATCGGAGGCTGTATTTGATTTTTGCCTTCATTGACTGGACTATGTCGCATGCGATTGTTTATAACAAAAATACTTGTTGTGTACTTAAACATTGATGAGGTTTTGAGGTGATAAGTTTTGTTACTGGCTTAATGCGAAAATGAATGTAAGGAAAAAATCAAGTGTTTGAACATTTTAGACAGAAACTGACCAACTAAATAAAGTTAAATGTATCTTATGTGATACGCTGATATCTCGTGGAGGTAGTGGACGTTCAGCGTCTACTTCGGCACTGAACAACCTTCGCGTGAACCATAATCGAAGTTTGTTTAATTTGATTGTTGAACAAAAATACCCTTTAATTGTAATAAGAAATATGTACTTGATGTCAAATAATGTTTAGTTTGTTAACTAAAAACGTGATGTTTTTATTCAATTTACTAATTTTAACCCAGATGCTTGTTAGAAGAATACTAATTTTATTTCATTTTTGCAACAGTGTCTAATTTTTATATCTAATTAATTAGGCAGAGATTACCAAGACTAATAACAAGAACTGATTTAATTTAAGGTTTACATTTACAATATTCGTAACTAAAATAAATGACGATGAGTGAGTAAAAGACATAATTTTATTTTACGGTAATGCCATTCTTATTCTATTAAATTTAGTCAAAATAGTGTCAAGTAGGTATTATTTTTCCTGTGCCGAATGTTCGGCATCTGAACCGAATTTCGGCCGAATGCCGAAGTTCGGTTCAAGCTGCCGAAATTCGGTTGAACCGAATGTGAACCGAGTTTCGGCCCATCCCTAATAATTTGACCTTGGAGATGATTGTAAGTTATTTTCTGTTGTGGAATTAAATACGAATATTAATACTGTAACCAGTTAAGTACAAAGAGCACTTTGCTCATCTGAATTTCTAATTTTTACTATTGGGGAGTTTGACAGCAGTCTCTTCTTTTCATTTTCAAAGAACATGAAATGTAATTGATCTATTGATTATTTTTCATTCGATCATATGGCAAATCGATATATCGAGATTTCGGTTAATTGTTACCGATCAACTGGCATTCGATATCGCGTAAAAAACCCAATATGAATTATCCATGTTAAATGCTAACATGTTGTGTATATATCCATAGTTCCACTGGTGTCGCGTATGTGCCCATTCGACACGTACAAAGTTTACAAGAGGGGAGGTAACGTCCGCGTCGACACTACTCTAGTTGGTTTCGACAACAACCGCTGGCAGCGCGGTGACCGCACCTACATATTCAGGGGGCAAGGTGAGAGATACATTTACTTGTATACAGTCGAAACCGGATATAACGACATTGAAGGGACCATATAACTTCGGACGTTATGTCCGATGGTTGTTATAAGCAATATACAAAACTAGTCATATTGTTGTCATAGTGTATGTATGTAGTATAGTTATAGATAATGAATATATGCTTGTCTTCAAATAAAATATCGAAAAAAGAAGTAATGAGTTTACTATGAAAAAAATTAAGTACCTACAGTATATTTTGTTTTGCTGGAACAAGTAAAACGCTTGGTCGTTATAAACGATGTCGTTATATTAGGTTTTGACTGTATTTCTACTAGTATTCTTTATATTGTTTTATTATAAACACAAGTGAAAAAGTTGTATTTAAATAAAAAAAAACAGCCATTTCTATTTTCGAGAACAAAAGAAATTGTATACCAATTTACTTTGCTAAGTAAAAATTAAAAACATCATTCAATTCAAACATACTGTTTTTGCGTGTGTATGCTGTAAGTCGCAGATGACCTTAACAGCGTTATCGGGTTTGAGGACAGCGAGATCCTAAGGGGACCTCGAGTCGAGAATAAGCGAGTGCCTCTAAAGGTATTCCAGGCGGATGGCATCTCTCCACGGGGGGAATCTCCTCACCGTCTGGAGCCTCTAGACCACTCGAACCTGAGGGGGTTTTTGAAGTGAAACTTCTTTACGCACGCTTGACTTGGGGGGTAAGCTGGCGAATGCGTTACGCGTTACGAAAAGTGGGATGGGGCGAGGCTAACGGGAGTTGAGTGGGGGATATAAACAAGAGAAAGCATTGCGCGCACACATTTTCTTTCTCTCTTTCTCTTATAGCTAGTGAATGAAATATATATATATATATGTGCATACATGTATATATGATACACACATATATATTTACTAGCTGACTCGGCGAACTTCGTACCGCCCAAAAGTAATAATTTGCAATAAATTAAAATTGCGACTATAATTTGAGATTTAAACTATCCTATCTCTCAAGTTGGATCGAACTGCACATGGTGTGCGAATTTTATTATAATCGGTTCAGTGGTTTAGGAGTCCATTGAGGACAAACATTGTGACACGAGATTTATATATATTAAGATATAATACATACAGATGGAGCTAAAGAAGTTTCACTTCAGTCATGTGGTCATAAGTGCACTCGTTTTTTTGACGTGTGTATGTACGGTATCGTTCCGGTCAGGTCGCGGCGCGCACCTGGTGGAGCTGGACCATGCGGCGGGCACCAGCTGGCGGGAGACGCTGGAGGGGGACCCGCGCCCCCCGCCGCCCGGCCTGCTGGCGCGCCGGCTGCACGCGCCGCTCGCGCTCAACTACCTCGACACCGACAAGATATGCTTCGAGAGGTATGTACTGTACTGTACTGGAGCACGCGGCGGGCACCAGCTGGCGGGAGACGCTGGAGGGGGACCCGCGCCCCCCGCCGCCCGGCCTGCTGGCGCGCCGGCTGCACGCGCCGCTCGCGCTCAACTACCTCGACACCGACAAGATATGCTTCGAGAGGTATGTACTGTACTGTACTGGAGCACGCGGCGGGCACCAGCTGGCGGGAGACGCTGGAGGGGGACCCGCGCCCCCCGCCGCCCGGCCTGCTGGCGCGCCGGCTGCACGCGCCGCTCGCGCTCAACTACCTCGACACCGACAAGATATGCTTCGAGAGGTGTGTACTGTGCTGTACTGTACTGGAGCACGCGGCGGGCACCAGCTGGCGGGAGACGCTGGAGGGCTCAACTACCTCGACACCGACAAGATATGCTTCGAGAGGTATGTACTGTACTGTATTGGAGCTCGCGGCGGGCACCAGCTGGCGGGAGACGCTGGAGGACTCAACTACCTCGACACCGACAAGATATGCTTCGAGAGGTATGTACTGTACTGGAGTACGCGGCGGGCACCAGCTGGCGGGAGACGCTGGAGGGCTCAACTACCTCGACACCGACAAGATATGCTTCGAGAGGTATGTACTGTACTGTACTGGACCATGCGGCGGGCACCAGCTGGCGGGAGACGCTGGAGGACTCAACTACCTCGACGCTGACAAGATATGCTTCAAGAGGTATGTACTGTATGGAGTGTCCGAGTTTCGTGCCGGTTTCTCTCAGTACCAAGTCTCCCACCGTACTTTTGATAACCGATGGCGTAGCTTCTTGACCTTCACAAATGCTCGTAACAGCCTAGACTGAGTAATTGATTTTTGATTGTTTGATTGAGGTAGTTGAAGGCCCCCTCTAAAGTCTCGACACTCTCTCACTCGCTCTCTACACAGGGCGTGCAATCAATCAATCAAAAATCATTTATTCAGTTTAGGCTGTTGCCAGCACTTGATGTGGGGCCCAACTAGTGGTGTTTGTGAAGTTAGCAGCGAGCGCAACTATGTGCAGATTTCAGTTCAGTGACAGCCCGAGCGCGACACATTATTACGTTAACTTAAAAATGTCTACCAAATTACGATGTCATCTGAAGCAGTTCAGCGATTTAGGTGTGAAGAGGTTATAGACAGACAAACACATGCTCATACATATTATTAGTATAGATTATTTTCATTACATAATTTTCTTTAAACTTGATACTGAACAAGAGGGATGACGGGGTGGAATAAACGAAATTCTGTCAAGTCCGTCAGCTGAATTATTAAAAAATAATGGACCTTTTGTCAATCAACCAAAAAAAAATACAAAGATATAGCGCATTAAGTTTAGGAGTGGGCGAGCTTGTGTCGTCATTTCTAAGTAGACATTGAACTAAGACGTGACGTCATGCGACATTATAAGAAATTAGCATATCGCTATAACGTATTGATTATGTTTAAAAAGAAAAAAAGTGAGCCGTCACGGGTCGCCTGGTAGATGTGAAACACTAGCCGGTTTACGATAAATACACTCGGAGAATTGCTCGGGATGCGTGCGTTAAAAATGACAAAGGTCCTTCCTCGAAGGGCGCTGGCGCCGTACTGATCGGCGAGTGGTTGAGCACTGGTATATATTGCATTTTACGGGCAAGCGTCGCTACACCAGAAATCGGTTTTACGTGCACCAAAAGATGTTTCATATCAGAAATTCGTATGTCATGCTTTTTTACTTACCTGATTGATGAAGAAAAAAATTTGTTAGTATTATCCCTATTATGATTGCATGTACGTAAAGTTAATTTCTTAATTGTTAGGAGCAAAAGCGGCATATGGGGATGGCGGCAGGACAAGTGCGAATCAGTGAACGGCTACGACTGCAAGGTGTTCAGCGCCAACAACGTGGAGCTGGTCTCCAAGACCAGGAGCGAACATCTACCACGAGGGAAGAGAGTTCCTCCACCCAGGGCTCCACTGGCCGGACTGCTAGCCTTGGCTGATGCTGACCCGCCCCCGGTCACTCCAGAGGCAAGTCTTATTTTTTCTCATCATATTATTTTCTCATCTCATTATTATCGTCAATCTACAAATGTCCCCACTGCTGGAAAATAGACCTTTCCAGCACCCGGGGCTTATCTCGCTGGATTATTAGCCTTGGCTGATCCTCTCCCGGTCACACCAGAGGTAATCTTAAGTGTTATTTTGACTTTCATCATTGTCAGGCTTTGAATGTAACCACTGGGGCATCTCTATGGATGGAAAAGGGTCTCAATAGTAGCAATAAGTGTTATTTCCACCTCTCATCATCATTAGCCTATAAATGTCGTCATTGCTGACAGACCTTTCTCTATGGACGGAATACGCTGCCACCAGTGATAAAAGTGTTATTTCCACCTCTCATCATCATTAGCCTATAAATGTCGTCATTGCTGACAGACCTTCTCTATGGACGGAATACGCTGCCACCAGTGATAAAAGTGTTATTTCCACCTCTCATCATCATTAGCCTATAAATGTAGTCATTGCTGACAGACCTTCTCTATGGACGGAATACGCTGCCACCAGTGATAAAAGTGTTATTTCCACCTCTCATCATCATTAGCCTATAAATGTCGTTATTGCTGACAGACCTTCTCCATGGACGAAATAGGCTCCCACCAGTGATAAAAGTGTTATTTCCACCTCTCATCATCATTAGCCTATAAATGTCGTCATTGCTGACAGACCTTTCTCTATGGACGGAATACGCTGCCACCAGTGATAAAAGTGTTATTTCCACCTCTCATCATCATTAGCCTATAAATGTCGTCATTGCTGACAGACCTTCTCTATGGACGGAATACGCTGCCACCAGTGATAAAAGTGTTATTTCCACCTCTCATCATCATTAGCCTATAAATGTAGTCATTGCTGACAGACCTTCTCTATGGACGGAATACGCTGCCACCAGTGATAAAAGTGTTATTTCCACCTCTCATCATCATTAGCCTATAAATGTCGTCATTGCTGACTGACCTTCTCCATGGACGAAATAGGCTCCCACCAGTGGTAAAAATGTTATTTTTGCCTCCTTCATTATCATCATTGCTTATAAATGCCCCTAATGAGAGACACAGACTTTCCCTATGGACGGAGTCACCAGTGATAAAAGTGTTATTTTTGCCTCTCCTCATTATCATCATCGCCTATAAATGCCCCTAATGTAGAGGCACAGACTTACCCTATGGATGGAGTCAGGATATGGGGAGGAAGACTCCACCACCTTGGCTTTCTGGCCCCTTGGTCATTTCAGAGGTAATTAGTGTTGACCTCCCGTCATCATTAAATTAATGTCTCAATGTGGAACAGGGTCTCACTATTCGTAAGTCTTAGTAATCGTCATAAGCCAACAACGTGGAGCTGGTTTTCAAGACCAGAAGTGAACATTTACCACGAGGGAAGAGAGTTCCCCCACCCAGGGCTCCACTGGCCAGACTGCTAGCCTTGGCTGATGCTGACCCGCCCCTGGTCACTCCAGAGGTAATCTCATCATCAGCCTATTTAAAGTCCCCACTGCAGGGGCACAGCCTTCCCTATGGATGGAATAGGACACTAAACCGTTACCCACCACGCAGGCCCAGCGCGGATTGGTGGCTAACGCAAGTTCGGATCTAGCTTTGGCGCCAGGGGGGGTCATATAGTCGTGGTATATTAAATATTGAAAGTACTTAAATAAAATCCCCCTGGGTTTGGTCCATCTGTACCCAGCCCAGGGGAAGGGTGGTTATGACCTCCATGACCCCCCCCCCCCCTCCTGCTTACAGCTACAGCTTACAGCAGACTAACAGCTTAACGTGCATTCCGAAGCATGGAGGTGCTCAAGATAATAAATTTTAGGTCGCCCATCCAATGGCCTAACATTGGGAAAGTTGCTTAACTTTCACGATCGCAGGCCAAGTGTGCTAACCACCTGCGCTATCAAGCTCCTCATCATAAAAACCTACAAATTTTGGGGACAATTATAGGTTGCCAGGGAACAGACAATACTTGTAGATGAATATAGACGAGTTCCACCATCAACGATTCCACTGGTCGGCTGGTTTTAGCTGATACTGATCTGTCCCCGTTCACTCCAGAGGTAATAAGTCTTTCATCATCATCGCCTATAAATGTTGAGGACACTTATAGGCTGTCGAGGAACAGATCTTAATTAAAGATAATACAGGACGATGAGGGTAGTGCCACCATCAAGGATTCCACTCGCTGGGCTCCTGACTTAAGCTGATGCTCTTTGTTGCGAAGTAATATTTGAGTCGTATAGTATCAAAGGCTTTTTATAATTGACATTTCACTACGATTTGTAGATGAATATCAATTATAAAAATCCTCCCTTAAAGACGAGACTAAACAGTTTTTTTTTTTATTTGCCAAATATTTGGTTCGCCCTACTTTGCCGCCTTTGATACTATACGACTCATTTCTTTATAATGAAATTTTACGAACAAGCATTATATAACAGCCATCTTCAGTCCCTTCAACAGTATTCATACATTAATATCAACAATTTCTCTGTCCATATCTTTGCTTTTAACATATAAAGAAATTGCTTTAGGAGGAACCCAGCACCCCACAGAGCAGTAGGTCCCGGGAAGACTTGTCATCTATCCCGGTGTCGTGGGAGGAATACTTCAGCGGCGAGGTTCTAGACCGGGATATAGGCAGGCCAAAGCTCATAGAAACCAAAGTGCAGAAGTTCAAAGCTACGTTGTGGTTGTGCGAAGACTACCCGTTAGAGGTGAGTAAGCTGATAGCTTTGCTATCATATATTACTAGCAAACCAGTGAACCAAATGTTCACCAAAACCTGATTTTTTTTAAAAAAAGAAAATGTATTTAATTAATTGAGAACTTCGGAGATTTTGTGTGGTTTCGTTTGAAATTCGTGATTTCTCGAAAACCGGAAGTGCTACGTTACTCAAATCCGGTTTGTAGTCTTATCAGACTATTCTTAACTTATAAATATTCTCTTTATCTATCTCTTACGGTTTGGCCGCTGAAACAGCACCACAGACAGACGGACGGACTTGTCTAATAGATAAGAGATCATTCCGTTTATTTCAGAAGCCATAGAAACGCATTCGTTACTGGCCTATATCTTCATTTGATTTACCAATTTGAAGAAATTTACCTATTGCCTATATACTTATAGGTATCTTGTATTGTAGGAAAGGCAACAGAAAATAGTTAATTTCACAAACAGACTTAACAGCTTCATCTTGCTCGATAAATATACAAGATTTACCATCTATATATTTAGAATAAACATCACACTTGTCTTATAAATGAGAAAGTTTGTGAGTGTGTATGTTTGTTACTTCTTCACGTCTAAACGGCTGGAGCGATTTAAATAAAATTTGGTATGGAGTTAGCTTACACCCTGGATTCACACATAGGCTACGTTTTACTGCGGGAAAATATCCATAATAAACCGCGGGTAACACCGCGGAGTACAGTTAGTTCATCATATTCTTTTTCAACAACTTTATCTTTAAGAGAGGTAGGAGGAGCGCCCGTCTGGGGATGTAACCTCCAACTTACAGAAGACATTATCATCATCAGCCTATTAATGTCCCCACTGCTGGGGAACAGGCCTTCCCTATGCATGGAATAGGGAGACTGGGCCATGACCCACCACGCGGGCCCAGTGCAGACCCACCAAAGTGCTGACGACTGCAGGTACAGCCGGGAACAACGGCTTAACGTCCCTTCGGAAGCACGGAGGAGCTCGAGATGGTAAATTTTTGGTCACCCATTCAATGACCGACTACTGAGAAAGCTGCTTGACTTCAAAGATCGCAGCCGAACGCGCTTACCACTTGCGCCATCGAGCTCTTACAGAAGACTACTATAAAATAAAACTGAAAATAATATAATCAAATCACAACGTTTTGTTGGAAATCGTTATCCAAATTAATCCCAAGTTACGTCACGTTACTGTAGTTTCATATCCGCGCCCTAAAAATATATACTACATTTGGTAGATAAGCTCGTCGCTACACACGCACATATTGACTGTTTTCAAACAATCTGACATTATTTTTTAGCGTGTTTTATTTATTTCTATAACTAGGGCTGTATATAATCAAATACCCAACCCTTCCTTTGCAGTTACAAGAACAAATAATGCCGATCCTTGACCTAATGGCCGCCATTTCATCACCGCACTTCGTCAAATTAAAAGACTTTGTGCAAATGCAGTTACCCGCCGGCTTCCCAGTAAAGATAGGTGAGTTTGAGACAATTACGTATAATAAAAAAATCTTTGTTTTTCTTCTACATTAAAGTTAAGTCAGTCTAAGAAGACCCACACCACATGGTGTGGGTCTTCTAGTCACACTAACTCATGGTCATATAGTCGTGGACAAGTCACAGTGGGTACAGATTGTGAAGTGGGTACAGATGGACCCAGCCCAGGGGGGGGGGGGGTAATGACCCCTATGAGCCCCCCCCTCTGGATCCGCCCTTGCCTGTAATAGAAGAAGACCGCTCCTTCATTCCGGTCTTCATAAATAATAATACAACAAAAAATAATTTTAAATATCAAGGGGTTAATTTATATACTATATCATTATTATTAGCTAACCATATGTACTTTATATATATAATATGTAGACTGGTTATACGCCAACATTATAGCATTTTAAAATGGCACAAGTAGCCCCAACTTCCCTTGGCAACAGCCGCCAATAGAGTGCAGTAAAGTTGTCTCTTTCACTCTCATGCATAAACCAGATTACATCTCGCTCTTAAGCCTCCACGTGTCAACGGTGTCAGCAACTGTCAAAATAAGTAATTACAACACATTTTTACATTTATTATGAAATGACTCGTTTTTCTTGTTTCTAATAGTTTGAACTTTTTTACACAGGATTCTTTTTTCAGACAAAAAGCTCTTTGCGTGTTTTAGATATAAAAACACAGAGAGCTTTATGTAACGAAAACGCTGCGTTTACGCTATTCGCTGTCCGTCAGCGTAATAAGGCATTTGTAATGTTGGAAATAAAATTCACAATCTATTAAGAACTTTTTACATAAAACAACTTATGTATTTATCATTTTCTATACCTTACCCCAAAACAATACCTGTGCCTAGTTTGGAGTGTGTGTGTTACAAATATTTATTACTAGCGGCCGCCCGCGGCTTCGTACGCGTTGAGTTAGAAATAAAGGTTCACAGCTCATCCCCCGTATGTGAGAGCGTGATAATATGTAGCCTATATGTTGACCCGACTTCTTAATAATATTCGTGCCAAATTTGAAGTAAATCCATGCAGTACTTTTTGAATTTATCCCGGACATACATACAGACAAACAGACAAAAATTCTAAAAACTACAGTTTTGGCTTCGGTGTCGATTGAAGATCACACCCCAAGTATTCTTTTAAAAAAATATTCAATGTACAGTATTGACTTTCCTACCATTTTTTATATGTACAGATTATAATGATTACATTTTGATTTCCAGAGATCCCGCTATTCCACGTGCTAAACGCTCGCATAACATTCGGTAATATATTCGCGACCGAATCCCCCGTGCCCCACATAGAGTGCATACAAGAAGGCGAACGTTTGTCCTGCGTTATTGACGACGCTTGCTTCAACTTGGGGGCGAGATATAGGGATCTTACAGCCCCCGACCACCCTTGTATGGACGACGATGAAGGATTATTACAATATGCCATACAACAGAGCCTCATGGACGCGGGATCCAGTGACGACCAGGTGAGTTCATTATATGACAGACAGACAGACGTATGGACGATGATAAAGGATTATTACAATATGCCATACAACAGAGCCTCATGGACGCGGCATCCAGTGACGACCAGGTGAGTTCATTATATGACAGACAGACAGACGTATGGACGATGATAAAGGATTATTACAATATGCCATACAACAGAGCCTCATGGACGCGGCATCCAGTGACGACCAGGTGAGTTCATTATATGACAGACAGACAGACGTATGGACGATGATAAAGGATTATTACAATATGCCATACAACAGAGCCTCATGGACGCGGGATCCAGTGACGACCAGGTGAGTTCATTATATGACAGACAGACAGACGTATGGACGATGATAAAGGATTATTACAATATGCCATACAACAGAGCCTCATGGACGCGGGATCCAGTGACGACCAGGTGAGTTCATTATATGACAGACAGACAGACGTATGGACGATGATGAAAGATTATTACAATATGCAATACAACAGAGCCTCATGGACGCGGGATCCAGTGACGACCAGGTGAGTTCATTATATGACAGACAGACAGACGTATGGACGATGATGAAGGATTTTAACACGCTATACAACAGAGCCTTATGGACGCGGGATCCAGTGACGACCAGGTGAGTTCATTATATGACAGACAGACAGACGTATGGACGATGATAAAGGATTATTACAATATGCCATACAACAGAGCCTTATGGACGCGGGATCCAGTGACGACCAGGTGAGTTCACTATATGATAGACAGACAGACGTATTGACGATGATAAAGGATTATTTCAATATGCCATACAACAGAGCCTTATGGACGCGGGATCCAGTGACGACCAGGTGAGTTCACTATAGACAGACAGACGTATGGACGATGATAAAAGATTATTACAAATTGCCATACAACAGAGCCTTATGGACGCGGGATCCAGTGACGACCAAATGAGAACTTTTAACTTTATCTTTAAAATGGGAAGAAAACTGCCAATTTATCCCGCTAGAGGCGCAGGTGTTGAATATCCCTTAAAAACAAAACCATGGAGGTTAGAGATAAGGAGAACGGTGGCTGTAGAAAATAGTGTCCCAGGAATATGGACAAAATAAGTGAGGCGCTGCGATCGCTAAGTTGTCTCAATAAAAGCGGGCTCATTTGAAATGACCAATGCCGCGAAGAAAATTTGTACAATATTCAACTAACTTCATCTACTTGTACTCAGAAACAGCTAACTTCACAGATACTACTTACCGACGGCAGCGCGGCTGGTGGCTGAAAAATGAACTATAAATTCTACAAATTTTCAGGGACAGGCGGGTTAATGCTTTAGTACGCAGCGATCGTTCTCTTTCTCTCTTACCTCCATGAAAGTAACACTCAGAGGGTAGGTTTTGAACGCAGCCTTGAAGTGACAGGTGTTATGTCATAAATGGCCAAAGCGCCATCTGTAATGAGCTTTGCGTTTTCTTCCCCATTTGCAGTCTTTGAAAAGAATAATTAATTTGTAAGTTCGTTAATTATTTTTAAGATAATTTGTACACTTGATTAGCAAATAAATATTTCAATTTGATACAAAGATAATATAACTAGAAAAAAATCCACGCGAACCAGCCAGCAGACGGAACTCGAATCCGCACCCTTCGCTATTCATCCATCATTCATCAGTTTTTTTTTTGCTATTTTTTAAGTCATTTCCTCCTTTTGAGTAGTTATTCATTTTAAACACTTAACACTTGAAAAACAAGCAATAAATAAGCACTACTAAAAAACGGAAAAACGGTAATTTTAAGCGAGCGCGGCCACCGCGGGTCAACGACCGCGCCCGCCCGCTGTTGAGTGAGTTACACAGAGCTCAGCTGACGCGACCCCTTTGATTCCACACAATACTATAAAATTTTTTTAGATGCTATTGCAAAAAAAAATCCAAAAAATCAGGCAATCTCTATACACATAACCCAATAATCCCACAAAGTTTCACTAAAACATTCATCATCATCAACAGCCTATCCTAGTCCACTGCTGGACATAGGCCTCTCCAATTGCACGCCACTCAGATCGATCTTGGGCTACTCGCATCCAGCTCCTGCCAGCCACCCTGCGCAAATCGTCACTCCATCGTGCCTGCACTACGTTTGCCTAGACGCGGTCTCCACGCCAGAACTCTTCTACCCCAACGGTTATCGGTTCTTCGGCAATTATGGCCAGCCCTCTGCCACTTCAACTTGCTAATCCGGTGGACTATATCGATGACTCTGGTTCTCTGTCGGATTACCTCATTTCTGATGCGATCCTTCAGATAACCGCCGAGCATAGCCCTTTCCATAGCGCGCTGAGCGACTTTGAAATTAGATTTCCGTTATATATGTTTACTAGCGGCCCGCCCTCGCTTCGCTTCGGTGTAGAGCTGTAGTGTAGACTACAGTTTTTGTTCTCAGGCTTGTATTATACACAGTGACATTCATCTATGATTCTTCTTATACCTGCATGCAAAGTCTCAGCCCGATCGGTTTAAAATTGACAAAGTTGCATACAAACTTTCATTCCCTATTTTCCCTTGGAGGTAGAATTGATCAAAATCCTTTCTTAGCGGACGCCTACGTCATAACATCTACCTGCATGCCAAATTTCAGCCCAATCCGTCCAGTAGTTTGGGCTGTGCGTTGATAGATCACTATGTCAGTCAGTCACCTTTGAGTTTTATATATATATAGATTAAAGTGCTAATGATATCGTTTTCCCATACAGGTAGACGTATGGGAAGCGCTAAGAGGCGCTCGGCCAGTGTCTCCGCCGGCCAGACCTCACCTGTTCGAACACGACGAGAGGCAGCTGCAAAGGTCAGTATTATCTACAAATACAAAGCGATTTATTTCCATATCTTACCCGACAATATAAAATGTATACATATTTCCCTGAGGAGCTCGATAGCGCGGATGGTTAGCGCGCTCGGCTGCGATCGTTGAAGTTAAGCAACTTTCGCAGTGATCGGTCATTGGATGGGTGACCAATCTTCTATCTCGAGTTCCTCAGTGTAATCTTCTATCTCGAGTTCTTCCGTGCTTCGGAAGGCACGTTAAGCCGTTGGTCCCGGATGCATCTGCAGTCGTTAGCACCCGCCAATCCGCACTGGGCCCGCGTGATGGGTCATTGCCCAATCTTCCTATTCCGTCCTTAGGGAAGGCCTGTGCCCCAGCAGTGAGGACATTAATAGGCCGATGATGATGATGACATATTTCCCTTGGTCACATCATAACATTTTTTTTATCTTTTTTCTTGGCTCGTACGATTTGTACATTGCCAGTGACAATTAAAACACACCATAACTTGTAAACTACTACTTACCGATTTAGTCCATATTTTTTTTAAGTTTTGCAATACTTTGGAGAAGGTTCTTACGGGGAAACATTTTAAGAAGATTGCGCTTGTTAATTGCGTGTGGAACCTATAATATTGAAGAAGTATTTTATTTTACTAATACATAATAAGGAAAACCAAATTTGGCAAAGAAATATAATATTTTTGTTTTTTTTTCTTTCTGTATAGACTTATATCCTTGTCGTTGCGCTGGAAAAAATTCAGTACACTTATTTTTCTAATATTAATAAAATATCAATCAGGGTATGTTTCCACTGTTCACAGAAAATCTCCATTTTTTGGCAGACGTAGTATATTTTAGCTAAATATAATTATATATTATATCACATACTAGCGTGGTGTTTTGCATAGTTTTAACCGTTAATTTTATCAGCGTCGAGAGCTAGATTTTATTATGTTGATAATTATTTATACTGATTTTTTTTATTTTCTTAAAATTTTTGAGAGTCACAATAATAATTATATTTTGCTAGCACTTTTTATAAAAAAGTTTAAGATAAAGATATTTCTTGAACAAATGTGTGAATAATCAAAGGATAAAATAGTAATGCTATTCAACAAATTGTTTTCTACAAAATATACAATATCCATATGATGTACATGGATAGAAATGGGCTTTTAATATTGTAGTAGGGAAAACCCAAGTAGGGAATTTGGGATTTACCAACAGAGCAACCTTGCACCTTGTGAAGTATTCCCACCATATCTGAGCTCTAAAGAGACAAACGTCTAGGGCAGCAAAAAAAATTGACAATCGGCCATGTCCTTTGGTCGCGTCCAAATCGTCAGTACTTTTGAATAGGAGCTACTGGAGCGTTCACGTAACGTTACTGATGACGGAAAAATATTAATCTGCCAGTTTGCATGGTCTGGAGTTGCCGTACGAAGGGATACAAAATAATCCACTGTGTCAGACATTGAGAAGGGATATTACGTGAATCCTCCAGTACCTCCTATTCAAAAGACTGACGATTTGGACACAACTAACAGTGTTGGCCTCTTGTTGAATTTTTTTTGCTGCTCTAGACGTTCGGCTCTACAGATCAGTCCTTTTGCAATATATCAATAGTAAACATTGGTGCCGATTCTTTCGTGATTCCCTAAACTTAAAACTAAATTTAACATCGAGTCTCTCCTTTTCATTCTGTATAGAGAATGACAAGGACACACACTGCTGTCAAATTTAAGTTTAGGTTTAGAGATTCATGTCAGAATCGACACCATTATCCACGCATGTAGTCACCCGTAGATCTTACCCAGTAATAACAGGCTATCACAATAATAATCGTAACTTCGTAAGTAGCGGGTAGTAACAATGCTAGTACGTACAGAGCGATAGAGGCGTCGCTCGCGTCGCTGTCACTCGCCACCCCCACCACTCCCCTCGAAGGGGACCGGATGAAGGGAGTGGGGGTAGAAGAAGAAGACGTAGAAGGGGAGTGCGATGAAGAATTGCGGCAAGCTTTGATGCTGTCTGCGAGGGAACACGCAGCCAGGGACGAGCAGATGGAAGCGGAACAAAGGGCTCTGGATGAAGCCCTTCGTTTGTCGCTATTAGAGAAATAACAGGTGAGCATTCTATTGAAGCGATTTTGCATTAAAGTCTGCTTGCATTGTATTGAACAAAGCATGCTGTCTGCGAGGGAACATGCATCCTTATTTCCCCCCTCAACTCCCGTTCGCCTCGCCCGAACACACTTTTCGTAACGCGTAACGCATTCGTCAGCTTACCCCACAAGTCAAGGGTGCGCAAAGACGTTTCACTTCAAAAAAATCACTCGGGTCGTTTCTACCCTTACTCCTTCCCCTTACTGTAGAGCCCCGTGGAGAGAGCGTGGAGATTTTTTTACTAAAACAAAGTTCTAATTACGTAACAATAACAAATGGATAATGAAACATATATAATATATTTTGCCGACCTCCGTGGCCGAGTGGTTTATACGCCGGGTTTCATGGTGTCGCCGACTCGAGAGGTCCCGGGTTCGAATCTCGGTGGGGGCAAATGTTTGATGAATACGACCATTTGTACTCCAGTCGTGGATGTTTAATATGTATTCCTATATAAATATACTTATATATGTATTCTATCCGTTACTCTAGTATCCCATAACACAAGCCTTACAGTGCTTACTTTGAGGCCTGGCTAATTGGTGTGAGTGTTGGTAATATTATTATTATTATTATATTCATTATTTTGTGTTATAATAACGAAAAACGAGTCAAAAAGTAATACTATTCAGAATTATTGATTCATAATGGGGAAGAAAACACAAAGCTTATAACAGAGGGCGCTTTGGCCGTTTGGCCCGTAACAAGAAACCTGTCACTTAGGCTGCGTTCTAAACCTACGCTCTGAGAACCTAACGTTGCAATTTTGACATAAAATCTATGGAAACTTATGTCACATTTGACATTTGTTGTATCTGGAGCTTATGTTTGGAGCGCAATCCAAGTGTAACTGTATATGAATCTTTCAGTTTTTCTTGTGACTTTGACAGCTGTCTCGATTTGTTCTTAAGGGCTATTCGACACCTGCTCCTCTGGCAGGATAAATTGGCAGTTTCATTCATTATTAAAGGAAGATAACT